AAAAATTTGTTATATCGAAAGTACAAAGTATATCCTAACATGGATCCAATTATATTGAATTTACATTATAATAAATATATTTTTCATAATTTATAATTAAAGAGTCATTGTTTGACCAAAAAAAATCAAAATAAGAAAAAACTATTTGAGATGAGGTAGTATAAGTTTTTTATGTTATTTTTAAGTTATTTTTAATTAAAAGTTGTTAGACAATAATACTAATAGTACTTCTTGTAGTATTGGTTATAGTAGTGTTTCATTATTAGTCAGTTTCCTAATCCTATTTGTGGTAGATGTTGTATGTTAGTTAGTTTCCATTTTCTATTCCTAGTTGTGTTAGGAGTCTCTCTTATATATATTCTATCATGTACTTCATAATTCAAGGAGCAATATTATTATTCCAATATTTCAACATGGTATCAGAGTCACCGCTCTTGGTGACCTAAAAAAAAAAGTTCTTTGCCCCCACCGCTGCCGCCGGTAATTCCGGCGACGGCAGCTCCACCCTATTCACCTCTATTTTCTTTTTCTTCTTTATCCTCAAATCAACTTCTCCATTCAAATGAAAAAAAAGAAAAAAAACCCTTGTTGAAATTAAAAAAACTATCAAAGGAGGAACTTCTGTCTTGTCATCTCCATGATTCTTCAAAAAAAAAACCCAACTTCTCACAAACTCTCTCAGATCATCCTGTCTTCTAAAAAAGAAAGGAAAAAAAAATGATTGTTGTTTCTCTCCAATTCACAATATCAGAATCTCAGACCCAATTTTTTTTTCCATCACCAATTCTTAACCTATTTTTTCTCTCTAGAATCACTCATTCTAATCATCAACCTCCCTTCTCTTTCTCTCCTATTGAATCAATAAAAATCCAAAGTAAATCAGCACAAAAGCAAAGCCAAGAGGGAAAGTAGTGAAAGAGGAAATAAGACCTCTACAACTCACCCATTCATGAAGGAAATAGGGCATTGCCCGGATCCAAGAAAAAGACAAAAAATGTCAAGAATCTTCAGTCAAGCAGGCACTTCCAGTAGCCTTCTCTATTATTCTTCGACGTCAGCAGGTACAAGCGCACGTCAACCTTCTCTCTTCTTCATCGACGTCAGCAGCTACTAGCGCACGTCAATTTCTCTCTTCTCCAACGACGTTAGCAGCTACCAGTGCACGTCAGACTTCTCTCTTCTCCAACGACCTCAGCAGCCACCGGCGCGCGTCAGACTTCTCTCTTCTCCAACAACGTCACCAGCCACCGGCGCGCGTCACACTTCTCTCTTCTCCAACGACGTGAGCAGCCACCGGCGCATGTCAGATTTCTCTCTTCTCAAAGTTTCCAGTTTCCAGCTAGTGTCCAAGCTTCCTCTTGCTTCAGCCAGAGTTCAGCTTGAGGGGGGATGTTAGACAATAATACTAATAGTACTTCTTGTAGTATTGGTTATGGTAGTGTTTCATTATTAGTCAGTTTTCTAATCCTATTTGTGGTAGATGTTGTATGTTAGTTAGTTTCCATTCTCTATTCCTAGTTGTGTTAGGAGTCTCTCCTATATATACTCTATCATGTACTTCATAATTCAAGGAGCAATATTATTATTCCAATATTTCAACAAAAGTATTGCGCGGGTGCAGAGAGTTTGTACTTTGTACTCTATGCAATACATATACTCCTTCCATCCCTAAATAGATTACAATTTTTTCTCTCTCATCTCGATAACTTTTGTTTGTTTACGCGATTTCATTAAGTGTTTGATAAAATAAAATATTCTTGTCACCTCTTATTTTATAAAACTTTTGATGTAGTTTTTTAATATGTATGATGGATACTCGGGACAGGGGGTATCCGGTCTTTGTATAATATTAGTCGGGGCGGTCCAGTCTGTTAGACAAGCCCGTTTGCCATGTATTAATTACTTTTTAGGGGCGGCCCAGTCTGTTGTGCCGGCCCATTAGTTTGTATGTATGCTCAAACCCTAACCCTAACCCTAACCCTAACCCTAACTCTCCCTATTTATACCCCTCTTCTAGGAAGAGGGAAGGGAGGTGGAAGGAAGGAGGCTCAATACACAACACAACACTATTCATCTTCTTCTTCACACTCTTCTCCTTCTTCCTTACCTTTGGGTTCCATAACCCAACAATGTAATTTTTATATCTTATTGATATACCAATTTGTAAATAAAATGATTTTAAGAAGTAGAAAATTTTACTCCGTAACCCGCAATTTATAATCAAATTGGGGACGGAGGGAGTAGATGTTGAATTTTTGTATCATGTACTTGCGGTAAACCACATCCATATTTATTTAAAAAAAACTTTCAAACGCCTTTTTATCCCCCCAAATTTGGTTTTTCTTTTCATTTTTATGTTGGTGAAAATTTATTCTACAAACTATTTTATGTTAAAAAAATAAAAAGGAATTTACTTAAATAGCACTAAAATATAATTATTTTCCTAAATAGCATTATATGTGTTTTTTTCCAATGTAATACCTTTAGTCATTATCCAAGTAAATGTTCGTCATCATGAGACATTATTTCTCCTTCTGGATATTATTATGTGTTATTTGAGAAATAAAAAAATTTAAATACTATTTAGAAAAATGACTTAAGTTTTATTGATATTTAGTGTAAATATTTCAAAAATAAATAATAAAAAATTTACAATTTTATGCCAGAACTATTGTTTGCATGAACCCCCATAACAATGAATTAAATCTAGTTATATGGGACAATGCTTAAAGACTCGTCATTGGGCGATAGAGTGCTTATGGAAGTGAAAGATTATGAAGAAAGAATAGAGTTATAATTACGGTGTGGGAGAAAAGTGACAAAATGTATATGGATGAGATATTATGTGTTCTCATATGTTTTTTGTTGTAAATGTTGCATTGAGAAAGTCATATTTGGTGCACGCTCCACATGTTTGTCAAAACTATATTTCGTACCCATGCCATGCATGCACGGATATAAAATTTATAAAAATTTAAATTATTTATATATGAAGAGACTTCTTTATTGGGAGAGAAAATTGAGAAATGTTGATAATGTGGTACGGGCCAAATAATTTTCTTAAAATTAAAATAGAAAGTTATGTAGGTATATGATAACTATAAATTTAAAGGCTTTTCTTTTTCAAAGGAAAGTCCCTCCAAAAGAGAAAGTCATAGCAAAAAAAGAATATATCAAAGAAACCTTCAAAGGAAAACATTGCTTAATACTTTCTCGTACGTTGCACGAGAAAAAAAACCTTCTAAAATGTAGAACGAAATATAAATTCAGCATGATCTATAACTATGAGAATTTAAGAGGACTTACAAAAAACACTCCCATCATCCATAAATTTTACTCCGTAATTTGTTATTCATTTAACTTTCCACAGTATCCAATATAACATTTTGACCATAACTACTTTTATTTATACATAAGTATATATAATAAAAAATTCAAAACTATACGGAGTATCTCAAAATGAATCCAATGATTTTAAATTTATTTTTTTTCATAATTTGTAATTAAAATTTAAAAAAATTGACGTAGAAAGTTTTATTACTCAAAATAAACAGATGAAAAATTACAATCTAAGAGAGTAAAATACTAAAATCCCAAACAAACATAGACAGAATCCCATCAGAAAGAGTTCTCATAATAATCAAACAAAAATCAACCCGTTGAGTTGGCCCAACTTTCTAAGTTGTTTGTTGTAACTTGTAACCATGAAGATTAAAAAATAATGTGTTGTCTGGCCCAAAACAACCCCTTTTTCAGAATTAGGGGAACACAGTATGGTTTAAATTTGGACCATGCTACACTTACACCAAGAATTGTACTCATTTTTACATCGTAGTTATATACAAATATTTTGATGGTTTACACCGATACAAATGTTCGTGCGTTAACAAAAAATTACACGGACACAAAGTGTTAGTGCGTTAACAAAAAATAGGTTTACACCAACACAAAATGTTGGTGCAAGCCTGCGGTGTACAAATAGGGTACAAAAGCTTGGGGTACAAATAGCTTTATCCCTTAAATTTTTTTAAAAAAAACTCCAACAACTCTATAGTCGTTGACAAATGGGGGCGTAAATTGAGATCCGGGGAATGTCCTACCCCGTATAACAAATGACCTTGAAAGAGTTGTAGTTATTAGATGTGGAAAATTGAATTATATGGTTCCATATTGGACCGTAACAGAATCAAACCGTTTATAGTATTTTATTTAAATGGGATTGATTTTTTTTATCTCGAACCAAAATCGAGCATGTATCAAACATGACGGGATTGTGATATAAAAATTTAAAATTGATTATCACATACCGAACCGTTCAAAACTATCTACGGAATATGTCAAATATTTGCTCTGTATTTTCCTACTTCATCTTACCGTATATGGAGCACTTCGTATTAGATTATTCTTTTGTAATATTCTTTTATTATTTTTGTGGTTATTATGTTTAGAGTAAATTACATAATTGATCCCTTTTTGATCTTCTGTCATTATTTTTGTGTTAATTTCATCAAGCTTATGTCCAGTGGTGCATTCTGATATTAGTTAGCCGGATAATACAAAAATAATGACTCAGATTGTGAGTTAAGATTCTGACAAAAGACCACATCCGTAAACTATGGTTGTAGTTAAAAACGACTGTAATTCACGAACGACGCATTAAGGACGATCTTTGGATTATGTATATACGGAGTATAACAGACCGCAACGGACCACGCCCAATTATTTAAGGCCTATGGAGTTTATATTCCGCATCCGTTAGCCAATCTCTCACCAAGTCTCATGCATCCATGACTTTTCAAGTCCTTTTTTTTAATCACTATAAATATATGCACTAGTACTCTAGTAGTAGTGCGTGGTGCTCAACTAATTAATTAATTAATTAAATAAAGAGTGAACACACATATTTGTTTAAAGAATAATTAAGGAAAGAAAATGTAGCGCCGTGATTGGATATATCAACCTCACATGGCTATATATCTCTATAGCAATTGAATTGGACTCTTTAAATCTTTTAATTAATTCTTTGCTTTCTTTATTTCTGGTAACAGTATCATACCCAAACTAAAATTACGGAGTATTATATTTATATTATATTCTCCCCACGTTTTAGACTAACCTCACCTCTTCTATCTACTCTATATAATTAATTTTTTATAATTAAACTTACATTTTTATGCATATATATATCCTTCACATATTTAAGTTGAAGGTGAAATTAAAGAAGCAGAATTTGAGAATGGGTTCAAGGGTCTGTTTGGCTGTTTTGTTTGTGAAGTTTCTGTTGGGTTTCGGCTTTCTCTTCTCCACTGGCGGCTTCGGCGGCGTCGACGCCGTACCTTTGAAGGTGTTTGACGTTCGGAATTACGGTGCAAGAGCAGACGGAAAGACTGATAATGCCAAGGTAATAAGTTTTTTAATTGGAATGATTTTATGCGCAGAACTTTCTTTTATTTTATGTCCAAAAATAAATTTTACACTTTGTTTTTTTTACTATTTCTTGCAAATTTGGTTCGATAGGTCTTCCGAAGATTAATTTTTATAGGGATACTATACGTTGGGGTTGGGAATAATGTTTTGAATTAGCAATAATATGTGGTATTCAATTAGGGCTAATTTTACTCTTTAATTAATCCATATGTTGTTTTTTCTTGTTTTTATGCTTTAAACATAAACTTGTCCATTTTTTTATATACTCCGTAAAAAAGTGTAAATTTAGTGGAATGAGGAGTAATTTTTTAGTGTTTTTATTAATTACTCTCTCCGTCCCCGAGAACCTTTACTTTTCTTTTTTTTCACTTGTTCAAAAAACTTTTCTTATTTCTATTAAAAAATTACTTTTACTCCTAGTAATTTTTAACCTACTTATCACATCACATCACATTTATTCATTATTAATCTACCCATGAAATCTTACTTTTATTTATCACGAGATATTTTGTTCAAAATCAATGCCAAAATATACTCCCTTAAATCTTTTAAAAATCAAAATCTCATACTAGTAGGTTTTTAGAGACGAGGGATTGTTAATTCTAAAAATGTTAAAGTTATACACTAACATCATTTTCAATACTCCTGCACTATTAATTGTGTAAAATAAGAATTTCTAGTGTGAAATCCAGCATGATTTAATGGATTCTAAATTCTATTTTCTGGTTGAGACTTGAGAGTAGGCATCAGCCCTGGGAAAAAAAACATCAAAAATACATTTTGATGGTCAATATATTTTAATGACAGACACAATAGTCAAACTCTTGCAACAAAAATTGTTTGGGTATTTGCATTATCAAAATTTTCAAAGTTTGTGGTAATAGTACCGTCTTTGACCATTATTATTAACTACTCCATCCATCTGAGAATGTTTATCCAATTTTAGAATAAGAATCAACTTTTAATTTATAATTAAATAAATAATAATAATAAGATTTGTTAATTAGAGATCATAATATTTTGAAAATATTCTATAATACTCCATCTGTCCTGAAAACATGATAAATTTTGATTTTTTAGAGATTTAAGAGTGGTGTATTTTAGTGTTTAATTTCCAAAAATATCATTGGGTGTGATGTGTAAAAATAAGATTTTATGAGTAAATTAGTAGTGAATAGATGTGATCTGATAGGAAGATTAAGAATTAGTAGGGATAAAAATGATTTTTTTAACGAAATGAGAACAATTTTTTTGGGACGGATAAAAAAAGAATTGGGAAAAGTTTTTCACAGAGGTAGGGAGTACAAAACTAATAAAATTACTTTGTTATCAATGTTACATAATTTATGGTCAAAATTTATCTATTTTAACTGTAAAAAATCAAAACATCAAAAGTGGATAAATATTCTTGAAATACTTTAATAAAAAAACTAATGTAAAAAATAATTGTCATCTCAATACTTTAAAAATTGTGGTGTATTATTATTCTTGGGTTTATTTGCAGGCATTTTTGGGAACTTGGAAAGATGCATGTGAATGGAATGGGGAAGCAACCCTAAGTATACCTCAAGGGGAATACATGGTTGGATCTTTAAGCTTTGTAGGACCGTGCAAAGGGTCAGTCAAAGTCAACGTGGAAGGGATAGTCAAGGCTCCGACGGACCCTAAGCTGTTCTTTGGGGACACTTGGATCGATTTCCGTTACGTTAACGGCTTAGTGCTCGAAGGCGGAGGGACTTTTGACGGACAGGGCGCCTCCGCTTGGCGTTATAATGACTGTAGCAAGAACCCTAATTGCCCTAAACTCCCTGCTGTAAGTTCCTTAACTAAAGTCCTTCCATACTTACCATAATACCATCTCCTCCCTCTAATTATTTTTTCCGAGTATTACGGAGTACCTTTTAATCTCATTTAATATCATTAATATCTACTCCATAAAATTGAAGATTCGTTTTGAAAAAGTTATCTACGTGCAGCGTTTAGCGTTAGCATTTTCAAAATAATCTGTTAAAATTTTATCCAAAACACTAACGCTGCTAATTTCTAACGTTATTCTCAAACGGAGCCTATCACTGGAGTAGTGGAGTTATATTCAAACACACTGCATATTGAGATAAAAAATTATAAATTTTGACTAAAAAAAGTAAAATGTGAAGCTTAAATCCAGACAGAGAGTATGTTTTTCTCTCATTATTATTTGTTGGCATATTTTCTTTAATGATTTTTAGGTTGATAATCATCTTATGAATCTTGATATATAAAATAATTGTGTGTATCAGGTCTTGTATAAAAAAATGATCCAACAATGAGTCAACAAAAATTTGTAATTCTAAGATCCACATATCGTATTTGGACCATAGAATCACAATGGCACAACTCTATTTTGTTTTCTACCATAGGTTGTCATATTTATATGGTTTATATTTATTTTTGACATAATTATCAATTACACAATTAATTTCTCTTATTTTTTGTGAAATATACCTATATTCCAAAACATAGGGTGACATAGTGGTGAGAGAGTGTACTAGTTATACTTTTTTTGTCCTAAATATACTATATTTTTTTACAGATTCTGATTATAAACTTTTTCACATTCCAATAACTTTTTTACATTTCATAAAAATTAAGCTAAAAACATCTTATCAAATGATAAATGAAAAGGTATACACAAATGAAAGTTATCAAAAATTTCAACAAATAAAGATAATGATACTCCTTCCGTCTTAAATTAATTCTCATTATTTCTTTTTTGGATTATCCCATATGCTTAGTATAGTTGCATTATAATAGTTGCATTATAATGCAATTGTCAGAAATCAAACTTGAATTTCACGAAAACTTTTTGCCTTTGCCAAATGTGACACTTTACTCGATTATACTCCAATCACGAGGAGTGTGCGGGTCATTCTGTTGCTTTTAAGTTTTGACCGTTACCTTGGAGTAGTAGTTGCAGTCTTTTGCTCTAAAAAACACAAATGTTTCTTGGAAGACTGACCGCTGCTGGACATAAAATTGTCTGGATCATTAATTAGTTTATTTGTCCTCGTTCATGTTACTATATTCACTTTTATTTTGATTAAATTTACTCATACTTTTCCAGTTTCAAAAAAATTGCAACAGTTTAACTTTTTTCGTCAAACTGTAACATTTTTTTATCGTAAAATTTTTTAAAAAATTACTTATTATGTAAATTTAGTAAAATCAAGTTTATTTTAAAATAGAATTTTGAAATATCAAATTTTTAAATTATTTAATTGTTTTAAACTATATTTAATTCGTGGTTAAAGAGTGCCACAGTTTGACAAAAAAAGTCAAACTGTGACAATTGTTTATGAACCTTGTGAGTATTAAACGTATAATTTTGTCTTTAAATTAGATGGCATCTATTTTTTTTGTATTTTTAAAGATAAATTTGATAAAGAAAATGAATTTAGTCCAATTAAGTTTGGATATTGCAACACCTTAATTTTAAGCTTGGGATGTGAGTACTTTTTCGTCTTAAAGTAACTCTCATTTTCGCTACTAATTATAGAGTAAAAGTAGATTAATTTTTTTTATACTTTTTAAACTAGGGTTCAAAGAGTTTGAAAGGAAAAAAAGAATTCCTCCTATTAGTCTCACTTAAATGAAAGAATTTGGCTTTCTTTCTCTACTTATGATGCGTTCTGTTCGCCTGATCTGGTCTGATTATAATAAGAATTAGTAATAAGCAGAAAAAATAAGTTGAACGAAAAGCTGCCTTAGTACATCTTGACTTCCAATTCTCCTTTTTTCCTTCCCCTTTATTTTCTAATCTTGTATTTATTCAAGAGAAAGCTAATTCAATTAATTAATTTATCACCATAGTAAACCCATACTATTGAAATTTACTTGTTCTGACCAAATCAATTTCACGCTGTGTTACATTTGTGCAGTCAGTGGGGTTCGCTTTTGTGAACAAGACCACAGTCCAAAACATCAACTCAATCAACAGCAAAAACTTACACTTCAACGTCTTTGCATGCAACTACATGGTCTTCAACAACGTGACTGTGACGGCGCCCGGCGACAGCCCGAACACCGACGGCATCCACATCGGGAAGTCCGCGAACGTCCGAATCTCCCGGTCGGTCATCGGGACCGGGGACGACTGCATCTCGATGGTGTCGGGGAGCGAGAACATCACCGTGAGCGACGTGACGTGTGGGCCCGGCCACGGCATCAGCATCGGGAGCATGGGGAAGTCGGAGGACGAGTTTGTGAGGGGGGTCCACATAAAGAGTTGCAGGTTTTTGGGCACCCAAAATGGAGTGAGGATCAAGACTTGGGCACCCTCTTACCCAAGCAAAGTTGACAATGTTGTTTTTGAAGATGTTGTCATGACAAATGTCAATAACCCCATTTTCATTGACCAGCAGTATTGCCCTTCTCCTCCTTGTAGCACTCAGGTACATACACACTCCCTCCGTCCCAGTGTATTTGTCTAGTTTGACTTTTTCGAGTCAAACTGGACTAACTTTGAACTTCAATTAAATAAAAACTGTAATGTATTTTAACATAAAAATGACATTATTGGATTTATCGTATTGATAACTTTCAAAATGGTATTTCATTATGCTAATATGCAATATAAATTGAGACTAATTGGAGCTCGAAAAAGTCAAACTGGACAAATACACTGGGATAGAGGGAGTATCTTCTTACCATATAGTAGTACTACATGGGAATCTACTGTCAAAATTAAATGTCCAAAACCTAGCTCCATTGCTTATCAATCATATACTCTATATATATACAGGCGAGCTCAGTTCAGATAAGAAACGTGACGTTCCAAAAAATAAGGGGGAGTTCAAGTTCAAGGGAAGCAGTGATACTGAACTGCAGCAAAAAATACCCATGCCAAGAAGTGAAGCTTATAGACATCAATTTGGAGTACAACGGTCGCAACGGGCCCGCCACTTCCTCGTGTTCCAACGTTCGTGGAAACGCCCTTGGCCAACAGCTTCCTCCTGTGGGCTGTCTCCTCTAAAACTCAAACTTAGTTTCATTAGTATTGGTAGGGAGTATAGTGGAGAATGATGCATGGAAAATTCCAACTTTTATAAGTTGTTTGGTATGATATCTCATCAACCAGGCTTATGAAGGATCCATGCTTTTCTTTCTTTCTTTTTTTCCATTTTTCTAAGTAGTGAAAGTAATGTATGGATAACCCAATGGGTTCCTTTGATTTAAAGAGACTTATAGTTTTACATATATATATTCCTTTCGTCACATCATATATACAATTTTTTTAAGAAGTACAATCAAAATGTATAATAGATTAAAAACAGAAAGGTGCCTGGATTTAGGCTGCTACAGATTTCGGCTTCGCGGCAACCTTTCTCCAGGAAACGCTGGGCATGATCTGGTTCGGGTCAACACGGTCTTTGAATTGGATGGCGAAGTTCAAGAGCGAGTCAAGGAGAGAGTCCGAGAGGAGGTGGGGCCGCATTCCCAGCTCTAAGAGTTTAGTGTGTTTGGCGTTGTAGTAATGCTCCTCTGCCTCTACCCTTGGGTTGGGTACGGACGCGGTTTTCACCTCAAGCCCGAGTTTCTCTCCGGCTTTGGTCACAAGAGAAGCGAGCTGGTTGACAGAGAACTGTTCAGTGAACTGGTTGAATACCCGAAACTCTCCTTGGTTTGCGGGGTTTGCGATTGCGAGCTCAACACATTGGACTGTGTCTCTAATGTCAAGGTACCCTCTGGTCTGCAGACAAGAATATATATAAGAGAACCATATCAAAAGCTGCAAGAGCATGAAAGTAAAGACTGGCCACAGTCACTCATGCCTTTCAAGTAGAAATAGAATCCACTCATCCAAACTTTTTTTTCATTTTCCAAGCTTTCAACCAAACATAAAAAATAAATTCATTTTCCAGAACTCATTTTCAAGAAATCATCCTCCAGAACCCATTTTCCATCTTTCCAAACAAACCCTTGGAGGATTTTGGTTATATTTGGGCTCCGTTTGTTGCCTAGAAAATATTTTCGTGGTGAATATTTCCCGGATTTACCTGTGATTTGCAACAGAAAACACATTACTCTGGAGGAACCTAGTTTTCATAATACACTGTTTTGATCTTTTACAGAAAATCACTTCAATTATACGCAGTTCGAAATTCTAGTTTTGTGAGTAAAACGTTATGTTGTTCACAGAAAAGAACCTTAAAATTCAAGAATTTCTTTTAGCAATATATACTCCGTATAACAAAATCAAAATCATTTATCAATAAAAAGACCATACCTGCCCTCCTTTACCATAGACGGTGAGAGGATGACCCACAGCGGCTTGAACGCAGAAACGGTTCAAAGCAGTCCCAAACACTGCATCATAATCAAATCTGTTAACCAGTTCCTCGTGCATTCCAGTCTCATCCGTTGTGACCCCATAGACAACCCCCTGGTTCAGATCAGTGGCTCTGATTCCCCATGCCTTGCAAGTGAAGGCAATGTTGTGGGAATCGTGGACCTTGCTCAAATGATAAAAGGAGCTCGCTTGCTTGGGGTACGGAAGGGTATCCGTTCTCCCATTGTGTGTGATTGTTATGTAACCCTCTTCGATGTCTATGTTTGGGGTACCATATTCACCCATTGTCCCTAGTTTCACCAGATGGCACTCTTCTCTAAACTCCTTTATGGCAAACAGAACATTTAGTGTCCCTATCACATTATTGTGTTGGGTGAACACTGCTCTGGACCTATCCATCATTGAATATGGAGCAGACCTTTGTTCCCCAAAGTGGACAATGGCGTCCGGTTCAAAAGACTTCACGGCTTCTGCTAAGAACTCAAAATCACAAATGTCGCCTACAAAGAGTTGGATATCTTTTCCGGTTAGAGATTTCCAACGGGTTATTCGGTTGTGGATGGGTGAAATGGGCGTGAGAGAGTGAAGACCGAGCTGGTGGTCAAAGAGGCGACGAACAAGGTTGTCAACAATGCAAACCTCGTAGTTCTTGTTGGATAGGTGGAGAGCGGTTGCCCATCCACAATACCCGTCCCCACCAATAACCATGACTTTTTTCCTACTCTGGTGGGCCCCGAACCCCGTCTCGGTTTTGCTCTCTTGATCCGACAAAACGGCCCTAGCACGGATGGTGCTTTGGTTTGGATGGTTCGCTCGCGAGACGAGCCCTTTGGGTGAGCTGGAAACTTTGAGCTGGAAAGATTTGTTAGGCATAAAGGCTGAGCCTATGCTTGTTGGCTTGTGGTGAAGCTTAGGGTTCACCCAACAAGAGGTTGAGAGCAAATTCGCCATGACAATGTCTGGTTTTACCCCTGAAAATCAAACCCTGAGTTCACAATTGAATAAACCATAGTTTTCTTAACCATTAGTTGGTGGGTTTTGTTCAGAACACACAAACCAGCTCTTAAACCAGAACCCAGAAACTAAATAGGGCACTTTGAAAGCAAAATCAAGAATTCAAGATCAACTTTATGCCACATTTCTAATTTACCCAGAAATCACATCAAAGGATATTCAACTTCGCAAATCAAACAAAGGAACCTTCAAATTCTGAAATACAAAGTGCAATATCATGACAAAAAGAAAATAAAAAACTTGAGAGCTGTGAACCCGAAAGTTGCAGTCTTGCAGATATGAAAGTAACAGCCAGGAAAGGACGAAATTTGAGGAGAAGTGAGGAGGAAGAAGATATTTACCTTTGGGGAAGAAAGTGGGTGGAGAAGGCGACTCCTCGCTGTAGTGGTTTTTTCAGTGAGGGAGGACAGTGGCGACTGTGGAGCGTTAAGTTCACGTTTTTTGACGGGCACAGGAAGAGGCTCGGGAATACTATGGGAGGATATTCCTATGCCATCAATATTTAATAGTGAAATTTGCACTAAATAAGACTAAAACATGACGATTTTCTTAATGTAGGACTTAAATTTTTTTATCTCCTAAATAGGATTTAATAATGACTTAGTGGGAGGAATAATGTCCAGAAACGATGGACATTTACTTGAATAATGACGACTTTATAATGACGAAAGGTCCTACATTGGGAAATAAAAACATATGGTCATATATTGGAAAAGTCATTATGTTTTAGTACTATTTAAGTAAATTTCCCTATTTAATACTCCATCTGGACATGGTCCCGGTTCTCATTCCATACCAAAACCGAAATCCACAATTCGAAATTGGAACGGAAATCTTTGGGATGGGTAGAATTTCAAATATATATAAAAAAATGTATGAGTCTATCCCGAAGGCCCCTTCAGACCGCAAATTATATCGTACATCTGATTGTACAGTTCTAACTGTACAACCGATTTAAATCCCTAAGGAGCGTGACCAGACCAGATTTGGAAAAGAAGAGATGGAACGAAAAATTGATATCGTTGGAAGAATTGCCCACCCACCTCTGTCGCGCCTATGTTCGTGCTCGTTCGAGAAGACGCAGACACCGATGAAGGGAAGCTAGTTAGTTGCGGGTGCTTTCTAATTGTCGGGTCAGGTCATGGATGCAGAAAAGGACAGCAGGCGCAATTGGCGGCTTAAGGTATGTGGAAGTGGTAGAAACTCTAGGGATAGAACTACATATGGCTGTAAAGGTATGCTGATAGTGGAATGAACAATTACTTTAGTTCACAATGAGCACTACCTTATTTGAGAATGTGTACTAATTTGTTTCAGAATGAACATTACTTTATTCGTAGCTGAATATTATGATTGTACTCTCTCCGTCCTATATTTAATTTCCCACTTTGACCGGGAGTGATTTTTAAGGAAGTGTAAAATTTACATCGACTTTCCCAAAATACCCATATATTCATCTGCACCCAAACCTTCACTCCCAATTCGAAATTCTCCAAATCAAACAAATCCCATTTGGAAATTCAATTGGTTCTTCAGTTCTCCATATCTACGTCCTCCTCAAATCAATTCTCCCAAATAAGACCACAAAGAATCGCATGTCTCGTCGAGCAAATAAAAAGAACAGTGTTCTTGCAGATTGAATTTATCACTTAGATCTAAAAGGGAAAAGCCTCCTCAAAGATGGCGATGGAAACTCGATAATTTATAGAGACGGCGGCGACTGTTCAATAATCTATAGAGACGGCGGCGCATACTTGGTAATTTTTAGAGACGGCAGGTAGGGGATGCTCGATAATACTTTCTTGGGCGGGGACTCTTCAGCAGACATGGGTCTGATGGTTCTTTTTTGTATGAATCAAGAAAATTAAGCAAAAAGAGAAGATAAGAAAAGGTAGATGATCGGAGAAGAAAACATACTGTGGGGATATGGGGAAGATTGAACCACTGAGGGAAATTGAGGGTGAAAAGGAAAGAATAAATAGATGGGAGCATTATTGTCATCTACCATAGTAAGCCTTGCCATTTTAAGTAATGGGAAGATAATTTTAGGACAATCAAAAAAATGAAAGTGATAAGTTAATTTTAGGACGGAGGGAGTATTAAATAAATGTGTGAAAATGAGTACTACATTATTTCAGAATGAGTATTTTGTTATTTCAGAATGAGCACCACACTATTTCAAAACCAATATATGTTGATACGATAATGTGTACTATTTTATTTCAGAATAAGTACTATCCGGATGTACATATCTCTAGGTACATCCGGATGTACCATATACACTCTCCCTTCAGACCTGACAAACTGTTATTGAGAAGAAGTAAATTAGATTTTAATCGCATATCAGAAGAAAAGAGTGAAGCATACATCTGGCTTTTACAGATGTCTTATGCTTAGCATAGATGTCTCACAACGCAGTTACCAGGATTCAAACTCGGGGACTTACCTCCTTGGCACTCCTTGCTTTTGCCAATTGCGGAACTTCGACTCGCAATTTTAGTGTTGAACCAAAAGTATGACTACTTAGGATTCATAGTGATCGCAATCTAGGATAATCACAAAGTGGTACACCCTCCATTAAAATTAATATAATTCCTCTCGAATTTCAAATCGAATATCATATCAATATTCTAGATTGCGAAATTTGGAGTCTGAATTTACAATTTTATCTACGTTCTTAATGAAAATGTTAACAAAGGATCATTCGTGGAAATAAATATAATAATTGAGGACTAAATTAATAATATTTGATATGTAGGGATTAAATATGTAAAACGATCTATAACTGAGGACCTTTTATGGAATTACTCTAAAAGTATTTATATATACTATTTCGTACTCCCTCCGCCCCTCTATATTTTTTCACTTTCATTTTTGCACACCATCCAATGCACTTCTTTAATCCATTTTATCTTGTAATTTGTATATTAAAAAATTATAGAAATTATATATTAATAATCTATATGTTAAGACAAATCAAACAAGATCACACATGACTATATTTAGGCTTACAATTGAGAGAATTTGATGAGTCAAAGTGCTTAGATAAACAGTTCCAAAAGTCAAATGTGGACAAATACAGGGGGACGGAGGGAGTATTTAGTTTAATTAATTTGACTTTGAAAAAATAGAAGCGGATAAGTATATCCGATATCCGACCGATATCCATAGATGTAGATACAATTTTTAGCATCCGCCAAGATCGTATCCGAATTTAATATAAGATAAAAATAGACAGATACAAATTCGACAATAATGACACACCTAATCTGATTAACATCTGTTTGCACCATAGCTATATATACTCGTAGGCAATTGTGAAGTACATAAGTAGCAGAGGTGCACAAGAATCCTAGCCTCATTGTCCAAATTCGAAATATTCCAGTCTCGTTTCTATAACATTCTGTTTTGTTTGAGACCAATAGGCAAGCGAGATCATAAATCATAACTTGTCTTCTTACCATCGGATGTTTATCTAGCCAACGTTTAACTGCTATTATACCTAACTTTTTTAGTCGCCACAATATCCTGTAGGTGTACATCTTTTCTTGAATAGTTTCTAGTAAATTGTAAGACAAATTTACTAAAATTTATGTTGTCCACTATATAATTATAGTACCAAATTTGGCATCAAAATTGACATTATCAAACCTTTTTTTACATTTTACATTGACAATAATTATCTCTAAAGAATCATTAGGGAGTATTTGCAAATGACCACAATCCTAAATCGTTCCGTTATTGTAGCAACATGGCCCGTTAAAAGCGGAGGTCCAATTTCACCTTCACCCCCCGCACACGCCCAAAATATTTGGATAAAACCCCTCCCCCACTTTCTCCTGCGCCGATATTCCCTCCCCCACGACCCTATATTTCAGTTAGTTTTCTCTCTCTCTCGTCATCTCCCGAGAAAATTGCGGCCAATTCCCAGAAATTAAGCCGACATTTCCCGGCGCATTTGAAGGATCTAGCACAACAAATGGTTGGCGACGCAACAAAAAATCCCGCCTCCTCCTCCTCCTCCTCAATCCGCGGCGGCGACCAAACCTCCTGCTCTTCCGCGATCCGGCCCAGAGGATCCAGAGTCTGCGCCGCATGCAGCCACCAGCGGCGGCGGTGCCCTCCCGACTGCCCCCTCGCCCCGTATTTCCCGGCTTGCAAGCGCGGAGAGTTCCTCAATGCGCACAGGCTGTTCGGCATTAAGAACCTCACCAGATCTCTCGCCAGCATCGAGGAGGAGTACAGAGACGATTTCATGGTGTCGGTCATCTACGAAGCCAACGCCCGCGCCGCCGATCCCGCCGGCGGATGCCAGAGCACGATCAAGTCTCTCTACGACCAGTTGCGGTGCAGTCTCGCCGAATTGCGAATCGTGAACCAGCAACTCGCGTTTCACCGCTCCAGGCACCATGAGATGCAATTGGCGGCGGCCATGGCGGATTTTGGACCGCCGTTGCAGCCGGCTAGAAGGTATGACGGGCCTATTCCGGGTCGGGTTTCAATTGGCCCTCGAGATTTTAGTGAAGCCCAATCGTTAGTTATTAGTCGAGGATTCGCTTGTACAGACTCAGGGGCAGCAGTCCCGTTTTGCTCTGATGGGTCACTCAAATCGAGGTCTGTTAAATTCTGAAACTCTCAAATTGTTTATTTCAGTGAATTAAAACAGTTTTTAGGGTTTTCACTTTACATTTAAAGTTAATTGTTTAGGTTTTTTCCCCTGCAAAATTACAATGTAGGAACAATGCATGAAGAAAATGAATCTTGTTACATTTATATCATTCCATTCTCACTGATAAACAAAACTCATATATAACCCATTCTAGATCAGTGTCAAGATGTATGTAATCCTTAACTCTATTATTCTCAAAGATCCCGACAAGCAAGTTGATGATAGAAATATGAACAGAGTTGACATTCTAGAGAATAAGATGGTTTAATTTTCAAAATTTTAATATCAACTATGTTTGAGATGCCATTCATTGTCATGTACTTGAAATATCACAAGATCATGTCTCATTACAAGATTGACATGGTAAACTCAGCACAGTTATATTTGGAAACAAATGTTAGTGTTAGGTTTTATATGCCATATATGTTCATAACCACTAAGAATCTTGATATATATGGTTTTCTTTTTCTATCATGTTTGTGTCACCATTCTTGCAAACAGTAATAAATGTTGTAGTTATTACATTATAATTCACACAAAAAAAGAGCATAGAGTATGTGATTGGGTTATCTATAGCTTTTGTGACAATTTCAAATACAATAATGTTAGGTTAAACTCCACTCTTAGTCCTTCAACTTTATTAATTGGGTACTATTGATCTTTCAAATTTCAAAAGTTCATAACTAATCCTTCAACATTATGAGTTGTGCACAATTAGTCCTTCAAGTTTCAAAAGTTCATAACTAGTATTTCAAGTACACGTCAGCCCTCCAGATGAGGTCCTTCTGACGCTAAACGCTAAAAGCTAAATGAAGTACTAGCTCCATATAATACAGAGTAGTCGTACTTAGTAGAATTTATTCGTATTATATTGAATTAGTATTGATGTCAAAAGGATCTCATCTGGAGGGCTGACATGTACTCTAAGGACTACTTTTGAATTTTTGAAACTTGAAAAACCAATCGTGTACAACTCATAAAATTGAAGGACTACTCATGAACTTTTGAAACTTGATAGATCAATTATGCACAACTCATAAAGTTGAAGCACCAATGATAGATTTTAGCATAATGTTTTTTCCACATACGATAATTGTCGGTGAGAAATTATTGTCCGCAAGACATTAGTGTTACGTTGTCACCCATGGTATTATAAAAATATTATAGCATGGGTCTTTCAAAAATCTTTGGAGCTAGCTTATTTAGTTCACATTGATAAGTTAGTATTACTTTCTGAGCTAAAATGAACAGCACAACTTTTATTTTCTTACACCACGTTTGGTTTAAAAATATCATTTTCTTTTCTTTTTCCTTTCAAATGCATTGAATCGAAGAGAGTTAGCCTTTGTTTGGAAGGAGAAATGGAGAGAAAGAAAATGGAGGAAGAGAAAACACAAATCCCAATATAAATTCTCTTGTTTGGAAAGAAAAAAATGGGAGGAAGCTAAGAAAGAAAGTGAGGGTGACTTTTTTCCCTTCATAATTTTCTCCCTGGAACCGAAGAGAAAAGTGCACAAGGAGATGAGAAGATTTTCCATCTTATTTTCTCTTTATTTTCTATCTATCCAAACACCAATTATTTTCCTTCTAATTTCTTCTCATTTTCTTTTCTTTTTATTTTCTTTCTCCTCATTTTCTTTCCTTTTACTTTCTTTTCTCATCCAAACATATCTTTCGGGTGCGTTTGGTATACGAAATTGATGGAATTGAAATTTAATGGGATTCAATTCCATAGAATTAAATTCATCATTTCTAATTCATTTTTTGCACTATCAATTCCAAATATATATAATTTTTGTGCTACCAAACACCAAAATTGAAATTAAAGTCTTCAATTCTAATTCCATAATTTGAATTCCGTGTATCAAACTGGGCCTTAATGACCATGCAATATCTCAATGAGAAGCAATTTTTTAGGAAGAAAGTTCCAAAGACGCCATTATTGTAGGAATTTGATAACAATGAGTTGGGACATGTCATAATGAGTTGGGACATATCATAAGTGGTAGTGTAATGTTATTAATGTTCTTAACTAGACTGAATGCAATGGTTCCCTATCCTCTCAGTGAATGACCCTTCTTGGAAATATGAAGATAGGGACAACTTTTATTAGGGATATAAATCTTGCAGTTATTACCATCCATTTAAATGCTGCAGTTTTTGCCATTTTTTAGCAATATCTCTTGTGACATGGAATCTTCACAATTACTTACTCCCTCCGTCCGGAAATATTCTTCCCTTATTGACTTGACACGCTTATTAAAGAATATTAAAAAAATGCAAAATTTTTAAAAATGCACATACCATAAACTTTTAAATCTTCTTTTATTATTATAAAAGTACTAAAAAAGTAGATTAGTGATAAAATAGAAGGATATTATTGAAATTTATCCTTAAAAAACATACTAAAAAAAGAAATGTGAAGAATATTTCTGGACGGACCAAAAAGGAAAGTGGAAAGAATATTTCTGGACGGAGGGAGTATATGTAGTGGCTAGTTTTAATCATTGGTCGACTATGGAGTATGTGTAATGTGTGCATTGTCAATTGGACTTGTCTACTTCAATTAGAGTGACGAAAAAGAACTATCTGAAAAGGCAAAAAGATATTAATGACTCGAATGAACTTGATACTCTGTATTACCCAAACTTGGTCTCTCAAACTTTTGAATAAAATTTTGCATAAACTAGAAGCATGAATAATAAATTATTCATCTCAAACATGTACCAACCTCAATCATAAAATTGACCTTCAACCGGACCTAAACGTAATGTTCCATTTGCCAATTTTATATACAAGGACTCTAGAATACAATTCTGTAATAGATGATTTCAATTAGCCTTAGCATTTTAAGTAACTATTATTATTACGAAATAAATTTTAAAACATTAAAGTTTAGACGTGGTCATTAGAAAATCTTTCTAATACGGAGTATTTTCTAAAACTCATCTTTAATGGTTCAGATTAATGTTCCATTTTGTGAAGCCATTCAACTCATCTTTGCAACATCACGTTTTAGTGAAGGCAATTAAACTAAATTAAAGGTTTTTATAAAAAGAAAAGAACAAAACAATTACTCCGTAAATAAAAGGATAAACCTTAGAATGTCCATTTCCATATTGTGACTCTAAGATCAACAGTACAATGTGCACCAGAAGTTGTACCCGCTGCGGGGACTTTGCCCTTGGGAATTGGGGCAGGTATCCCTTCACAAGTGACCCGGATTCCCACTTTCTTGCTCTTCATCTTCTCCAGCTTGACCCGAACCATGGTATCCATGGAGATCTTGACGGGCAGCCCGTTTTTCTTCTTCAGATCCGATTTCAGACCCGAGACCGAATCCGCATCCAGTAGCTGCGTGGGCATCGACAGCGTCGAATGAATGATGGTGATGTTGTTCGGGTTGCTGACGAAACCCGGAAACGACCCGTTTCCGATCGGGACTTGACCCGAGTACGCCGTGAGGGAGATCGGGTCGTACGCGTAGATCATTTTCGGGTCGGGGTTTTTGGCGGAGAGGGCGAGGCTGAGCTTGGCGGAGAGGCGGGTGGTTCCGTCGGAGGGGGCGGTGGTGAGGTTGAATTGGGATATCTTCAGGGACGAGAGGGAGAACGCCGGGCGCTGCGGCCGGTAGATCACGTAGAACGTGGCGCCGACGGTGGCGGCGAGGAGGAGCAGGACGGCTAGAATGAGGACGGACCAGAGACAACAGATGCAGAGGAATCTCCGGCAGCCCCAGCGGCGGGGTTCAATTCTCCGGTGATACACAGGTGCTGGCCGGTAGGGGATGCGGCCAGGCGCCTGAACCTTGACTTTTTGGGCATTTGCGGCGCCGCCGGTGGCAGTGGATGTTCCGTTCCTGATCGGCTTGGCTGATGGGTGGACTCTGTCGGCCATTTTTGCTGTTTGACGGCGGCAAGATTGTCCGGCGAAAAGAAGAAGAGGGAGAATATTGAAACAGGGAATAATTCTGCTGCTGTTGTGAAGTGAAAGGGAAGCATAAGTATGAAGATGGCCACCGTGGTATGGGGCCATGCCCATGTTTTTAAAAGTCTCTAAAAAACTTTTTCCATTATACTACGGGGTAAAAAAATTTCATATTTTTTTTTAATATAGAGTATATTGTTTTCCAAAATACAATTTTTAATATGTATTTAGTTTTACATCAATATTTATTTATATAATTGATAATTAATTTTATTCAAATATTGTAAATTAGAAAGGAATTTTATTTGGGGGAGATGAAAAGTACTACTGTATGTCACAATTTTCCCTTGAATTTTTATTATGTGAACATTTTTACTTCTTTTATCCAAAAATAAATGTTACAGTTTACTATTTAAAATTAAAAAAAATTATTCTTATGTTTTCATCGATTATTTGATAAAATAAAATATTTTTTCACTGCTTGTTTTGAATAACTTTTGACATAATTTCTGAATATATATACTCGTAATATTTATTTTTTTATTTTTATACCATTTCTTAAATAAAATAAATTCGACATTTTAAATTTTCATTTCTTTATGTAAGGTGTCAATATATTGAGATGGAGGGATAATATTTAACATTAACAATAATCACAAGAGGCCAAAGGGTGAAAATGTTTGTAATATGCCATGAGTTATGTAGCAAGCAATATGGAATCTCTTGGCTGTCACTAGATTGGTATTGCCTTTTAGGGTCAATTGCTTCAATCTTGAGGCTAATGTGTATGAGAGTCTATTCCGGTATTATTATATTCTTTGATTGCAATTTGACAGCCTATTTTTGTTTTGGATTCATATATATCCTCCCTTGTCCATTGGGAATTGCATAGCAAATTATGATCTGCAACGTGTAATGTAACTGGTTGCCACCTAACTTAAGAAAGAAAAAAAGATGAATCTCGTCTCCACAGTCTCTCAGATGGCTGAATAGTCACTGAGAATAGATAAATTGAAATTAAATCGCAGATTGATAGCAAAGACTTCAACTCGTATCTAGTACTGGCAGAGGCTCTATGCTTAGCATAGTTGTCTCCCTGTGCAATTACCAGGAATCGAACTCGAGTCTTGCTCCTTTGGCACTGATTATCTTGCCTACTGCGCAATGCACACTATCTGTCATCTAAGTTGAGACCTAAATTAGAATAATTAAAAATACTCACTTCTTCCTGCTGCAATAATGTTCTACAACGGGCATTTACACTTGGAGAGGTCTGCCCAACACTATCCTCAATACAGACAATACTCTACATTGTCAAGCATCATTCTTAAAATTTTCAGTGTCACGCCAAAATACTTGTAATTATTTTGACTTTTAGTTATACTTCTTCATTTATTTTATATTATTTATCATAAATGTGCAAATTCTTGTAAATTGAGAGGTTGAACTTGAGGTGTTCGACCTCGCCCGACGGTTGACCCATACATGAATGGATCTCCATTATACGCAATAAGAATGATGTTGTCTCAGCTCTCTCGTCTTTGAGTATCATGTTATGCAATATAATATATATATGCATACATGATATCTAAGATGAACGATTGACACAACTAGTGTGTCAGACCTTTCATTATCGCCACCGTAAATGAAAGACTCTGAATGCACGCTCCATATCTTTCTCATGCCGACTCTTGTTTCTACGGAACAGTGCCTCATTGGATTCGAACACGCAATAGTTTTCACCAATATAGACCATCGTATTACACCATTGCATTCAGATAATCAAACTCTACACAACGGCATAATTCAAAATTAATTAACAAATTTTATTAATCACTTGTTTTTTGATCTATCTCAATAATTAATTATTTATCAATTAATTAATTCTAATAGGCCTATTTTCAGAGCGTTACAATAAAATACTTATTTCATCTCAAAAAAACCTTCCTCATTTGAAAAATATGGGCTTTATAAATATAATTTTGATATTATTTTCTTAATTGTTTGTACTTTATAAAAGAGTTGGATATGACTCATATGAGGTACTCCCTCCGTCCCCATGTATTTGTCCACATTTGACTTTTGGAACTGTTCATCTAAGCACTTTGACTCATCAAATTATCTCAATGTGTAAGCCTAAATATAGTCATGTGTGATCTTGTTTGATTTGTCTTAACATATAGATTATTAATATATAATTTTTATAATTTTTTAATATACAAATTACAAGGTAAAATGGATTAAAGAAGTGTATTGGATGATGTGTAAAAATGAAAGTGGACAAATACAGGGAGACATAGGAAGTATATAATAGAAAATTAGAAATTAAAAAATAACACTAAAATTACTTATTTTAGAGAAAAGAGTTTTGTGCTTTGAAAAGTTGGATCCATATCCAGAGTTTTTCAGATCCAGCCCAATTTTTAACCCATTGGACCTGCTTCTTGTCTGATACAATTGTTCTTTAGAGTTCAAACACATAGCAACTATATTTACGCGTATGATCCAAAATTATTCCAACTTATTTCAATCCAAATATACTTCGTCAAATAATGACATGGTAACGTGAAATTGTAAAATAGTTTGATTCAATTAAAGACTCATATTTTAATGCGATAATTTGAGTTTGAATATTTCAAATGAAAATGTAATTATGAGTTTTGATTCAAATATTAATTGAACACAAATATAAATTTCAAGATGTTATAACTCCGTAAAAATATTTGAGTGTGTTCCTAGTTCCTACCCATTGTCACCTTTCAAATATCAAACAAGTTTTAGATAAGATTTTGTATATATATTTGATTAATTATTCAAATATGTAATATGGAGTATAAGTATATAACTAGTTAGGTCATATTTTCCTCAACTTATTCTTATTGTTTACAGGTACTCCGTATTAATTATTTTTATTTAAATCAGATCAGACTCAGTTATTATTTCAATTAATGTGAAGAGAAATTACCTTAAAATCATATTTTGTACCCATTAACGAGGTTAACCAAAGGTTTCACCAACACGGCATACTAATGCCTAGGGCTGTTCACATTTAGGTCTGGACTGAAAAAACCGATCGAACCGGACCGTTAGGTCCAGACCGAACCCGGACCGAATTGATTTCGGGTTGGTCTTCGTCCAAAAAATTTAGGAATTCGGGTTTCGGTCCGGTCCGGTCCAAACCCAAAATGATTTAGGTCCAGATCGATTGGACCTAATGACCCTACTGGACCTAAAAGACCTAATTACTAAAACTCTATTTTTTAAGTTCTGTATTACACGTTGATGCTCTATATTGATTGATATTTTAATTTATTTAATTACAAAGATTTTTTGTTAAGTAACAACAACAACAACAACCCAGTTAAATCCCACAAGAGTAGGGTCTGGGGAGGGTGTGTGTACGCAGACCTTGCCTCTACTCGAAAGTAGAGAGGCTGTTTCCAAAGAGACCCCCGGCTCAACGTCGAAAGTTGCATTGCTTGACTAACTGCTACTTCATTAATTAAAGAAGCGCAGACAGTTTAGAGATCCATTTTGATTTATTTCATCACACCCCAAAGTCAAAAAATGGTGAAATTTTCGCTCCATCAGAGATGATGGAATTTAAAAAAATCTTAAAAAAAACGTTTCATATTTGTTTTTATGGTTTTACATTGAACTAGTTCATATTTTGTATCCATTTTAAGGTTGCATATTTTTTTTATTCGTTTTCTATTTGAATGGTACAAAGTAAAAAGTATAAAATTTATTTAATTGATCAAAATAATTAAAAAAAAAAATTTTGGTCCAATCGGTCCGGACTGGTTCGGTCCTAAATATTTCGGTCCGGTCTGGTCCAAACCCGATTAGATTTAAGTCCGGTCTTCGGTCCTTGAATTTTCTCATTTCGGTCTTCGATCCGGTCCGGGTCGGTCCGGTTCGGTCCAGTCTTAGACCAATGAACAGTCCTACTAATGCCATCACTAAACGCCAGCCGCCGCCACAACTACCGGCGGCCATTGGCGGATCAACAGCCAAAGGTGAGAGGGGAAGGGCCCTCAGTCTTTTTTATAATTAAAAAGAAATAAGAAAGAAGAAATAAGAAAAAGAAGAAGATACTCTATATTTTCTTGGTTAACTCATTTGTGCTCTCGAGTCCAAAAGAAGGTGCCCCACTCAAAGAAATATTCCCAATAGCCATGTCCTAGTCTTGAAAAAAAGATTTCATACTCCAATTTCAATGTTGGTTTAATACTTTAATAAACTACATATGATAACAAAATTTATATTTAATTTATTTAAATATCGATGTAAACTTTTAAAATAAAACTCAAAATATGTACTTTAGTTTTTTTGACACTGGTGGCCTGTGTCATACTTCGTTGTATGATTTGGAATATGACACTCACTAATTTCAGCATCCTATAAAATTTTATTTGATTCCAAAGTGATTCATATCCCCTAAAATGATCACTCCGCCCCAACCTTTAATCGAAACTCACCAATTAAATTGACATTATGTTCATATTGGCAATAATGTCAACCAATTCAATTCAATTGGGGTGGTTGCAGGCTAGTGTCATACTAGATGACATTTAAACTAGTTTTTTCGTTTCTCTATTTTGACCGAATTAATTACAAAATTGTTTCTCACCATTTATAAATATTTACAAATGACTAATCCATCATTTAAGTCATTATATTTCTACAAAAAATATTTAACTTATGAACAACTTATAAGTTAAAATCGTTTATCAACAAATAGCCAATAAACTCCGGGATAGAGAAATACTCTCAAATATTCTTACTTTCATAGAGCTCTAAGCATCTATTCACATCTACCAAACGAGTCACAACCAAGTTACACATCCATCATCACTCTGAAATCACAAATAAATACGACTTATAACCTCAACACACAACATACTCAAGCAAGAAAATTTCTTTATAGGCTTCATGTAAGTCCGGATTTGCATTTTCTTTTCTAAAGTCATCTTTGTCGTATACCAATTGACTTGCTTACATGATTATTAATTATGCCATTATGGCTTACTCTATTTCAACTATAGGTTGTGAAATCCAAATAGTGCTTAATGATTTTTGCATTGCTTAGATTAGAGTTATGGGCTGATGCAGCGAGTTGCCTAGACAAGGTGAACTATTTTTCTTACTATTCTTTCCTTCCTAAAATTTTATTTATTTTTAATTTAATTTATTTGATTATAGGTGTAAAGTTAAAAAATAAAATTTATATATTTAAAAGCTACATTAAAAGTTTTACAAAACAAGAATTGACAAGACTTTATTATTTTATTACTAAATAACTAACAAAAATAGATAAAGAAAGTGATAAAAGGTTAAATATGTAAATAGTAACTGGAAAGTACTCCCTCCGTCCCATGAAACATGAGACATTTGCTTTTTAGGAGGGATTTAAGGGGAGTTATTTTGGTATTGAATTTCCAAAAATGTCCTTTGATGTGATGGGTAAAAGTATGATTTGATGGATAAATTATTAGTAAAAAGGTATGATGTGATAGTTAGGGTATGAAAAAGTAAGGGGTAAAAGTGACTTTTTAATAGAAATGAGAAGTGTTTTGTGGGACGTACAAAAAAAAAGGAGAAAAGTTTCATTGGACGGAAGGAGTATGTTTTAGTACAGAGGAAATATTAAATGTGTTTTTGGTCCATGTTAAATAAGCATTTTTTTTTCTTTAAATCCTTCTAAAATGTTTTTTATTAAGTCATCCCTGTAAAATAATGTATTTTGCAATTAGTCTTTTCTCTATTTACTTTTGAATGAATTTTTGGTCCCAATAAAATGTTTTATATCCAAAGCAGTTTTGCTTTTGATCCTTTTCAATTCTAACAAACTAATTCTAAGTTGGTGGGAGGATCATTTGCAAAAATAAATATTTTACAGAGATGATTTGATTAAAAAAATAATTTAGAGAGACTAAAAACAAAAATTACTCCTTTCACAAAACCAAAAGTTTATTTAACTCTATTTGTTTGTTTGTTTTGGTACTCTTACTTCTTAATTGTGCAAATCAGCCCAGATAGGTCATCCTTTTCAAAGAAGGGTGGGTTGGGTGGGCCGAAAAGGCAAACATCTAAAAATAGTCCAAAATAGATCTCCCTGTGGGTCCGAAATGACAAGAATGCCCATTGGACCAACCCTACGGGTTTTCAAAATGATTGCCATTTTCCTACGACCAGATAAAAATCCAAAATCACAAAGTGGAGCAACTTTCCGGTTTTATACAAGAATCCAAAAACAAAGAACAATTGTAAAACGACCCCTACAGTCCTCATTGTTTTATCTTTCAGCCCCTCTACGATTCACCCCCTTGTACCTGAGAATGGAGTCCGCCCTCTGCAACTCCAGCTGCTGCCGGAACTTGTTGATGAAATCGTCGGCCTTCGCGTCCACCTCCTCGTCGGCCTCCGTCATCACTCTCTCCTTCATCGTCGCCGGCCGGCGAGCCTCCACGTCCACCTCCTCGGAGTCCGAACAAGCGGTTTTCATGCTGGCGGATTTCGTCATCTTCGCCGGAACCCTGGCCGGGATCTCCTCGGTCAACGGGTCCGCGTCTGAGTCGTCCCTCTTGCTGGAACCTCCGTCCAATCCGCCCGGCATCTCTGCTGCCTCTTCTTCGATGGCTGCCTGGAACTCAAAACGGGTCCGGATCGGTTCGGGTTTCTCATCCCGGGTCACAATCGGGTCAACGCTTTCTTCATGCGAAACGATCTGGACCTCGCTTTCCGGGAGGTAATCCTGACGGAAAATGTAACTGGCAGTCTGGATTAGGGTTTGTGGATTCTGGGCGGAATCGGGTTCGAAATCCGGGTTAGGTTTCAGAGCGGGCTCGGGAGATCTGAGAACGGGGAAATTGATGGATCTGAGACGCTGAAGAACGGAGGGAGATCTGGGAACCTTGGGGGCGGTAGATGAGGATGCAGATGAAGATGTAGATGATGAATCGTGGTGGGACTGAGGCTTCTGGTTGGCTAGGGAGGAAGTGAAGGCTATGGCGGCAATGACGGCATTGAGGATGACGAAGAAGACGGTAGGAGTGAGCCAGCTGTTGATGGCTGCGAGGACGGAGGAAGGGACGATAATGGACACTGTCTCTGCAAACATTGTATGCTCTGTTTTCTAGAGAGAGAGAGAGAGAGAGAGAGATGGCGAGAAGTGAGGAGTTGCAGAGATTTGGAGATGGAAGAGCTGAGAGAGTGGCGCACTGTGGCAGCGAGGATGTGGCCAAAAGTGAGCTGGTTTTCATTATGTGGTTAGAAATCCATTCCTCTCACATTAATCTCTTTTTTCTTCTTCTGAATAACATGTAAAAATTTATCAATTTCTTTTTTAAAAAGGATAATATACAAAATTTAAAAAAATATAATTTACATAATAAAGAACTATATTAAAAGTTTTACAAAACAAGTAGTAATTGCTTATGCTATGTTGTCAAATAATCAATACAAATACTCCCTCCGTCCCCTTAAGATGTTCTCATTTTGACTTTTAGTGGTTTTTAAGGAGAGTTGAAAAAAAGTGAAAGTTTACTATAATACCCTTAATGAAAATGAGTGGAGTGTATTAAATGAGGTGGGTGAGATGTAATAAATAAAGTAAGTGGGGGTAGTTGTGGTATTTTAATTGTTAAAAAGTGAAATGAGAAGATCTATTGTGGACAAAGAAAAAGGGTTATTGGGAAGATTTATGGGGACGGAGAGATTATATTTCTCTCTATCCTAAAATGATATTTCCATACACTATTCATATCGTCAAACTATTTCGTATAATCATTTTCTTTACCGATTTACATTAGTTATGTAATAAATAATATAGTCATGTCACCTCTTGTTTTATAAAATTTTTGATGTTGTTTTAAAGTATATATATAGAAATCATCCTAAATAAGACCAAAACATAGAGAAAGTACCAAAATAGGACTTTCATGTTTTTTTTCTCAGAATAGGACTTTGCACTGTAGTAATGTGATTTTGCATTGTGGTAATGTGGCAGTGTACATGTGCAAATTACTATACTTTCTTGGTAATGTATATGACCATGTTTGGTAATGTAAGTCCTATTTTGGGAATAAACACATGGAAGTCCTATTTTGGTATATTTTCAATGTTTTAGTCCTACTTTGGTCTTTCTCCCGTATATACTCCGATAATTTTTATTTTTAGTTTTACATCTGATGGTATAAATTAACCATCCGGGAAAACTTTACTAGACCAGGTCTAAAATACTTTGCCGAGCTTAGAAAGTAAAGAAGTGCAGAAAGTAAGATAAAAACTTAAAATATATTTAATTGATCAAAATAATTTTAAAAAATACTTCGTATATTTTTATTCGGTCCAATCAGTTCGAACCTATTTGGTATTTTGGTCCTATGTATTTCAGTCTGATCCGGTCCAAACTCGAATAGAGTTAGATTCAATCTTTAGTTCAAGATTTTATTCAATTCGGTTTTCGCTCCGTTAGTTACCGCGGTAACAGAAGCCATAATATGTGGCCTTAGATGGATGGGCCTTGAAACTTGGTGAATGACTGATTTCAATATTTCGCAGATTTTCTGGGCCTTTCATAGACCCCGTTGGGCCATTGGTAGGCCAAGTGCAACGAGACCACGTGAGATGTGAAGCTTTGGAAATCTGTAGAAATTTGTTTGGTTAGCTGTGCTCTCACGTTCCTTTCAACTATGTAAATGAATTGTGGTTACTTTAGATAATGGTAGAAGTGGAGTAGAAAGAAATAAGATATTTAGATGGAGAAAAAAATACTCAATGAAAGAAAAGAAGTGGAGTAGAAGACTAGTTGAGGGCTCCTACTTTCGAGAAAAGATTTGATAAGAATTTTCTAATCTAAAAAATACATATGATACTGGTTTTGAAATCTAAAGTTAAGTTGTCTATAAAAATTTGAAATTTATGATTTAATTTGAGATTGGCCAAAATGGACGACAACGTGGGTGTATGGTGATAACAGAGGTAGCCGGTGGCAAGGGGTCGTCTACGGTGTTGGGAGACTAGGACATATCGAATTTTCATATTGATATATCACAAATTTGAGAGATATCAAAACTCTCAATTTGAAGGGTTTGTATAAATTGGAGATAAATCTAAGTTCAATTAATTTTATGCTTCACCAAAAAAACAAAAAACAAATTGTAATGTCAGGAGATTTTAGAACACGTATTTCATTCGATCACCAAACATGTCCTTAATAAATTTTTAATAGTATTTGGATTGAGGAAATTATTAAGGATTTAATGTAAAAAGAAAAATAGTTTTTTCATTTCTTTTGTTTGGATGCAAATTTTAGAGCGGATCTAAGATCATCTCACACTTATATACGGAGTATAACGTTAGTAAGCATTTGCTTACTATTGTGTCCATCATTTTTGTTTTTTTATTTTTGTTAAAAAATAAGATACAAATTTTACTCGTAGTATATGAGAAGATTAAAAAAAAAAGAATTATACAGAGTAGATCTTTAAGTGCACCTTAAAAGTTTTCTTATTTGGGAAGGTAGAATAGTGTGTGAAAAAAATGATAGATATTCAAAATTGAATCTCCTTATGAACTTTTCCCCTGGCTTGAGTGGTAGCAAGCTCACTTTCCAAGATTTCCTTTTGTAATCATGAAAAAATTAAGTTTTTTTTTGTAAATAAATAAGAATCAACTCTAACCTATAAAAAATATGTGACTATACCCACATTTAAATATGAGTTGTTCTTACGTGCGTCATTTGTTCGCGCGCAACTGACTGTGCCATCCCTCTATTCTTCATCGCCAAGTCAGACCGGGCCACCTTGGGTAGTTCTTCAGGATTATCCTTTCTCTACAGACAATGTTAATATGACTAGGCTAAAAAAATGACCGGTGACCTTCGTAATTTTTGACCGGCCACTTTATGAATTTTGATTTACGATAATTCCGAGACTTGTAAAACTTGACCGGTCACTTTACGAAGTGCGAGCATTCTGAGACTTGTAAAACTTGACCGGTACTTTTATTTCAAACTTGGCCGCTCACTTTTGTGGAAATTGACCAATAGTGTTAATGAAGCTGAATTATTATCTGCGTATAAGTTGATTCCAAATCGCTGCATTATCATAAACTGTACATAACGCACAATTGTTAGGGCATTGTTACCTTCTTAATGACGACCCAAAACGCGATACATAATTTTAAAAAGTAAGATGATTTATTGAAGGAAGAGTAAGACTATTTTAAATAAGTTACTCTTGATTTGAAGACTTGAGGGTAGAAAATAGAAAGCACAAAGGGGGGAGTGTGGGTGTTTTGTTGGAATAAATGACTTGGAGGTGTCGACACCCTCTTCCTCATTCTCTTTGCCAAGACGACCCCCCTGTTTCAAAGAATCACCAATCCTTCGTCAAAATGTCGACATCTCTCCCTCAAAATCTCCCTCTTCTCTCTTTCTCTCTCTCTCAATCCCGGACGTTTCCCGTTTCTCTGCGCACGATAAAGTCCCCCCCCTTTTCGTTTCCGAACTCTGTTCCGTTCTCCTCGCCATCACCGCCTCCATATTCGGAGACGGATAGAATAGAGCTTCGCGTTCTGTTACCATGTCATTCCTCGAGGTTCGCCCTTCACTTCCCTCCCATTCCTTATTATTATATATTCCTTCTCTGTTTAAACCCGTGATCGCTTTTGATCCTGGGCCAAATCATTCTGATAAAACCGTCAATCTGTCTGTGTGTTTTAGGGTATTCTCCCGTTTTTTATGGATCGAATTAGGGAGAAGACCAGCGGCTTCGCAGGTAAACTGCCAATTTCGAATTTCTGCGTCTCAGTGATTTAAGATTGAACTTGGAATCCTGGGTTTTGGGTTCTGTTGGTTGATAGTTGATTCATGCAGTTTGGTTGTTTTCTTGATTGTTGAATCTAATTTTGGCATCAGTTATTTTTCTCATTTGATTGTTTGTGCTCATTCATTATGCTCTTTGTCCATCACATGTTTGATTTTTTCTTGATTATGTTTCGTTTCTAAACTGCTCGCAGTAAATTCCACTAATGAGCTGTTTTCCTGCTTGTTTACACTATTCCACATGGAAGTTTGTACTCACTATGTTCTTTGTTCATCTCATGTTTGATGCTTTCTTGATTACTTCATCCGTCCCAGAAACACTTTCGTGTTGCACGTTATGATGTTTTGTTGACATGATTTTCAATTAGTCGTTTAGTGGTAGGTCTATCTTAGTCTTAATTCTTCATATAATTAAAATTTGACTGAAATTTCATTCTTTGAGCGATTTGTAATGACATCAAAGCTTGAGCGTCTACCCATCTTTCCTACCCACAACAAAAAAAAATCATGAAATATGCAATGCTTTTTCTTCCCAAATGAATAACCAAGTGGGAAACAGGATGAAAAGCTAAGTCTCTATGCTTTGGTGTGTCAAAACAGGCTCCTTTTTGCTGAGAGTTTCTCAATCTATGTCTAACGACAGCTGCGGCAGTTCTGACAGTGGGCCAGGGAACTGCCAAGACAGTGGGACGGCTTTCGTCCTTAAAATGGTTGCAATTGGCTGTATCCTAATCGCCGGTGCATTTGGAGTTTCATTTCCATTAATTGGAAATAAACGACGGTTCCTTCAAACAGACTCAAACCTCTTTGTTGCTGCCAAAGCCTTTGCTGGTGGTGTCATCCTTGCCACTGGTTTTGTCCACATGTTGCCCGATGCGACCGAGAATCTGACCGACTCCTGTCTGCCTGATTTTCCTTGGTCGAAATTCCCGTTCTCCGGATTCATTGCGATGATGTCAGCACTGGCTACATTGGTTGTTGACTTTGTCGGGACCCAGTATTACGAAAGGAAGCAAGAGAAACAGAGCCAAAAAGGAAACACTGAGTCACTTGAGGCAGCATTGTCTGAGTCTGCAATTGCTCCCGTGGAGATAAAAGGGAGGAACGGAATGGTGTTTGGGGAAGAAGAGGGAGGCACAATTCACATTGTTGGAATGCATGCACATGCTGCTCATCATAGACATAACCATTCTCAAGAAGTTGGGGCATGCCAAGGCCGCACCAAGGAGCATTCACACGGCCATTCACACTCTCATTCGCACAATATTGGTCACGAGGATGATGAAAATGGCGCGAGGCACGTAGTCGTTTCGCAGGTATTTTTGTTGCCTTTTACCTTTTTTTCCGCCCCACTTTTTTTTTTGTCTCATGCCATAATAGGTCAAATTTGTGTGGTTTACCTTCTTACTTTATCTCACTCCCTCTATCCCGAATTAATTGTAACGCCTTGATTTCATGGAGTCTAAGAAGAGTGTTACAGAAGTAAAAAGTGGATGGATGAAATTTGTTGAGAAGAAAGAGAAGAGTTGTGGAATGTGGACAACAAATTCTTTACTTTATTAGGAAAGTAAAAAAGTGTGAAGATTATTTTGGATGAACCCAAAAGGAAATTGTGAAGTTCAATTCGCGACAAAGGGAGTACTTTCAATTTTCATTTCAAACATTAATACCAACCACACAATCATATTTTTCTTAGGCCTCGTGACACTTCCTCATGTCCCAAAAATAAGTGTGTTTCTCTGTGGTGGTGTTTATTGGCTTATAACTGATAAACAGTTTATAACTTATAAGCTGCTTATAAGTCAAATATTCTTTCGTGGAAGTAAGTGATAAGTAAGTCATTTGGAAATATTCATAAATGGTGAGGAACCGTTTTGTAAATAATCTGGTCAAAACAGAGAAACAAAAAACTAGCTTAAAAAGAAGTAGCTAAGACCTACTTGTTTGCTATTTGATCGAGTATCTACTCGTTTGCTATTGGAGTTAATCTTTGGACTTTCTTGTTTTCTTCTTATTCTCTTAATGCAAGGTTTTGGAGCTAGGAATAGTGTCGCACTCGATGATCATTGGTCTATCACTTGGGGTTTCTGAAAGTCCATGCACAATAAGACCCTTGATTGCGGCGCTATCCTTCCACCAGTTCTTTGAAGGGTTTGCCCTTGGGGGTTGCATATCACAGGCCCAATTCAGGACCCTACGCGTCACCCTAATGGCCATGTTCTTTGCCATAACGACCCCCTTGGGGATCGCCGCGGGGCTCTTACTTTCCTCCTTCTACAACCCTAACAGCCCTAGGGCCATGGTGGTGGAGGGCATCTTTGACTCCATCTCTGCAGGTATCCTAGTGTACATGGCTTTGGTTGACTTGATCGCCGCCGATTTCTTGAGCAAGAAGATGAGCTGCAATACCAGGCTCCAAATCGCGTCCTATTTTTGCCTGTTTTTAGGCGCTTTACTTATGTCGTGTCTCGCTATATGGGCTTGAATATTCATTCCCTCTGCTTTGTTATATATGTGTAATGCATGTGATCTAGCTTGTGTTATTGTCATATGAAATCCCAACAGAGGCATTATTGTTTGTACCATTTCATCTCTTTTTAATGTTGATGAGGGCTGAAAAGGAATGCCAAGCTGTAAAGATGGAAGTTTCAGAAATGGTGGTATTCTTCTTAGGTTCATATGAAGTAAATGTATTTACCCGGTCTCTAAATGAATTTTACATTTACATTTTTCGTTCAGATCATCCCAAAAAGAATTTTACACTTTTACGCTTTCCTTTTTAGGAAATGAAAAGGGGGTTCCAATGTCATGAGAACCTCTAGGTCATCTCATGACATGAGGTTTTAAATTTTTAATGTTATGAGAACCCACATTCAATTTATGATGTTTGATTGAAGTTATTTTAAATTTAGTTTATATATAACAATTAGAGTGGAATTAAAATTAATAATTTGTATACGGAGTAATTAAAAACTTTCATCTAAAGTTCTTCAAATTAAGAGGTGACATGATTATGTTATTTTATCAAATGAAGAGTAAAAATAAGTAAGTAAATAAAGTGAATATATTTTGACCCCTTATAAATAGTAAAAAGAATTAGGGGCTGTTTGTTTCAGCCTCTTAATGGTTCAGATGTCTGAATGATTCAGCACTTAATGGTTCAGACTGTTTGTTTCAGTCTTTTAATGGTTCAGATGTCTGAATGGTTAAGAGATTTGGCTCTGAATGGTTAAGTATTATACAGAGTCTGAATGGTTAAGAGCTCTTATCTGAATTGATCAGACATTTACCTCTGAATAGTTAAACAATATACTAGCTCTTAATGGTTCAGACATCTTACTGGTTCAGCACTTAATGGTTCAGACCTCTTACTGGTTCAGCACTTACCCATTCAGAAGTTGCCAAACAGCCCCCTAGTTTAATGTACGAAGGAGGGAGTAAGTATTATGTATACATTCTGAATAAATACTAAAATAAATAAGGATAATGTTATTTGTACTCTAAGAATTTATACCCCATTTTGTACACTGCAAGGATGTACTGACATTTTTTGTTGGTGTAATGCTATTTTTTGTTAACGTACTAATACTTTGTATCCGTGCAAATTTTTGTTAACGCACCAACACTTTGTGTTAATGTAAACCATTAAAACGTTGGTGCATACCTTTGGTGTACAAATGTAGTACAAATTTTGGAGTACATGTAGCATACTCCAATAAATAAATAAATAAATATGCAAAATGAGTATATTGTTACTCAAAAGTGAGTATTCCTATAGGCGTAAAAAACACCTTACACCCCCAATAGGACTCTACACCATCTAATGTAAAATTAGAAAAAAACAAAAGTGAGTAAACTATTATGAAAGGAATAATAAAAGATAAATGGCTACTCAATTGGTCTCACATCTTTCATTCATTTTTTGCTTTCGTGGTTATCATTTTTAAAGTTTGACTATAACTTATAGAAAAAAATAAATTGAATTATAATATAAATAAATTACTTTTGTAAAAAAAAATCAAAATATCATTTTTGGAATATAATACTCCCTCTGTCTAAAAAAGAATTACACTCTTCACTATTCAAAAGTTACGGAAAATTTTGAAAATATTATTTCACATTTTGTTTTATAGATTTTTTGATGTAATTTTTAAATATATACTACCTCCGTCCCAGAGTATTTGTCCACTTTTATTTTTACACACCATCCAATACACTTCTTTAATTCATTTTATCTTGTAATTTGTATATTAAAAAATTATAGAAATTATATATTAATAATCTATATGTTAAAACAAATCAAACAAGATCACACATGACTATATTTAGGCTTACACATTGAGAGAATTTGATGAGTCAAAGTGCTTAGATGAACAGTTCCAAAAGTCAAAACTGGACGAATACTCCGGGACGGAGGGAGTAAATTTTATTTTTTATTCTTATACCAATATTTAGTAAATAAAAAAAATTAAAAAACTTAAAATTTCACTTCATTTTACATAAAGAGGCTAATAATTAAAATATTTGTATTAAAGATCCTAAAAAGAGAAACTAAAAGAAAAACATAGCACCGACCAAAATAAAGAAAGAGTAGGGTATGTGACCATCATATTATCTCATTCTTTCACACATGTCACGTTGTCATTTGACAACTTAAACTCTAAATCAATACGCGTGAAGTTTTTTCAAAAAATAAATAAAAACACGCGTGGAAGTCTTTAAAGTCCCATGGGAGGGAAAGTTGTGCGCATTTTCTAATTTAACAAGGAGTATTTGTTTTATCCTAAAATGAATTACTTCTTTCAACTAGTGTGTAAAATTTTATGACTTTTAAAATAATTTATTTATAAATTTATATTAAAGTAAATATATTATACATTTAAAATCACCTCGAAAGTTTTTAACAACTAAACAAGAGATGAAAAAGAGATAAATTATTTTAAGACGAGATAGTATTTTATGTCTTTGTTTAATCTTTTTATTAGTCTTCTACACAACAAAGACCAGCTTAGCATCAATGTTGAAAATTAGAGTTTACATTTTAGTAAAGCTATTAGACGATAACGTCTAAATTTAGCCTTTTCAAAATTCACTTACACTATCAAAATTTTATTTAAAACACTAATATTGATTATATATGCTTTAACAAGCTAAGGTCAAAAAACATAAAGTTACATACTGGAGTAGTTAAAATTTGAATAGAGGAGATAGAATTGATGTGAATGGAACAATTCTTTCCTGAAAAAAAAATATAGAGTAATATCTTTTTCTTTGACTATTCATCCTGTTTTGACTTCTTGCATTCAAACCAATATTTGACTTACAAGTAAATAAAAATTACTCCGGATACATTATATTATCTATATAAGACAATATCTTGATTTTTTTAAATTTAATGCTTTCCTCATCCCAAATTAATCTTTCTGTCTACTATTAAGGCTTTTGATAACTTATGCATGTATGAATGTTTTTATTAAAAATTTGATAAAAAGATATATTTTAGTCACCTATTGCTTTGTAGGACTTTCAATGTAACTTTGAATTTTGTATTTTATACTTTTATTTCTATATCAATTTATAAATGTAATTAATTAAAAAAAGCAAGATTTAACATATTTTTCCAAATGAGAAGAATACATCGAAACGAGCAAGTAAAATTATTCTTGTATGAATATCAATTATAATTTTTATTTGATTAACAATCAAAGTTTATGGATTTTGACTTAAAAAGCTGGCCTACGATACTATGAATGAAGTAATAAATTTGATTTGAATATGCTAGAGTGCCACAACATGCGTGCTATCATAGGTATACACATGTTTCGCATAGACAAACACATACATTATGTATAATACAGACGATTTTTGTAATTATTTATTTGTGCAAAACATGTATTCACCCAACAATACCATTATTCAATTTGATTAGAGAAGTTCAAAAAAGGAAAGAAAGTAGAGAAGGGAAGGTGGGAGGAGTAGTACCATTACTGAATTGCGGTGGGTAGTAGCTTCAGGAAGAAGACTAGAAGAGACTCCCACCTCCGCAGCGGCTTATCCGCCCCCCATTTCCCCACCACCCCCGGTGGCGCTGACTAGCTCTTGTGAACGAGGAAATCCTGCTCGATTCCTCGTCGATGAGACTCCATGTCGAAGATGAAGCATTTGCTCCGGAAACTTCACATCGGCAGCGGCGTGACCGATCACCACCATCCCCCGCACCACCGACCGCCGACGCCGCCGATTGATCCGCCTCCGATTGGTGAATCGGACGCTTCGTTGACCTTGGGGTCTTCCTCTGCGGAAACCACGCCCTCTTCGTCGTCCGCATTGCCCAGAGGTGGGCCGTCCAATTCCGGGTCGGATTCCGCCACCGACTTCAATTTCTTCGAGGAGGAGTTTCAGGTCCAGCTGGCCTTGGCGATTAGCGTGTCCGACCCGGATTCCCGCGAGGATCCGGAAACCGCTCAGATCAAGGCTGCCCAACAGATTAGCTTGGGTTGTTCCCCCTCCGAGACCAGCTCTGAATTTCTTTCTCGTCGTTACTGGGTATCTATTTCAACTTTCTTCTGTCCATTTTTGCTCTGTATCTTCATAATTTCCTAGACGGATTCGTAGGAATCGTGATTTCTGGGTTCAGAATAGAATTGTTAACTCATCCAATTAAATGCTTCGGAGTAGAAGTTTTGTTAGCAAGTCTGGGCTTAAAAATTTATTTATTTACTTACTCGTTTTGTCAGATCATAATCAATGGGTAAGTGCTGAATGCGATTCCTTTGGTCTACTTTATTGCAAGTAAGAAGCAAAGGAAGTTTAATGTGCCATTTTGATATAGTCCACTATTCACCCAATGCTAAAACATTAACTGCCACTCTTCTAGCTCCATTGGCAATGGGACGTAAGGGGCTCTATGTAGAAACTAGTTAAAAAGGTGTAAGTAGACCCTGAAGGCTTCAATCTTCAAGCTGAAGTAACTTCCTTCTAAGAGGGAGGCACACACTTTTAGAGAACAAACAGGCCACGAAGTGCTCTCATTGTTCCTTCCAATGGTCGAAGCCTTAGCTTCTAGAAGTCCCTCCCTTTTTGCTTTGTTTTTAACTTTTTAATATTAAAATTTTTGGCACAACCTATGGGTGCTTGAGTGCTTCAGATAACCCAAATAATTTTTTCAAAAAGTTTAAAAACAGAACACATGCCAATGTCTCAAGCATGCAATTTTACCTTGTGCCTCCACCTCCTAAGCATGTGCATTAGTTAATGCATATGCCTCTAACAATTTTCATTTCCACGGGAAGTACATCATATTCCAAAATCCAACATCGGTTTTAAAGTTTTAACTCCACATCTCATGACAACTCTCTCTCTCACACACAATCTAGATAATTCATCAAACTTGAAGATGGTCTCCTTCTTTAAAGCCTAAACGTCTTCCACAAATGCTCTCACTCCTTGCCTCTGGTAGAATAACTTAATCATGTCTCACATAATTTATTCTTTGTCCCATTTTATCGTGCCTACTGCCTACTCTGACTGTGCATGGACATGATAAAGTATAAAGTGAAAACTGCGTGGTTGAGATTTATGCTTAGAAGAGTGAAACAGTCTGAACTACATAATGTTTTCTGTAAATGGACATGCATGATAAATTGGGATGGACCATAAAAGAAAAATGCATGATACATAGAGACACAAGTAGTAGCTGCTTACTTGTTTATAACTTGTAAGGTTTCTTCTTCCAAATTAAAATTGATGAAACTAGTGTCATTGTTCCTCTCATATGAATCTCAATAAAGAAACATAATCATAATCTGTCTTGTTTTGATTATGTTTTTTGGGTACACCCAATTTTACTTATGTAAGATGATTTTTGAGGGCAGCTTTGCATTCCTCCAATGTCAAGAAAGTGATGAGATGATAATATGAGGTCATCAAACAAATTCTTAGAGGGTCTTTGGAAGTGATTAACTTGTGAATAAAATGATTTTCACAAAAGCTGAAAGCAGAAGTACCATATATCTGCTTCTCCAAAATGGTGTTCTATGTAAAAAATGATGGTGAAGATAAGCAGAAGTTGATATGCCAAACAGAACAAAATGATTATCACTTAAAGCAAAAACTAAATTTTGAAAAGCACTGCAGTGCCGAACACCCTCTTAATATGCTACTCATAGTATTTTGATGTACGCTGCACACTTGTCTTGTCTAGATTGCAGATTGCTTTGAGCAGTAAAAATTTAGGCATCATTTCACGTAGAAGCATGTTCTTCTCATTGTAAATGTTTTGTCCCTTATCCTTACCATACTTAATGTAAGCATTACTCTGAAAAGGCAGGATAGCTCTACCCCCATGATTTTTTTTTCAATCTGTTTATGTAATCTGTTTTCCAGGTTTACTTACGAGCTTTACTTTCTAACTCTGCAGAGCTACAATGTTGTAAATTACGATGAGAAGGTGATGGATGGGTTCTATGATGTATATGGATTTAACTCAAATGCAGTGGTTCAAGGGAAGATGCCACTCTTAGCGGATCTTGAAGCAATTTCCGTTTCAGAAGATTTTAACCATGAAGCCATCTTAGTGAACCGGGCTACTGATGCAGAATTGCTACAGCTAGAGGAGAGAGTGTCCTTTATATGTAGGGAGTGCCAAGCTTCGAAGAAGCAACCCATTACAAATATCTTGGTTCAGAAAATTGCTGATCTAGTTGTCGATAAAATGGGAGGTTCTGTTAATGATACTGAGGAAATATCTAGAAGGTGGATTGCCAGGAGTTTTGAATTAAGGATTTCCTTGAACTCTATTATACTTCCCCTTGGCTGTCTAAATGTTGGGCTCTCTCGGCATAGAGCCTTACTTTTTAAGGTTGTAAGCGCTTTCATATACTCTTACATTTTCTCCAGTTACTTTTAATCATCTACTATATGTCTGGACATCCAATTCCGTTCATCATCTGGCTCACTACGTATAGTGGTGTAAATGCATAAAACATTCTGCTCAGTATAGTGCTAGTGTTGGTACTTAAGTTCCTTAGCTGAAATGTGATATAAGGTAGATATATGTTAAATATTAGTCTAGATCCCATTTTGGAGTATGTTGCATTAGAAAAGTAGGGATAGCAATGGGTCGGGTGGAGCTTCACCCTCATCCATCCATTAACTTCACATCCATCTGTCTGTCACCCAATCCATCCATCATCAGTTGCATACATCACCCATCATCTGTCCACCACACACGATTGACACTGGAGAAAACGGGTGAAATTTATAATTTTTTAAAACCATTATTAGTTTTAAGCATCAAACATATCATTGAGCACAAGAAAAAGTTTTTTCAACAAAAAAGCAACTTCGCAAAAAAAAAGAGAGCCTATAGTATAAAGGAACAACATGATACCACATGAGCAGTAACAAAAAACTATCAATAAACTTAAAAAAGAAGCTATTGTCTTAGCATTTGGAAATGATAGTTACATTTCATCCCATCGCTAATTAATTTAGAGGGAAACACGGTCAGGCTGAAGCTCAGGAAGCGAGACAAAGAGTAGAAATGTGATCTAGCAGATTAGGGTTTATTTTTTAAAAATGGGATGCAGGGTATTATAGTACTGTATTTTTGTATGAATATGGATGGGTCTGCTGACGGGTGAGAAAAATCTCCACCTGCATCCGACCCGATCTGTCGTCCACTCCATCCATCATCTGCGTATGATCCATATTTTTTTGGGTTTCCTCCATTAGATCGGGTCAGGTGGCTCGGTTATCCAACGGGTCGGGTAGAATTTGCCATCCTTAATCCCAAATTAGGCCTTGGCGGCTCAACTTTTATTTCACAGAAAGTCTATTACTCTGTGGAACAAACAATAATCACATCTGCTACTTGTTTAATAGTACTATTGAAACTATTTCTAGTATAAGTGAAGATTTGATTGAAAGTTATCTGCATTGTTGTGGAGATGAGCTCCATGAGTAGAGGATAAGAGGTCCTAGCAAAAATATATATTAGCATTGGAAAATCACTCTTCTATGATATCTTATGACATTCAGATATCCTGCTTCTAGGTACTTGCAGATAGAATCAACCTTCCATGCAAACTAGTTAAAGGGAGCTACTATACTGGGACTGATGACGGAGCTGTTAACTTGATAAAATTTGAGAATGGAAGGTAAAGTTGTGCTTATTTTACTTTGTCTATTTGAAACCTTCACTGCTCTACTATAAGAAAGTCATTTAATGATATTACTCCATCTGTCCCAAAACAAAGTTTACCCTTTGCTTTTCAGCCCGTCCCAAAATAAACTTTACACTTCTCTCTTTTCTTTTTTAGGAAAGAAATATGTAGGTTTAACAATTTCTCTCTCACCTAACCAAATCTCAACCATACACTTCCTACTCTTCTACACTTCAAAGTTCATTTTGGAACAGGGAGAATATTATTTATAAAAGCAGCTAGATCTTATTGCCACAATAGGAGAACAGCACACATTATTATTATTTTTCTATTAGACTCTTAAACTAGGATAGTCAGCTTTATCGTGGAAAGCCTAATGTTTAACCATTAGCACATTGCAATAGAAGTAGAGCAAAACCATCCTTCTCAAAGCCGGATTGGCTAGAAATTCAGTGACACTACAGCCCTTTCCAAAAGCATCTTTAACCTTAATTTGAATATGCTCTTTAAGCCTACATATCTTTTCATCAAGTTATGCATTATCACCCATTTCCATTTCATCTTCATGGTAGAACACAGTCTAACAGCTGCTGTGGAGTCCATTTTCACACAAACTTTTGCATAGCCCATTTTTAATACACAGCTCCAGCCCTTGCAAAATGTTTTGATATCAGCCGCAAACACACTTATATGACCATAACAATCACAAACACAGGCAATGCAGCCTCTCATAATTCCCCAGCCCCTCTCCTCCAGCAGCCACACCATCTTCTTGAACAACATCATTTGTCAACTTCAATCCAACAAGGAGTTGGTTCTTATTATACTCTGACACGCTGGTCATATTAGTCAACTTGCAGTCACTAGACAATTAGAGAATATTCTCCCACAAATTCAAATTCTGCCAAATTATAATCTTTCCAACCTCATGGATACCCTGATGCTTTAACTTGTTTTTAGCATTCTACACATACCAAACAATTACCTTAGGAAATAGAGCTTTGTCTTCTTAGGACCTTGTTTCATGACAATTTAATGCATGAAGGTCTGTCTGGCAGTGGAACAGACATGTGAAATAGGCCTTTTAAATGTTGCAAAATCTCTCTAACTTTAGTACTATGCAAAACAAAAAATTGATCATGGGTTTCTGGTTTCAGCATTACAGAAACATCTACACTTTGAGGCCTGGGATATACTCTGTATGAAACCTAGACTGCATCTTGTCATTTGTGCGGAGTTAATGATTTAATACTCCCCGCCTAAAGGAGTCTATGGGAGGGATAAGGTTTCCTTATGAATTTAAAGGATAACTGAATGGAACCCCTTCTCTGTAACAGTTAATAGCAACTTTTAGTGGAAAAGGAACCAATTGAGCTTAGTTTCCAAATGGACTAATGTCATTGGTCCTTATTTCCAAGAGTTGAATCCCAAATTTCCAATTTGAGCTTCTACCCAACTCTTAATAAGTTTTGTATATGAGTACCCTTTTGAGTGACTAAATCTCTAGATCTATTCTTTATTTCACTTTTCATTAAAAAAAACTAAAAAATGGACAAGTTTTTTCTTTATTCGTGAAAGTGTACTTTTTGTTTTTTAATTATATAAATTCTGTACCTTTCATGTAAGTTTTGCTGTAGTGTGCTTTTGACCTTTCAAATGTTAGTAGAATATTATCCTCAATCATCCTACCTGAAATGCTGTTGATTTTGCAGTGAGTATATAATTGATCTAATGGGTGCACCTGGAACACTAATTCCTGCTGAAGCACCAAATTCTCAATTTCAGAGTCATGCATTAGATATGAAGAGTGTTGCACCGATTTCTGGTAGCAGTCCTATCAATTCATTTGTAGTAACTTATGGAAGATTGGCTGTTGAGTCAAATTCCCATCCTGCTGTAAGCCTGTAACTAATAAGTCTTTAATTTTTCAGGAAGTTCTTTTTTGAGTATTGATGCAAAAGGAGATTCAGAAGGTGCTTTGGATAAAACTCAAAGCAAGCAGGTTATAGATGACCGTGGGAATCATCCTCTATTATCAAGCAGATTATATGAAGATTCAGCAGTTTGCCCTAATCCTTCATCAGTTCAGCAGGGGTTTCAAGCTGACAATGCTTCTGAGTATTTCCCCAATCTAACACAGCGACTTCAAAACATTTCTCTAGAGGGCAGTGCTCATATATCTTCAAATGCTGCTGTAGTAGAAGTAGGTGAATATCAGTTATCAGAAAAATTGGTTGTTGATACCGGAGTATTTAAAAAAAGAAGTGAGCATTCTATTGTACCCTTCACTGGAGTACACTTTCCAGGAATTGACACCTTTCATGGCAATATTAAAGCATCTACTGGTGGCTGGCCCAAGAAGCTTGAAAATAACCTGTCTAGTGATGCTTCAGGTGATGTCTCTATGGAAAATCCTGAATCTTGTGGATACAAATCATGTCTTATTATGCAATTTGAAGTGGTTTCTCTCATGAAGGTGACAAGTTCTATATGGAGCTTGGGAATGTTACTGGCAATGACTGTAATGAGAAAGAATCCTCTATGAATGTGACAGAAGCTGCAAGTTACTTCCCATCTAAGTCATACACTCTGCTCAAAGAACAAGTTGATCCCATGCTGTTTGCTGTGGCAGACTGGGAAATTCCATGGGAGCATCTTCAGATTGGTGAACGCATTGGTATTGGTAAGTAAGACTGAAGAATTGGATTATCTGAATATTTAAACTAGTGAAGCTTAACACACTTTAAATGTAGATTACTGCTTAAAAAGTCTGTCAAATTAAATCACGTTCAACTTTTCTGGGATTAGTTTTCCTGTATAAGCTGACCAACCTGTACTGAAGAACGCATTGACATCATTCACTTGCTTCTAGAGGCTCAATAGTTTTGGGTTTTCAACTTGATCCAATCATATGTTTGATTATATCAATCAACCTTATTTGATACAACAGTGCATTGCTGAGACAGCTATTTATGTTTCCCCTTTTGTTGGGGTTCTGGGGGAGCATGTTAGCATGTATATTTTCCATCTAATACATTCTTTAACTGAGCTATGGTTTCACCACTCCATCCTTCTTAGTTCTTCTATCCCTTTATTTTACATGATAATGGTCTATGTCCCACGTCTTGTCAATGATGGCCAATCTAAGTATCTTTGCAGAAATCATTTGCATGCTTGTTGCTCAATCGTTATTATTCTACAAGGAAAGCGAAACATGCCATCAATCTAATTTGCAGTATGGTCTTTCCTTGATTAAATTGTAATTGCAAAGTTCTCTCTTGATAAAGTAAGATTAAAAGATATATAAAATCTGGTACTCTTGTTTTCAATTTAATTATCTGGTGAATTCAACTTTTGTGTTTTCTAATATTTGTAGCTCATTAAGACATGAAAAAAGGTATTATAATTTGAGCTGTAATTTGATCCAGTCGTTAGCTTATCTGTCTGAATTCTAAAATTGCAGGATCATATGGGGAGGTTTATCGTGCCGAATGGAATGGCACAGTAAGTCCTTTTTTTTCTTTCTGAAATGGGAATTTGTTCATCTAAGTTTGTTGTTCTATTAGAAATGAATAAATAATATGGAGTATGCACATCATTTACAATATTCTTTCCTCATAGGACATGAGTAGCCAATCAGAAACTTTTTTTTTTTAATTTTAAATTTTCTGCAGCAAGCCAGCAACATTACCCTCTAGCTTAAACATGAAGTAAAATCTTGTTCATGTATTTCATTGGTGTAATTTGACATGTTGACAATATTTGTTTGTGAGTTATCTTTCGAATCAAAATAATGATGATAACAATAATAATAATAATAGTAACAACAACAACAACAATAATAATTGTAATGATACTTACTGCCTGTGTGAGGAACCTTTATTTTGCATGAATAGTCTGCCAAGTTGCAAAACAGAAGCTTTTTGGGAGCTGCATCCCTTGTGCTAGATCAAACACATAAAGCATTGATGCATTATTGCATTTACTCCCCAAAAAATTATAGAAAGGGATGTCTAATGTGTCTCATTTTGATTAATAAAATTCATCACACCCTTAAAAAAATTACATAGAAGGTGCGACTAGAGACTAATAGGGTCGGATGGATTCCAAAATAGGTAAATATTGAGACGAGGACGTAGTGGACAATGGGTGACATGAGTTCTTTGGGAAGAAACATTGTACTCCCAATTCTTCACACTTCGGATTACAATGCTTGGCTGAAATTATTTTTAATTCATTAAAGTCCTACTCCGTATAAAACAAGATGTGGCATGATTATATTATTTTTTCAAATGATCAATGAAAATGGGTAAAGAAAGTTAATTTAAGGTTACCCTGAATTAGAAAGTGAAAAAACTTTTATTGGACGGAGGGATTATGCAATATCAGTATATCACATAGTACTTGTGAGTTCTTGAGGGAGACCATTCAAGGGAATATTTCTCAAAACTTGTGACTTCTCTATATATCAAGTATCAACGACAAAGGGAATATTGTGCACCCAAATTTTCAACGTTACAAGCTCAACACAACCAAAGAGCAGAGTGCTGGACGGGGGTTTTAAAAGACCTGATGCGAATACATTCTCTGGAACGGAGGAAACAACATCATCGGATGGGGCCAAGAACAAAAGCATCAAATAAGAAATGGCAACACTGGCTCTAGAACTTATGCATTCTTTCTGTGGACAATGGAGCGAATACTTCATGGGTGGAAGTATTGCAGATTACAGTAGCCTCCCCATCTAAAATATGACTATTGGTGTCCCCATCTCTCCTATGAAATATATTGTTTCATCTCCACCTTTCTTTTTTCCCACTGTACGGCCTACCTCTTAAACTTCCCATATGGTAGCTCCTAATTTCAAAGGATATCTGAAAACTGCTCATTACAGCCCATTGGCACTGGGGACAGCTTTATCTCCTTACATAACATGGCCATCTTTTTTTTTTTTTAAATGGAACTCAATTCCATTGACTTCCATAGCCCATCATTATCCTTTTTTTTAAAAAAAAAATATGTGCATTGAAAAATGTGAAGGAGATAACTTCTTGGGCAATGTCTGAGGCGATGATCAGAAGTTTTGGAAAACTATTTCCATGAGAATGACCTGAAGACAAGGGGCAATATTCTGTTCCAAGGTCATCCGGGTCAATGCAAGGCTGATAAGGAGATCTGAGTGAAAAATGGTAAAGCTGGTGCAAGTGTACAACTCCCCAGAAGCAAGCTTTCACAGAAAGGGTTGGTGCTAATTATGGGGTAGGTTGATCCAAGCAACCACTATAGATGTGCTGGAGAGAAAAAGATTGCTACGATTTCACCTGAGGGAAAATGCTTGAAAAGCTGCACCAAAAAATTAATAATAAGTCTGAAAATGTCTTTTATAACCACGTTGAACATTGGGATACTAGGAGGCTAAGAGGTAGTTATAGAAGATAATTAAACTAGTAGTTATAGAAGATAATACTGCATAAAAGATAAACTAGTAGTTATAGATGATAATTTTTAGACTCATATTACTTGATATATGAATTGATACAAGATATGTGAAGAACACACCATTGTATTGATGTGATAGAGGCTTGGAAGATGTTGTAAATGTGTTTCTTTGTAAATTGTATGTGTGTGTGTGTGTGTGTGGGAGGGGGGGGGATGAGTGGAAAAGGGCATACAGCCGGGATAGTGTTCTATCCTAATATTTCAAGAGGTTCTGAGAAGCCGTAATGGATCATTAATATAAATACAATGAAATATGCAGGAAGTTGCTGTGAAAAAATTCATGAATCAGGACATCACAGCCGATGCACTAGAACAGTTTAAATGCGAAGTGAGTATTGACAATATGTTTTTCTGCTTCCAATACTTAGAAAAATCACATATTGTTTGCTACTATAATCATACTAGTCACGATGAGTTAAGCTTCTTTGTGTCTTGATGATACTTTACCATTTTTCATGCATTTTGCAGGTTGAAATTATGTTGAGGTTGAGACATCCAAATGTTGTCCTCTTCATGGGAGCCGTCACTCGCCCCCCAAATCTATCCATACTAACTGAGTTCCTACCAAGGTTGTGATCTTTTTCCATTTTAAGGTTCTGGAGTACACTTATGAATACCTCTTCTGACCCATAACATACTCATGTTTTTGAACCCTACAACTTCTTAATTTTAGTATGGTACAACTATTAGATATAATCAACTATGGCTACATTTTCTGAAGTTTTTTGTTGGTTTAACTAAAATAAACACATTCAACTTGTGTGGAATAATTTCCTAAAAAATATGTTAAATATGATCAAAATTAACTTTTGCTAAAATTAGACGGGGGGGGGNCACTTTTATGGGAGAGGGAGTATTGGATATTGCTTACTAGTGTTAAAAACATATGCTTTCAACTCTTTGTCCCAAAAAGAGTCACGATCCCTTAAATGCTGCTAATGTTCCATGTGATTTGCTGAAAAGTCATGAGCACGCCAAATATGATAAATCAGTTAAACCAATTAATAAATTTTTAAAATTGTACTAATGACTAATAGCAGATGTATGTCAAAAAACTAAAAAGGTCTATCGTAGTCAAACAAGGCTCTTTTTGGGACAAGAGGCTCACAAAAATATTACACATTTTTCTTAGCATTTGTATCATCACCAAGACTTTGAATGGTGAAATTGGACCTCAAGGTAGCAAGCCTTTGCCTCACGAGGCATCAGTCCTGATGCAAAGGGAGGCATAAGTATCAAATTACAATAAATAAAACCTAAAAAAGGAAATAGTAAGTCATAATAATAGTTCAATGTCATTAAAACTTTTTTGAGATCAAAATACACATAATATTGTTCAAATAGGACAAAATAGTTAATCAATATGAAATAAAAGGACAAAATATGCATGTGAACTCTTTAGTAAAATTTGAGAACATGTTCTACACTTAGGATTCTATGTTTTGAATTACTAATCTCCAAAATTTATAGAATTCATGAGTGAGTTGGGGTCACTTGGCTTAGCTATAAGAAACTTGGGTCAAACCAAACTAAAACCACACTTAAAGATTGAAACCAATCAATTAACTGATCAGCCCAAGATCTTTTTTAAGGCACCATTTTCTCTTTTAATATTCTGGTGTGGGATACTTATAAAAGTTATTGGGTTCATTGTATACCTACGGCTTTTTTATAGCTTTGGCCAGTGGAGGGCTGCTCAATTACTGCCACTGGCAAATGTTGACCTCTGTTGATGGACTGATGGATAGGCTTGGTTATTGGTTTATACTCCGTTTGAGATTGTAAGGGAGTGAAGAGGAAAGAAGACTAGGGCTGTGTGTTTAGGCAGAAAAAACAGTCTAGAATCCCTCTATAAAATTAAGGCTTAAGCCTCTTTAGTTGATTGCCTCATGTCTCTTTACCTGCGTCTCTCTCTATACCTCAGCGACATCAAGGCATAGGCTTCGTATCTGCTTACTAGGGCTTAAGCCTCCTGGGCGTTTTTCCCATGCCAAGCCTTAAAGCTTTAGCCTCTCATGGGTTTTGAAGCCATGATCATTGCATTGTATTTGTTCCCATTTTCTGGGATATATTCAAGCATTACTTGTTAAATGTATGTATTTCAGTGATACTATAGAGGGATGGGCATGGATAAGTACATTAATATGTGAGGGTGTACATGTAATTGATTCCATTAAGATATTCAATAGGTTTCTAAAGATGTACATGTACTTGCAACTGTGCTCTGATACACTTCTCTATAATAAGCATATAATTGGTAATTTATTACTTTTATTGCTTTTATCTCGTGATTGATGCAATTTGTTTGTATGCAGAGGGAGCTTATATAAGCTATTGCATCGCTCTTCACCAATTGAAATTGATGAAAAAAGACGATTGCGGATGGCTTTTGATGTGGTACCAACTGAATGATGCTTTTGTTTTCATTTGTTGAAGTTGAAATTTGGTTTCTTCATTACATGTTGCCAATTTCTTGCAGGCAAAGGGAATGAACTATTTGCACACTAGCCATCCTATCATTGTTCATCGAGATTTGAAGACTCCAAATCTTCTTGTTGATAAAAACTGGGTAGTGAAGGTATGGTTGGTATAAGCTAGCTAATTGTGTGAAAAGATTAATTAGGCTCCGTTTATTTTCAGTAAAATATTTGTGGTTTTGCTCGTCAAGCATTAGATTATTATGTACATTGTACAGACTACATTATTTTTTAAGAACACAACTTTCATGGAAAACAAACATTATCCAAGGTAAACACTTTCTAGAATAGGTTATTTTCCTGCAGTTAAACGGAACTCTAGGGCATGCTTATTCTTTTCCTTCCCAAGAGTTAACAGTTCTATGTGACTTGCAGGTTTGTGACTTTGGGATGTCTCGAATGAAGCACCATACGTTTCTGTCCTCAAAGTCAACAGCTGGGACGGTAATACATTTCTCTCTTCAGAGTCACTGATTATCTTGTTTTCCTGTACATTGCAGCTTCTCATACCTATGTTTGCCCCCTCTCCTCTTCACTGAAAGTTAGAACCTCTTTAAAGAGTTCAAAAATTTTGTTTTTAACTTGCAGGCAGAGTGGATGGCACCTGAGGTTTTGAGGAATGAACCATCAAACGAAAAGTGAGAACTCAAGTTACCTTTTTTGCTCAAATCATTTCAATGCAGATAAATGACATTTTCCTCTCATTTTATGCATTATATTCTAGTTAAATGCATTACAGTAAAAAGATTCTCCTTCCGTCTGGATTTAGTTGTCCACCTGTCCTAGCCCCCACAAATTTAAAGAATGACTGAATGAGGTGAATTAACAAGAAGCCCTTGTAATTAGTGTCCTTCATTGGTAGCAACAACCCCACAAATTTAAAGAATGACCGAATGAGGTGAATTAACAAGAAGCCCTTGTAATTAGTGTCCTTCATTGGTAGCAACAAAATTAATACTCCCTCCGTCCCCGAGTATTCGTCCAGTTTTGACTTTTGGAACTGTTCATCTAAGCACTTTGACTCATCAAATTCTCTTAATGTGTAAACCTAAATATAGTCATGTGTGATCTTGTTTGATTTGTCTTAACATATAGATTATTAATATATAATTTCTATAATTTTTTAATATACAAATTACAAGATAAAATGGATTAAATAAGTGCATTGGATGGTGTGTAAAAATGAAAGTAGACAAATACTCTGGGACGGAGGTAGTATGCTTTTTAGGGGTATTTTGGGCAAGTCCTTATCATTTGTTTATCATATAAGGTAAGTGGAAAATTAATTGGGACACTCCAGAAGATAAAGTGCACAGCTAATTTGGGGTGAATGGTATATCTTCAGCTAATCTAACCCAATTAGTCTATCCTGTCATTTCGGTTAGGATGGTTACAATCTTATTAAATCCAACCACTTTAGCCAAATCTTACCCTACTGAACATGCTCTAAATATGCTATCAATTATTTGTTCAAAACTTGCTATAAGCTCCCGCTAGGCGCTAACAAAGATTGTTTCCCTGCTTTTCAGATCTGATGTGTACAGTTTTGGTGTAATTTTATGGGAGCTGGCCACTTTGCAAGTACCGTGGTCAGGGATGAACTCGATGCAGGTAGTTGGAGCCGTAGGCTTTCAGGGCAGACGTCTCACAATTCCTTCCCATGTTGATCCAATGGTGTCAGAGATTATTACCAACTGCTGGAACCAGTGCGTTGTTATCTATTTGTTTTTTTTAAATAAAAAACCTCACTTCAATATTGTTTTATTTAAAATGCTAGGGGTACCCCAATAATTGTACACCATTTGTACACCAAGACAAACACAGACATAATGTCTGTGTCCGAACAAACATAAAATGTCTATGTTTGCCTCTGGTGTACAAATGATGTACAATTGTTAGGGTACCCCAATAACTTTCCTTGTTTTTTGTCCTTCGCATAGTCACTGCATGATGCATATCACTTCTTGCTTGAATGACTTGTGCAGAGATCCACAGGCGCGACCTTCTTTTGCACAGATCATAACCCGTCTCAAGTTTCTTCAGCATCTTAGTCTCAAGATTTCATGAAGTCGTACATATCGGCAATGTCATTTCCACCACAGGCCGAATGGTATCTCAAGGTGTTGGGTTCATTCGAAGTGGGAACTCAACACTGCCCATTCCATTGCACTCTTGTGGTAAGGATTGTTTGTTTGTATCCTCTAATGTCAGCGGCTGTGCAAAGTGCAGCCCAAAGCCTGAAAAAAAAAGAACTTTGAAATCTTTATTTTAAAAAAAGAAGAAAATAAATGGGTTTTCTTATTAAAAAAAAGATTAGTAGGTTTTATTGTGGTTTGTAAATTATGTATGACGTGAATTATGTAAGCGGCCCCTTCGAAGGAGGTGTGATTGGCGGAGGCAACACAGAAGGGTCGAATCTGTGGAGGCCATTAACAAAGCAATTGTAAAACATTTGGCCTTTACAGATTTGTACCAATAGGGAAAAAAAATCCAATCAAAATGAAGAAGATTAGTTTACTCTTTCCTCTATCTTTCTTGAGTCCAGCTTTATGATTCCCTAAAAAAGGTTTGCTTTGATTTGTTTGGATTCAAATATTTCTGAACCATATGATTTTGGGAAGTACATGTGATGTTTATCTATCATACAGCCAAAAGATGGATGAATATTCTCATTTTTCCCCCTTAAATTCTAAAGGAGATGAAGGACCTATAAGTTTAGTTTTTACAAAGTGAGAAAATACCTACTCCATATTTGTTTGGGTTTGAGATGGTTGTGCTCACAGTAATTTGGCTTTGTGCATAGGCTTAACATCAAAAGAAGATGAAAAGCATCAAACCTCACTTGTATCATGCAATATAATACTCCCTCTGTCCCATTTTATAACGCTTGTTTCGGTTTACGATGTTTGACTTTAATTATTTTTAAATCATTTTATATGACAAATAAAAATTACATATTAAAATATTACATCAAAAGATCTACAAAACTAGTAGTGACAATAGTACTTTATTTTATCAATTTGCTAACGAAAATTGAGAAAGAAAGTGAATGAAGTTTGACCATGTGAATGGTGAACATACATTATCATTTGGGACGAGGGAGTACTAGCTTTTAAGTTGTTTGGTCACTATTCACATGGTTAAATCTTATTAATTTTCTTTACTCATTTTTGTTGCTCATTTGATAAATTAATATAATCATGTCATCTCTTATTTTTTAAAACTTTTGATAATTTTAATTTTGAGTTCAACACCAATTCTCTAATAGAATAAATTGCAAATCACTTCAGTTAAACAGTTGTAAATCGAAATTGGTAGTTTAATTTGTTTATTTTACTTATAAAATATAGACCAATATTCAAATGAATTTTAGCGGAAAAGACCTTAATCAAATTTCCTCAATCACAACAAAAATTTAACCATATTTTTTGTTGAAAATTATTATTGGGTATTCCTGATTTTCTGGTAATAATTTTCAGGTTTCAAGTTTTCTAAAATATACTCCAAGTAGCGCTTGTTTTTTTGTAAAGAAATTTTCTGGCCCCTATTATTTGAAATATAATTTGGAGGTCCTTTAAATTTGTAGTAGTTTACTGTGAGGATACATTCTGTCTATTTGGTCGTTAGAATATGAGATCTCGTTAATTTGACAAATACTATATTTTAACTTTATAGTCATTATTTTATTAAATTTAAATAAAATCTTGCAATTTGTCGCGGGAAAGGAACTTTCAATTGTAATGATTAAGTTGACGGAATGTATCCTTGGAGTATAATATTACTCCGTACAAATTTAAAGATCTTAGAATATATTTTGGATAATGTGAGGCTTAAGAATTTTTATCAAAAAATTGAGAATATCCTGAAGTATATTTTAAATTAATTGAGCCATGAGAATTATTATTAGAATACTGGGATATCCCAGAGTAATTTTTGTATTTTTTGGATAATAATGGACCAAATTGGACAATGTTGGGATGTCAATTTGTACCCAACGGATAAAAACTTAAAAAAAAGGGTGAATGAATAGATGATGGATAGATTATTGATGGATTAATTTGGATGCAGATGGAGCTAGTTTTCACTCATCACCCAATCTATCACCCAATACAATCATAGACTCCGTATACTTTAGAAAAATTAAAAGTGAACATATTACCTTTGTCGGGTCTATGAGTTTTGTTTAGTTTCCAATACTAAATTTTATAAAAACCTACTCCATAATTCGTAACTTAGAGTATTATTTCTTTGTAAGATTTTATCATAAGTATTATCATAAGCAAGATAATATCATAAAGACTTTTGTGTTGTACGCTTCATGAAATTTTCATTTAATGGGATTATATTTAAAAAATATTACTTACATTCCTTGTTTTTACTGGCTCCACTCGTGCATGATAAATTGATCGGGTGATGTGTGTAACAAATGATGGATGGACTGGGTGATGAATATGGAGTCGATGGATGGATGAGGCTGAAGCTCGAACCGATCAAAACTCAACCGGCTGCCATCCCTAGATAAAGATAATATGCGTTTCACAATGCTGTAAACGTTTTGTTTTATGGTCCACTTGTGGCCAATTGAAGAGATGGTCCACTTGTGGCCAATTGAAGAGAGGGACCAGGGAGGACATTGTCCCAATTGAATTACTATGATGCTCTGTTTACAAAATTAACAGTTCCTAGCCACAGTAAACCTCGCGCTTCTCACCTAGTTTAGACTTCAATCTATCTTCAACTAAATTTGCACTTTGCAATTGACGTAAGTGGGAGATATATTGAGATTTAGATTGGGTGGGAGGTTTACCAGGTAAATTAAAAGATAAGAATTATAAAATTTACGACCCTACTCTCCTAACCATTATTTTTTTATCTTTTTCATTCTCTTTACACTATTTTCTTCTCTATCAATCTAAACAATACTCGGTACTCCCTCCGTCCCAATTTATAACGCTGTTTCGGTTTACGATGTTTGACTGAAATTATTTTCAAATCATTTTATATGACAAATGGTATAGAGTTAAAAAATAAAAATTACATATCAAAATACTACATCAAAAGATCTACAAAACTAGTAGTGACAATAGTACTTTATTTTATTAAATTGCTAATGAAAATAGAGAAAGAAAGTGAATGAAGTTTGACCATGTGAATAGTAAACATGCATTATAAATTAGGGCGGATGAAGTAATATTTTTCTCTTCATTTTTCTTTCTATTTTCTTTCCTTTTATTTTTCTTCCCTCTCATTTCCACCCCTCATCCAAATTCCAAACGAATCCAAAACGTTAAGCAAAAAAAGGGAATAAGGAAACCAGAAAAACTAACCTAAGCCAAGTACGAAAATGGCGATATCCCAATTCCTTTCTTCAACACCGCTGGCACCTTCTCTCCAATTATCCTCCACCAAACCCCACCGCGATTTCCGAATTAACCGCAGATACTTCGCCATCACTCCCTCCGCCGCCTCCTCTTCCTCCTCCAACAGCAACCACTCTCCGCCACAGAGCGCCACCGCGTGCCCCGTCCCGCCGTCGCAGCAGCCCGTCAACGAATTCAAGGCCTTGTCGGAATCATTCCCTTTCTATTGGGCCTCCGGCGACCTGAACGAGTACATCTCGCGGCTGTTCCTCACCGGATCTTCGTTTGCGCTCCTCGTAGGCCTGCCCGTTCTCTGGTTCGGGTCGGTTCGACCCGAGTCCGACCCTTTGAAGCCGGTTCTGGGTGCTGCTTTTAGTGGGCTTTTCGTGGTCACTATCGCAGTTGTGAGGATGTATCTGGGGTGGGACTATATTTCAAACCGCCTTCTCAGTGCCACAGTTGAATGTATTCATCTCTTTCTCAAGCATTTATTTTAAAGTTGATTTTAAAAGGCAAAATATTCAAGAAATTGATGGCTCATTTCTAATTTTGTTTATTATTGGTATTTGCTGCAGATGAAGAGTCTGGGTGGTATGATGGCCAGGTATTCCTTTTTTCCAATAAAGATGTTTTCCATGTTTTGTGGGTGCATAACTGTATATGAATGCCGTATGATTATTTATGAATGGAAAATTATATGGATGGTATACATATGGTACAACCGGATGTACCATGCATCATGGCAAACTAAGTTGTTTTGACACTATGTTGTATCAAAATAACACACAACAGTGAGCAGGCTTGCAAAATAACACACAACGGATATACCATGCATCATGGCAAACTACGTTGTTTCAGAATAACACAAATTTCAAGCAATCTAGGAATTCATTTTGCTTTCTTTCCATGCTTGACATCTGAGAAAAAATTAAATAAAATTTTAAAAATTACAATTTTAATAACATTTGAATAACTCTATCTCTATCCCAAGTTGTTAGCAACATGTTCATTTCCTAAAAAGGAAATGTGAGAAGTGTAAAGTTTATTTTGGGACGGAGGGAGTAATGTGTTTGAAGCATAACAACACATTTTGTTAGTACTTCTGTCTCTTTAAGTAGCTACAATAAAAAGATACTCCCTCCGTTTCTCAAAACGGTTCCTCTTTTGACTTTGGGGAAAAATAAGGAAGTGTTAAATTGTAGTTGACTTTCCAATTTTGCCCTTGATGTGATGGGTAAAAGTAAGATGTGATAGTTTAGTTGTTAGTGAAAAAGTATGATGTGATAGGTAGTGTATGAAAAAGTAGGGGTAAAAGTGGTTTTTTAATAGAAAAGGGAAGTGTTTTAAGGAAAACAAAAAAAATGAAAGAGGAAGGGTTTTAAGAAACGGAGGGAGTATTACATTATTACTTGAGTAGAGTTACATGTATTAACAAGCCAACTGTAGCCATCACCTTTCTAAGATAATGTGATGGAGCCAAGCTTAGGAACATGATAAGAAGTCTAGGAATGTAAAGAGATAGGAATGTAGTGCAAGGCTATATTAGGTAAGATTATTCAAGTAGAACTTTTACTAATTAGAAATTTTAGTAAAAAAGTATATAAGTGTGTATGTTTATCATTATTTTAAGAAAATATGTTAACATGCTATTATTCTTAATGTTAGAAATAAGCTCTGGTAGCACATATTCTAGTGAATATTTATTTAAGGGTCCAGTTTCAAACATTTTTGTCCTAAAATTGGTCCAATTTGTTCAAAGGAAGCTAATTTTTCATGTAATTTTCTAGTACAAGTTATTTCTTTTACTCTGTATTAAAGAGTCTCGAAAGTGCTGTTAGAAATTGTCCAAAATCTGGGCTTCTTCCAAAAGCCATGAAAGAGGTTCTAATTTTTATTTTTCTCAAGCATGTTGAAAATGAGTGAAGTGATTATTTTATTAAACAAAATACTTTTGGCTAGTATAATATCCTTACCAAACACCTCGGAAGTTTGATTGAAATTGGACTTGAAAAAGGTTTTACATTTTAGCAATTGGTGAATGTGAGTATGGAGTATCTAAAGAAGGAATGGCCCCTCTTGAATAAGGTTTTTCTTGACAGACGTGGGTGAAGACTCCTGAAACGTTGGCACGTGATCGACTCTTGGGGTCATTTTCTGTAAGTATTTCATAACTTTACACACTGCAAAACTTGTCAATAAATTGCATGTTGTTTGTTATATTGTCATTAATCGGTCACAAATCTTATTTCTTATGTTTTCCAAATAATATAACTAATAACAAGCTCATTTGAGAGGGGTTGTTATATTGAGAGAATTCAAATCCAAACCCTGTTTAGGCTTCCCCAAGCACCCAAAAGTGGGTTCGGATATCCAGAGATATCAAAATTCATATCTCTTGTGCTCTCCGAAGAGGCCCTAAGTGCTTTCTATTACTATGTCAATATTACCGACAGGTGAAGCCAGTCCTGGATAGATTGAAGAACACCCTCGGGGTTCTCGCGACTTCTTTGCTTCTATGTGCTGCTCTTCTTCTTCTTATATCTGCAGAACCTGGGCCGGCCCAACAAGTTGCTTTCCCTGGGGTTTACAGTGATGAGTCTGCAAGACTATTTGAGGCAGATGCATTTCATGGTGAACCTGACCTTAGTTAAACAGTGCTGTTCACTATGGATGGATTTCCATTTAAGGTACATCCCCCTTTTGTACAGTAGTGCAGAACCTGGAATATACATTTTCTATGTTCTTGCTGTTTCCAGGAGAAAGTGATGAAATGAAACCCTTAAAACTGTATAGAGTAAAATACTGTAAAAAAGATGAAGCTTTATACAGTACAGTGGAATCTCAGTTTTTTTTTCTTTTTTATGGAGTTGCATATTTTAACACAACTGCTCTTTTGACACCAATTTTGGGATGTCATATGATGAGATTGGGGCCTTCCGTGCTCCGTTGGACAAGCGATTAAGGGGATAGGTGTCAATATATTTTTCCTAGGGATCCTATTCTCAAAGCTCATCTGTATGAGATTGAAGGATGTTCTACCACATGTAATTAATCCAAATCAGGGGGCATATGTTCATGGAAGAGATCTTGTACACAATGTCCTGATGTGTCAAGAGATAGCGCAAGGGTACACTCAAAAGAACAGTTCTTTAAGATGCATGATGAAATTAGATATCTAGAAGGCTTATGACTCTCTCAGATGGGAGGCCATAATGTGTTTCCATTCTGTTAGCACAATAATTGGCATCTGTTAGCACAATAATAGGTCCACTCTTGCTGTCATGGTCAGTTAGTCTTATCTTTCTGTTAGTGCCTAAAAAGTAGGGATATTCGGTTATTTCTTTGTATTCCAGCATTATAAATATGCTAGTCCATCCTCCTCGAATGAAGGATATCAGTGAATCAATATATTTCATCGCATTGGAGATACTCTTTGGCTTCTATTACCTCTTCTCAGTGAGATTCTTATTGTGAGAGGGTTAGGAGAGAATTCATTCTTCAGTTTCTATCTTTCATTTTTCATAATACCGTCCTGCTTAATTAGCCTTAACATCCCTGAATTATTCATTAAATGGGTTTTGTTTGTTATTACTACCTCGTCATGCACAATAAATATCAATGAAGGGCAGTATGGATACGTTAAAGGAGCTAAAGGGTTGAGGCGGGGTGACCCTATTTCCCCCCTCTTATTTGTGTTGGTGATGGAATACTTGACTAGAAGTTTTCAAGAAACACTGATGAGGGAAAAATTTGTTTTTCATCCTATGTGTGGAGCATTGAGAGTAATCAATATTTGTTTTGCTGATGTAGTTAGTAAAGCGGATGAGAAGTCTATTGCATGCATCATGAGAGTCTTGGACAAATTAAAAAAATCCACTGGAATGAGCATTAATAGTAATTAGTCTCATATTGTGTTTGGTGGAGTAAGTCAGCAAAAAAAAGAGTTGCTTGCAATAACCAAGATGAAGTTAGGGAACCTACCTTTTACTTATCTGGGAAGCCCTATAACCATCACCAGACTGAATTTAAGTGATTCTGATGCCTTGATAACCAAAATAACTTGTAAGATTACAGCCTAGGACACAAGACATTTGTCATACAGTGCTAAAGTCAGAATTATGAACTTTGTTATGATGGGATTCATATCTTTCTCGTCAAGAATATTCATTCTCCCCAAACAGATAATGAAGAAGGTAATGGCTATTCGCAGGAATTTTCTTTGGGGCAGCTCTCGTTATTACAAAAAAGTGCCTTTAGTCATAGGAGGAAATTTGCCACGCAAAGAAATATGGAGGGCTAGGCATTAGAAATGCATACAACTCGAACAAGGCAATCATAGAGCACCTAATTGGACATTGCAGATAAAAAAGACATTTTGTGGGTAAGATGGATCCATAGTAGGTACATCAAAGAAGCAAACTTTTGGGAGTATATACCAAAACTAAACTCATGTCATTACTGGAGGGAGATGATCAGAGTTAGAGAAAAGTTCAGAATAATGCCTACTAATATAGCGTGAGGGATGGGTACAAATGGCTTCAAGGAGATGGTAACAAACCAGTTTGGCATGAATGATTTTGGAATCAGCTAGCCACAGCTCCTCACCCCCCTCCAAATTTCAATATATTACTTAGTTGCTTATGAGAGGGAGACTCCAAACCAAAGCTAGATTAAAGAAATACCTCCCCGTAAGTACTACATGTTCTTTATGTGATAGAGGTGAAGAAACTAACCACCATTTATTTTGGGAGTGCACTTTTACGCAAGAGCTATACAAATCCAATTTTGGTAAGTTTGGTATTCATCACCAATTAACTAAACAAGAGGAATTGAAAGATGTATTGCAAAAGACTAAGGAGCGGAAGAGGAAGGCAATAATCTTAGCCATTTGGGCAGCGGCTGCCTAGAGCATTTGGATGGCTAGAAATTAAACAAAGTAGTTCACCAAAAGAGATGCACAATGGAGGAAGCAAAAAAATTTGTTCATTTTTGTATTACTAGCTATCTCATATATAGAAAAGCAATTTAGAGTTTGATGTGGTTGTATTGACTTTGTAAACGGTTTATGAGTTGTTGGGTAATGAAAGTTGTGTTTTTGTTTAAAAAAAACTATGGATCATATCGGATCAGACTTTGGACCAGACTAGATTGGGCGTATGATCTTATTTGATCTATGTTTTTGTTGAGAGAAATTGATTCGTAAAATAGGTTAATTTGTTCTAATCTTCTATCGTTAGGGTCTTTTTAAAGGCATGTCCAGTCCCATCGCATCGATCTTTTCGCTCTATTTCAATGTATAGTAAAAGTAATATTGTTGGATATATGTTTGCAAAAACAAAATGGATCGTCATATAGAGAAGTCTAAAATTTTAGCTTCAAATCTTTTGTCTCCTTTTCAAATTGATCTCCCAAATTTATGGGAATTGTACACTCGGCTAATATATGGGAGGGGTACACTCGGGTCACTCTGGCCATATTTTCTCCTTATTTGGTAATAAAAAAATGAATGAGAGGGTCTAAGATTTTAGCTTCAAATCAATCCCTCCAAATAGAAGGATTTATTATTTCTTCTGTTCTTCTTGTTCTTCCGTCTCTTCTCTCCAATTTAATAAAAAATTAATTGAAAATTTCTTTAATAACAAATAAAATAAATAAATAATAAAAAATAATAATAATAAACCAATCAATAATAAAAACAATAAATCATAATGCTTCGTTATTATAAATTAAAAATATAATAATAATAGTTAAAAGTATTACGGAGTAAATAATATAAAATTCTAATAAAAAATAAAAACTAATATTTTCATTCCCCTCTTGGAACCAAACAAGGTGAATGTAAGTCCCCCGCATCCCTTCTCATTCCCTCCTATGATCCTATACTTTCCTTTCTCTTTCCTCCCTCCCAACCAAACAGTCCTTAAGGGCAACAAATAGGGAGACTTTAATTTGATTGCCTTACCCTAACTTCACTTTTTGTTTGATGAGGTTGTTTTAGTTTTTCAATGTAAATAAAAAATGGATTAATTAAAATTAAAATAATGATGTATTTTTTCTAACAGAAAACCATAATAAATAAAAATCAAGCTTTAAAAATAAGCAACCATTTAGGGTTTTGGTGGTGGGTACATCGCAACCACCCAAAGTGCATGATATTCGTTGCATTCAAAGTTTCAAACCATTCAAGGAATATAGACACAATAGACTAATAAAAAAAGAATTAAAAAATATTAAAAAATGTTACACCTCAATGTTTTGTCCACTAAATTAATTGGGATTGCGCACTAATAAGTAATAACATAGACATGCATTCTCACGTGTTTTTTTCTTTCACTTTTTGTCTAATTTGAACATTTTAAAAAAAAGGAACCCCTTTAATTATTTAATTGAGAAATATTTTAGGATCATATTGTGTGTTTGCACTACGGTATGCATATTCATTATTCACTCATTAAGATGTTTAATTTTATTAATTTATTAGCAGAATATTTATGTTTACTAACATGTACGTTATGTTCATTATTTAATCTTAATTTTTATTAGCATGGACTTGGTTTCTAAGGGGAGAAAGACCAAAGTAGAACTAAAACATTGAAGATATACCAAAATAGGACTTCCATGTTTTTATTCCCGAAATAGGACTTACATTACCAAACATGGTCATATACATTACCAAGAAAGTATAGTAATTTGCACATGTACACTGCCACATTACCACAATGCAAAGTCACATTACCACAATGCAAAGTCCTATTCCAGGAAAAAAACATGAAAGTTCTATTTTGATACTTTTCTCTATGTTTTAGTCCTATTTAGGATGATTTCTAGTTTCTAAGCCCATCATATGCCCACTATCTAGACCCCGCATATCCGTCATATACAAATCGTAAACAAAGTAGAAATAAAATCAGGAAACATTTGGTGAGCGCATGCATGAGACATGAATTCTGATATCAAATATTCATTCATGTGTTCAAAAACGTATGAAATCCCACTTTTATTTTTTCTGTGGATGTGATTGGCATCGGGAATATTTGGCAAAGTCCAAACATAGTCGTATCACCTTTAATTTATTTTGATATCGCAATTCTCCCAAATAGGCCAGATTCAAATTTGACACGAGCTATATTGTTGGGTTAAGTTCATAGTTAATTGGGATTATTTTAGAACATCAATATAATGAAAGTCAAAGTAAGAAATATTTTTGGGACACAGAGTATACATATAAATCATGAGTTTGAAATGTCAAAATCATCTAATTTATGGAAAAGTGAGTTTTAACCATAAATCACATGAGTAGCTAGCTAGCTAAGAGTAAAAGCAATACATTGAATGAATGCATGCATGCCTGCAATGACAACTAATAAGGTGAAGGATGTAAAGGTAAAATCCGTACTACAAAGCTCTCATGAATCTTGTCCATAGTCCATCTTTAAATTATTAGGGCATTCACTAACCTTCTAGGGTTGATTATTCCCTTAGGTTTTGTTTAAGAACAACGATTGTGATTCCCGTAATTGTTTGAATTTTTTAGTAGTGCGTACAAATTAACTTTGAACGTATGAACGTTAAAAGCTATCGTTGCTTCGCATTTTTAAAGGGCCGAAGATAAACCCAAAAGCTAATACCAAACCCATCTTTAATCATTCTAAAAATAGCTATGATATATTAGAGTATATAACAATATTTCTTGGGCCACAATCATAAGTTTGAGCTTTTAGTTGAGTTGGTTTCTAGAGTGGTATCAGACCCTTCTTGACTAAGACGTCACGAGCTCAAAACTCACTGCCACATATTTTTTAAAACATTAAGGTTTAACGTGCAAGCCTCAAAAAAATCACGCCTGCACGTGAGGGGTGTGTTAGAGTATATAAAAACTTTTCTGGCTCACAAACATAAGCTTGAGCTTTTGGTTGAGTTGATTCTTCATGAAATACCCTTTGATTTACATAAAACAAGAAATAAATATTTATATTACTCCTTCGTCTAAAAATAAATTTCAGTGTTGCCGTGTTGGACTTTAGTAAGTTACAAAAAAAATACCACTAGAATTTATTTAGAGGATAAAAGATAAAATGTGAGTAATATCTCTTATGAAAAGGTCAATAAAAATGGGATGAGTATTTTGAATTCAATTCCATCCAAATCAATTCCATAGAATTTCAATTTCTAATTCAATTCCAATTCTTTTCAACCTCGTAAACCAAACGGACCCAACCAAAATTCTTTTAACACCACATTTGGGTGTCACATTATGACATCAAGTATTCAAGTCTATACGATACACTGTTGAATTCCAAAATTATTTTAATCCACAATCCTTTAAAACATTTCTTAAATACCCTGCACCCCCAAATAGCAAAACGGCAAGTTTGAGATCAGAGGTGAAATTTTTGGGGCGGGATTTATGGTCCATTTGGTTGGAGTGAAAAAAGGAAAGAAAATGAAGAGAGAAATCCAAATACAAGTTCTTAATTTTTAAAATACTTGATTCATTTTAAAATTATTAAAAATAAATTTGAAAAATTTACTTATATGAAGATTTAATAATCCAATATATTTCAATATCAAATCAGACTAAATCAAATCAAGCAACACAATTTTTTTTCCTTGAATGACCATATTAAACCAAATTGAATAGAATGGGTCAAGATTTATATAAAATACAGACATGAACTTTATCTTACTCCCTTCCTCACGAAATAGATAGAATCTTTTTTTCTATCTTCTCTCGACAACTTTTATTTATTTATGTATTTTCATTGAATATATATTTGATAAAATAAAATATTCTTGTCACCTCTCGTTTTGCAGAACTTTTGACGAAGTCATTTAATATGTAATTTTTATTTCTTATTGATATACCAATATGTGAATAAAATGATTTAAAAAACCGAGAAATTTTGGCTCGTAACTCCCAATTTGTAATCAAAATAGGAACTGCGGGAGTATCAAAAAAGAAAAAAAAGAAGAGCCGGTGGGCGTTGCACAGTTGGCAAGGCAACGAATGTTCGATTCCTGACAACTGCGCTGAGAGACAACTATGCTAAACATTAAACATCTATAACAACCAAGTGCAAATTCCACTCTTTGCATCCAAGATTTAATCAAATTCCAATTTACTTTTTTTCAGTGATGGAACTCATTTTTTTTGTGAAAACTGAAAAGGAGAAGAAGGGACCCAAAAGGAAGGTGGTGGGCCAGTTGACCAGTCCGACTGTGGGTAAGGTTCATGCATCATCTTTCTTTATTATCCTCTCTCACTCTTTTCCAAAAGTAGAAGAAAAGTGATAAAGAGCGCCCACAAATAAATACTTCCCCCACAAACAGCCAGCCATAAGACGAGCATTATTATAACAGACTTTTTTTTCTTTCTGAAATCGTTATTATTTTCTCAGGCTGTTTCTTTCTGGAATCTTCTTATCCACCTTCAAAATCCCAATCTCCATTTCCAGGCATTCTTTGATCACATTTATATATTCAAGTAAGTGTGTTTTCTTTCTTGGATCTGTCTATGAAAAAGATTGAATTTTGGCTTCTGGGTTTTGAATCTTTTGTGTGATTGTTCAATTTCCTGTTTTGGGTCTTCATTAATGGCTGCTGAAAAGTTTATTACTTAAAAAACACAGCAAAAGCTTACTTTTTTCCCCTCTTTCTTTCTACGACTTTACAGAGCTTTTGCTATCCATAGCTCAATTGCTCCACCCTAAGCTCCTTAGAAATGGTCTTTTTTTAGCTAGCTTTGGAAGGTATGAATTCAGATGGTGGGAATAATAATAAAAGAGAGAGGAAAGTCTTGATTTTGATTGTTTGGAATTCGGTAGTTTAATACTCCCTCCGTCCGTCCCATGTGTTACCCATTTTGACCAAAGTTGAAATTGAGGGAGAGATAATTTTGTGTTGACTTTACAAAAATACCCTTGATGTAATGGATAAAAGTAGGATGTGATGTATAGATTATTAGGAAAAAAGGATGATGTGATAGGTAGGGTTTGAAAAAGTAAGGGGTAAAAGTGGTTTTTTAATAGAAATGGATAAGGGATTGTGGGACACAATTTTTTTGAAACGTGTAAATCTTTTTGGGACGGAGGGGGTATAATGTTAGGTTCTTGGAGAGCATTGCTGTCTTTTGGTGTTCTTATTAATGAATCAAAGATGATTTTTCCCCTCTTTATGGTTTAAACTGGATTGATTCATGAATTCATGTGACGAGAATAAGAAAAGGAATGGTCTTGAGTTTTAATTCTCAATTAATCAACACTTGCTAGATACACTTTGTGTATTATCTAGCAAATATTTGAAAATGAATGATTTTGATCCCCTAAAGACCCAATTACCCATTGGAGACCAATTGGTTATGGGCTCAGGTGGATCTTGTCCAGATCAGTGCCATTCCAACCATTGTCTTCTGTGTTGGATTATATGTGTTCTGTGTGGGATAACTAAACAGTTAAGACTGTTTGCTTTTTTTGATTTTTCCCTCATTTCTTTGACACAGTTAACCCTTCAATTGCCATCAACTCTAAGGGAAGAAAGGCATTTTCTACAAATGGATGCAAAGTTTGGCAATAGAATGGAGAGTAATAAAGGCACCCATCAAGGGATGAAGGACGTGGCGTGGCCTCTGGACGAAATAGACCCAAAGAACGCCAAGTTCCCTTGCTGTTTGGTTTGGACACCGCTGCCGGTAGTGTCATGGTTGGCTCCTTTCATTGGCCATGTTGGGCTGTGCCGGGAGGATGGCGCCGTGATTGACTTCACAGGTTCTGGCTTTGTCAATGTCACTGATTTTGCCTATGGTGCTGTGGCCAAGTACCTCCAACTTGACCCGGAGCAGGTACACACTCTTGGCCTTGGGTTGCTTCTTTGAAAATTGCATGATTTACCCTCGAACATTTAAAAGTGCATCAAATACCCTTGAATTGTTCAAAAATGACACGGTTTACCCATGAACAATAAAAATTGCACCGAATACTCCTTAACTCTTCGAAAATTGTACTGTTTACTCATAAACATTTAAAAAAAGACCACAATTTTGGGTAAAGGTACTTTAGAGAATTCACAAGGGTCAGATGAATCATATTCGCAATTCTTGTGCATGGAAGTAACGCACTCCCTATCTAATAGTTTAGGACCAATGATGTAACGTTTTAATTTGTTCAAGGGTATTTGGTGCGTTTTTTAGTGTGTAGGGGTAAATCGTGCAATTTTCGAAGAGTTTTAGGGTAAGCGGTGCACTTTTTAAAGTTCAAGGGTAAAACATGCAATTTCTAAAAAGTACAGGGGTAAACAATGCACTTTACTCTATTGTGAATATCACGAATTGAAAATGATGGAATTGGATTTCTTGAACAGTGTTGTTTCCCCCCGAACCTCGCCGGCCATTCGTGCGCGCACCGGTACCGGCACGCAGAGTTGGGGACGGCGATCAGCTGGGACGACGCGATCCACTTGGGAATGCGCCACTTTGAGCACAAATCCTACAACCTCTTCACCTGCAACAGCCACTCCTTCATAGCCAACTGCCTGAACAGGATGTGCTACAAGGGCTCCATGAGCTGGAACATGGTCAGCGTCGCGGCCCTCGTTCTGGCCAAGGGCCGTTGGGTCGGCCCGTTTTCGGTCGTGAGGTCGTTTTTCCCCTTCGTGTTTGTGGTCTGTTTGGGCATTTTCATGGTCGGGTGGCCCTTTTTCGCCGCGCTGTTCTCCTTCTCGTTTCTCCTTCTTGGATGGTTTGTTTTGGGGACTTACTTTGTCAAAAGCATCTTGGAACACTAACACATTTTGTCTCTCTTTTCTCGTATAATCATCTCTTATGTTTTTCTTTGGATGAGAATGTTTCATTAATTACTCTGAAATGTATAGTATAGTTTCCACTATATATCGTGTCCAAAACAAATATACACATGTGAAATATTGAAAATTCATAAGAACTTGCAACATAAGTGGGAGTCATTTCAAAACAAACTATGAAGCTTACTTAACTTGGGTCAACAGGTAAAACGTCACAAATACATGCCATAGATAGACCTCCACCTTAGAGCATTGGCAATGTCAAGTCAAAAAATGGAATGTCACTTGGTGACTTGTAGCATTTCAACCAATCAAAAAAAGTCTAGTCAGCGTGTGGAGTGGCATGTCATGCAGTGGCAAGTAATTGTTTTTGTCATTTTTTACACTTTTGTGGAATATTTTAATTATAAAAAAAATTTTACTTATATTTTTTTTCATAAAAATATATGCACATCATTTTTTTAAAAACCCTTTTTTAAAAAAATAAAAAAAATAAATAAAAAATAAAAAGAAGAGAAGGATTGCCTCGCACAAGACATGCCTAGCATGGAGGAGTGCACAATCCAAGCATGACAAAATAGATAATTTGCTGGTGTGGCATGGTGTGGCAGACATTTGCCTCGCCACTGTCGATGCTCTTACAAAATCAAACATAGAACTAGACTTTATAGTTGGGTAATATAATGTTGACTCATGATTTCTTGGTCAATATGGTACTGATATCATGTCGAAAAAATAAAAGTTCAAGCTTGTAGTTATGGTCCAAGAAAGAGTTTTATGTACCCTTACATATTCATGTGAAGAAACTAGAATATGCACGAAGAAATTGGAAAGATCTAAAAAAACGGAAAAAGTTAGAAAACTGGAAGTAGTTAAAAAACCGGAAAAAATTGGAAAAAAGTGGAAAATGTTAGAAAACTAGAAAGAGTTGAAAAAATTAAACATTTGAGAATTGTATGGAGTATTATATTTTACAAATGTCATATTTTGTTAAAAATTACAGTGTGTTTAGTTTTATCAATTTTAACATTCTAAATAGTTTTTTTTAACTGGAAGTTTTTCATATTTAATTTATATTTATCAAATATTATGTTGTCAGTCCATATTAATTTCATATTATTCCACGTATGGTCCTCCATTTATTTTTCTATCTCGGTCTCGTTAGACAAGGACTGAACGTGGAATAGCATTCAAGTAATATGGATAGCAAATATTTGATAAATATGAAAACCCTAACTTGTAAAGGATTATTTAGATAATCTACTCATTTTTTAAACCACTTTTAGCATAGAAATTAATAAATGTTAAAAGTGTAAGATTATACTTACTCCGTCCTAGAAAGAATACCACAATTACTATTCTGGCCTCTCGATAATTTTTGTTTGTTTAGTCGTTTTGGTTGACCATTTGATAAAATAAAATATTTTTGTCGCATCTTGTTTTGTAGAACTTTTCATATACTTTTGAATGATGTAATTTTTACTTTTTATTTCTCTACCAATTTAAAATTAAAGTGATTTTAAAAGAGATCATATTTTGTACGTCATTCAAAGTGTTGCGAATAAATTAGAACGGAGGGAGTAGTTAATTTATAAGAAGTCAAAATTTATATACCATATAAAAAAGTAAATTAAAAAGTTTTTTAATACGAGAATCAGTTTAGAATAAGAGTAAAAAAAAATATTTATCCTTAAAACAAAAGTGTGATGCTTTTTTCTCAAAATAATAGTTTGCACGGTGACATTTCATTATATTTTTTGATACCATATACTTCGTATTTACATTATTAGCATTATATTGTACTCTTGTTTTGAAGATAAAAAAAATATGAAGCTCTTGTTTGGTAACTTCTTTATATTTTACTCCTAGTTTGATTCTTTTTCTAAAAAATAGAAGTTATTACTCCGTTTCCCAATGTAAGAAAAATACAATATCATTAAAAAAAAGTACTCTATAGTTAGAAAAGAAAATATTAGTATTTACTTAAAATTTATAACATGAGTTTTACTACGATATATTTCATTTCTCAATATATTATTAACAAAAAGCATTATCTTGACCACAATGTTTCAAGAAAAGTTTTTAAATGACATTTTCCCATATGATAATTAAGTTTACTATAGCAAAAGAATTTAACTCCAAAGTGAAAATCAAATTATAGACAATGCCTTTTACCTTTTGACTCTATGGTGGACGATCTACATGGAATTTTTCACATATTTTTTTCAATCTTAAAAATGTTTATTCTAACACTTAAAAATGCTTTATTTAATATATATGAAAGCCTACTATAGACTCTAGATGCATATAATAATTTGTGAATTCTCATTCCTAAAGCCTCTCAGTGTCGGAGATTACTTGGAGGCAACTATGTTAAAACTTATTGGATCTTTGTAATTATCACATGCATGCTTTACTTTTTGTTAAGATCAAATACTCCGAATAAATTAAGCCGGTATGTATGAAGGGACTCGAGAAGGGGCTCGGGTATTAATTTTCTCCTAGTGGGTGTCAAATGTTCCGATAAACGTGGCACATGTTCGGCGTAGACAGCTGGCACCCTCTCTTCCTTTTTCCAGTCTTCAATGCCTCTCTGGTAAAGTATCATCTCCGGCCATATTCTCCCCGCCGATCATCGCCTTTAAACTCCGTTCTTCCCTCGACCGTCTCGTAATCCGCAACCGTTCCTTTCTCCTATCTTATTGCCGGTGGTCGACGATGTCTTCATCGTCCGCCAGCGGCGTTTCTTCAGCGATTCCGACGCCCAAAAACGCCGACGAATTCGAAGCCGTCCGTCGAAGTAGAATCTTATCGAGCAAGCTCTATTTCGATGTGCCTCCGTCTAAGGTAACACTCCTTTCTTAATTACTTGTATTTGCAGAGTATAAATTGCTGTACTTGAGCTTCAATTCTTCAGTTGAATTGAAACCGTAATTGGGTGAATCAGGCTCCGATTATCTACTCATCTTCATATGACATCTCCTTTCTTGGCATTGAAAAGCTGTAAGGACTCTATTATAGTCTGATTCTTTTTTCCTGAATTTTGAAATGCGCACATGTATGTCTGTTCACTTCTTTTTTTTTTTTTTTGTTAATTGATGCAGACACCCTTTTGATTCTTCAAAATGGGGTCACATCTGCCAATTCCTAACTGCAGATAAAATCCTGGAGAAGAAGCAAATTGTTGAACCTCTAGAACCCACCAGAGATGATCTCCTAGTGGTAGTCATACTTGTTTTTAATTTTTCCCACTCCATGGGCATTCCTATTTCTGTTTTATGATGTTTTTCATATCTTTAGTACATTGAATGAACTGGATACATTCTTGTTCCAGAAGTATATAGGCACGGTTAGTTCTTTAGTGGGTGCATTAGGGCTCAGAATAAAACACGGGGAATCGGAAACTATGTATCTGCACACTATAAAGTTCTTTGGTAGGAGAACCAATTTGGATGGTCATATACAGTTTATGCACAAATGTTGAAGTGTTTAGCCTACAAGCTGTAAGATGCCAGAGCTTGATTATGAACTTTATGCTCAGCTCCATGGAGTATTATTCTCCATGGTTGGTGAGCCCAATTGGATCTTTAGCTGACACATTGATGAAACAAGGAAAATAATCTTCCTTTTTTCTGATGTAAAAATCAATGATGAGTGTAGATTCTTGTCCTTGTTTTAATTCTTTCACATGCACATCCTTCATGTCCCATTAACTTCTAGTTGTATGTCAAAGATATTGTGATTTTGGTGGTAGGTACATTCAGAGTCATACTTGGATAGTTTAAAGAGCAGCATCAATGTTTCTATGATTGTTGAGGTGAGATTTTGAAAAGAAAAACTTATTGTTTACACAGCCGGAATGAAGAGGAGCCTTGTAGTGAAGTTTTAAATATCTGAATGGCTGTAATACTTCATAGGTTCAACCTGTTGCAGTTCTGCCTAATTTTCTTGTACAGAAGAAAGTTCTTCACCCTTTTCGCAAGCAGGTTCACTGAATTTCGCTGCCTCCATTTCTCTAAAAAAACTGTGGTTCTGCTTACTCACTAGACAGTTTGGAATAGGTAGGAGGAACCGTGTTGTCGGCCAAGCTTTCCAAAGAACGGGGATGGGCTATCAACGTGGGTGGTGGGTTTCATCATTGCTCTGCACAGAAGGGAGGTGGTTTTTGTGCCTATGCAGACATCTCTATTTGTATTCAGTTTGCCTTTGTCGCTTTAAATATATCAAGGTATTGCCACAGAATAGGTATATAACTCGTTCAAGCAATCAGTTTGTTTTGCATTAAGATTCACATATTTTTTAATCTACATCTCCAGAGTGATGATAATTGATCTGGATGCGCATCAAGGAAATGGTCATGAAATTGATTTTGCGAACGACAGTATGATTCTTTCCCTTTTATTCTTTGAACCTTGGCCTTTGTGTAGAATTTTTGTTTGGTTGATTGATCCATACCTTAATACTAGCAGGAAGGGTCTATGTTCTTGACATGTATAATCCTGACATTTATCCACATGTGAGTTGCCTTCTGATGTTTCCAAACTTAGTGTCCCTTTTCCAAAATATTTTTTCAAAGTTGTAACCATTATCTTACAGGATTTGGAAGCCAAGAGATACATTGATCAGAAGGTTGAAGTTAAGGTGGGAGTTAATTTGTTTCCCCTTCCTTGAAGATGGGTTGATGAGTGTGTTTCTATTTTAGTTTTAACTTTTAACTTTCAATGTCAATTTTAACAGAGCAGGACGGAAACAGACGCCTACTTGACTAAACTAGATGAAGCACTTGAGGTATGTATCAGTTTTACTTGGTTCTTTCAAAGCCTTTTCTAATGAAGAAACGCTCTGGAATCATTCATTATGCACAATTCTTTAGGTTGCTGAACGTGAAACCAACCCCGACTTAATTGTGTACAATGCTGGCACCGATATATTGGAAGGAGATCCTCTTGGATTTTTGAAGGTAAATTACCTTCTCAGACACTCAACTGTTGCTTCAATGAAAATTACTACACTATAAGCTATGACCACCGTTGGACCGCACGTGGGAAAACAATGATTTTATTTCTTGTTCATACTACTGATATATATACATACACTAAAGTACCAACATTATTAAATGTGAAGCAGATGTATGTGTATTTTGTGTGCAGGTCACTCCCAAAGGAGTGGTTGAGAGGGACGAAAAGGTCTTTCGATTTGCTTGTAAGATGGGAGCGCCCATTCTGATGCTCACTTCAGGTTTGATAAGTTCAGCACTTGAGGGTAACTTTGTAGTTAGTCCTCCGTCTCGAAACCATTATTTTGATCATCATCATCATAAATGTTTCAGGTGGGTACATGAAGTCCAATGCTAGGGTCATTGCAGATTCAATCATGAATCTTAAAATCAAAATGTTGATCGACATCCCCTCATCCGCAAGCAGTTGAAGACATTTTATGAAATGGTTGCGACGAGATGTACCAATGTCGAATGTAAACGTCTATACCTGCAATTATGTATATGAATATGTTCTTCTATGTGAATATAAAAAAGCAGCTAAGACATTCGCGGGACTCCACGTTTGTTTTAGTGTAGGTGTTTACCCCGAGTACGTAGTGTCTGTCTGTGTTCATATAACAAAAAAAGCAGCGAAGCACATGAAGCTTTATGGTATAAGAATATGTTGGGAAATATCTCTCCTGCATGGAGGAAGTATCCAATTTTAATTGGATAACACTTTAAATCTCTCTTTTACACTACAAGAAAATTCCTCTTCTGCAACGGAAAAATTTCGTGGCAGAATTTAATTTTCCATGGCAGATTTCTATTTTGCAACGGATCTGCCACGAAATTGATCCGTCGCAAAAAAGTTGTGGCAGATTCAAAATCTGCGACGGACTTTAAAATTCGTGGCAGATCTGCGACGGACCTGCAACGGGGTTTTCATTTTTTCCATCCAGCAAAATCTGCGACGGATATAAAATACCGTCGCAGCTCTGCGACGGCATTAGCAACGGAATTCTCCGTCGCAAATCAGCGACAAATATAGCCACGGTCATGTCCATCGCAGATGACCTGTTGCCAGAACCAGAATTTTGCTGTTTTCAGCACTACCTATTACAATGGGGTGTGTGGGGGCAAAACACATTCAATCTTCACACATATAATTCCAAACAAGATTTCAAACACCCAAATTGCTAATTCAAATCTAGATTAATACAAACTTCAAATGCGAATGTAGCATAATTCATTATGTTCTAATAACAAATATTAAAATGTTAGTGTCAAGTGTTTAAAATGGAGGAAGCTAAGGTCGTAAATGTCTCAACAAATCCCGGGCTGCCCTGCCCCTCCTTTTCCATCATCATCACCTCGTCGAGGAAGGTTACCACCATATAGCTTCCTTAGCTCCTCTTGAATCGTCAGTGACAAGTTCGAGGTTAGACTATCAATTTGTTCCTGCAACCTTTGGTTTTGCTCTTTGAGTGCTGATATCTCCGCTGTGCTTCTACTACTCGTGCTGGAACGGCGAGGTTTGGAAGACGGATTCATCTTCCTCATTTCCCGCTCGTGGCCCATTTATTCTTGTAAGTGGCTACTAAAATACTAAATTGAACAAAGAGTAAATTCTTAAAATGCTACTCCCTCCGTCCCATTTTAAATTGCCTGTTTGCCTTTTTTCTCCGTCCCAAAATAAATTGCCTGTTAGTTATTTTCGTAAACTATTAAAAATAAAATACCTAAACTACCCTTAAAATTAGTCATTCTTTTTCACCTTATCTTCTCATTCATCATTACCCCTCTTAAAAAATAATGTCAATTTTGAAAAATCAACTCTATTTTTTATTTTCCTTAAATATGCCCAAAAGTCAAAACGGACGATTTAAATTGGGATGGAGGGAGTACTTAATATTTATGTGTTTTCTCAATTAGTTCCCAAAATTAATTAATTTCTAAGATGGTACTCGTTAATTGAAAATAATGTTCTGTTCAGTCTCCCAACTACGACCATTAAAACGGTGTTAAAATTAAAGTAACTTTATACTACTTTTCTAAAATGGTACTTTCTTACTGAATGTTTTCTCAAATTGGTCTATTTTCGAAATTAAAGTACATTAATTATAAAAAAATATTTTAAATTCTATAGGATGACAATATGATACTTCAAACTATAAATATAATTTTAAAAATTTAAAAGTAAAAGTTTTTTATTATTTATAGTTATTAAGAAGAATGGCATGTAAATAAAATGTTTAATAATCGTTACTGAAATCACCCTAAACATGAGTAGAACATAAAGTACCAAAATATGAACTCTTTCTTTATGTTTTACTCTTACTTAGGGTGATTTCTTCAACATTTATTAAATATTGTTTACATGGTATTCTTTTAAATAATTGCAAATAATCTAAAATATTACTTTCAAATTTATAAAATTATATTTATAGTTTTTGGTATTATATAATATTACTATAAAATTTAAAATATTTTTTCATAATTAATGTATTTTTATTTCGAATATGGGTCAATTTGAGAAAACATTCTGTTACAAAGTACTCCCTCCGTCCTATATTGATCTTCCCACTTCCCTTTTTTTCCCGTCCTAAAATCATCTTCCCACACACTTTAAATACACATGTAATGACTAAAATACCCCTAAAAAGTTAAAACATTTATTACTCACCAACCCTTATCCAACCCACCCCTTTATCTTCATTCTTCACCGTCCACACCTTCGTTCTTACACTTCTCCGCCTCCCTTCTCCGCCTCCCTCCTCTAAGCGTTTCCCAGCGATAGGGTTTCTCCTTTCTTTTCCTCTCTCAAATCCCTGAAACTTAGATCCCTGAAACTCAAATTGCGTTTCCCAGCGATTAGGGTTTCTCCGATCCTTTCTCCTTTCTCAGATCCCTGAAACTGAGTCCGAATCCCAAGGAATGAACACTGAAAATCCAAGGATTGATGGCAGAGAGAATCAAAATTTAGACGCTTCAGGCACAGAGGAGGGGGAGAGTGAGTCGGATGATGCTGGATCTGACTCCAATCCTCTTCCAAACATTGGCTGGGTCATTGCCGACAGTGAGTATGAGGAAAGCGAGTTGGAGGATGAGCCCATGCAAGGATTTGGAAGTGAATTGGATGAAGACCAGTTCATTGAGGAGGAGGAGGAGGACAGAAACGAACTGTCTGATGCTGAAATGGGCAGCCACTCCGATGCCATTGGCACAGGGGTTCGCGAGGTCCAACGATTTCCAGCCTTGCTGTCCTACCGAGACTACAAAGTGAAGTTTCTCTTTATTTTTTTTAGCCTATGCATGATTAGAAGTACATACACAGCTATGATGATTGTGGAAATTACATTGCATGTTCAAGATTTTTGTTAGGGTACATAGAGTGAGTGGTAGTCAAAGAAAACTGATTGGGGTACATATTGAGTAGTTGCCTTGATTTGAAAACAAAAAGGTCAAGGTCTTACTTTCCTACTCTTCAGTATTTACAACCTACAATTACAAAATTCAAAAAGCAAAAGATAAATGTACCCAATCATTCCCAAAATATGAAGAGATTTTGTGTTATGATAAACACTTAGTTCATCTCTAAAGATGAGAAGTTCTCTTCATCTTCAGTTATGAACTCATGTACCACTGGCTCTTCACTCTGTCCACTGGCCTGACCAAGCACCCTTACTGTCTTCTCTATCAATGTGTAGGGTACATCCAAACACACTGGTAGTGCTCCTTATCTAGTCAGCATGTCCTTTGCCATATGTGGGAGCTTGTATTTGTTCCCTCCTTCATCATTCATGACTTCTTGCATCACATTTTGGTAGCTTAACCATACTTTGTTTAAAGTCTCTGGTGTTAGGCATTCATAAGCACCCCTTACTGCTTCTAGTAGCTCTGTCACATTCTTAGGAGCACACTGCTCTTTCAGTGATTGAATGGCTCTAAAAAACCCCAAATCTAGGTTGTTGAGGTCTGGAGAGTTGGGGGGTTGGTTACTTAAGGTTATGTTGAATCCATTTGTAGTTGATGCTTCCATAAAATCTGGATCTGTGGCAGATATATGAGGTCTGGCATTATCTTGCTGGAGCACAATGTTTTTGCCTAAAATGGGTGGCCATTTCTNTTGAATTGCAGGGATGACTTGGGTGACCAACATCTGTTTAGTCACTTCTTTGGTAACACTATGAAGTTGTTTCACCTCTAAAACACCTGCATCTCTGTTCTTACTCTTTCTTTTAGCTGCCACAGTTTCAACAAATGGAAATATTCCAATTTTTCCATCCCACAACACTTCCCCTTTTTCTGAGATTAAGGGTCTACCAACCACACATAAAAACATGACCTTAGTAATGAAACGCTTTGACTTGCATGTTCTGTAAGGGTCCATTTCATTCGGAGTCAAGTAGTATTTCTGTGATGTCTTGGACATGAAGAACCATTTCTCATCCATGTGAAGAACATTATGGAAAGATCTAAACCTCGGGTTAGATGGGATGCTAATGGGTTCTATCTGATTCAAACAAAATTGCAATCTTTGCAACTTGTTTGCATCAGTTAGGTATGGTTTAATTGCATTTGAATGACTTCTGACCAATCCTCTTTTAATACAAAGATGCAATGTAGACTTTGAAATACCTAAGGCGGCCCTAATGCTTGTTCTTTTGGCTAGAGGAATGTTCAGGATGGACTCTATGTCTATCACCTTCCTTTTCCTTCCACACTTCAATCGAACCTGACTATTCACATCAATGGCAACACCCCCCTGCATTTGTTTTCTAGCTCTACTCCATATCTCCCCTACAGATCTTCTTGAAACATTAAATTGAGCAACAACCTTACTGATAGCTCCTTTCTGAGCTGTGTACTGACCTGATTTTGTTTTTGTGTACGGTAAGATTGCTTCTACAATTCTTTGTCTTTCTGAATTTGTGAGCATTTTGCTCCTTATTTCATTTTCCATTTGCAGGTTCTCATCTCTGCTTGGGAGAGGAGGAACAACACTGTGAGGAGGAGCAGCGGTGTGAGGCGGAGCATCGGTGTGAGGCGGAGCAGCGGTGTGAGGCAGAGCATCGGTGTGAGGCGGAGCATCGGTGTGAGGCGGAGCAGCGATGTGAGGCGGAGCATCGGTGTGAGGCGGAGCAACGGTGTGAGGCAGAGCATCGGTGTGAGGCGGAGCATCGGTGTGAGGCGGAGCAGCGGTGTGAGGCGGAGCAGCGGTGTGAGTATCAGGCATGTGAGATGAATAGTGGGCAGGAGCTGCAGTTTTTTTTGGGGGTGGAGTTTCTAATTTTAGAAGGGTTGGATATTTATAGGATATGGCCTTGGTGGACTTTATGTTTGTATTTGGAGGGAAATTTTTAGAAATTTCCCTCCTATTTGTAAAATGTTTTCATTTTTGATTTTGAGACTAGTGCCAAAAGTTTGCCGTAGTTGTAATAGATCTGACAATGAATAATTCGAACAAATCAATGTGTGGCTGTGATCTTTTCTTTTACAAATGCTCCAATGGTTTTTTTTAAGGGGAGGGTATAATTGGAAGTCAAGGTGTAAAAGTTCCCTCCCTTAAAAATGAAGAAAAGTCAATGTGGGAAGCTCATTATAGGACGGAGGGAGTCTATTTTGGGTAAATAGTATAAAGTTTAATGTCTTTTCAATGTCATTATTCTAAAATACTGAGTACCATTTATGGAATTTGTTAGTTTTGAAGCCTAATTGGAGAAAACACATAGTTATTGAGTACCATTATGGAAAACTACATTCAATTATATTAAATTTATATTATAATTCAATATACTTTTTTCACAATTTGTAACCAAAGTGTGTAACTGTTTGACCAAATGTCATTCAAAATAGGTAATGTTTTATGGAACTGATCGGGGGAGTATATCGCATAAAGAAAATCACGATACCCAACAAATTGGAAAATCGTGAATTTCAAAACGATTGTACTAAGGTTAAAACATGTTTTCTGACCGTTCATGAAAACATCACAGTTGATTGTGTAATTGGTGTGTTTACCTCTTGATTGCCTAATCATCTTTTTATGTACACACAAAAAGGTATTAAGTTCAATGATATAATTAAAAGTAAAAAATAATACTCCCTCTGTCTCTAAATAAACTTTCATTTTTGACTTTTTAAGGATTTAAGGGAGGAATATTTTTGTGTTGACTTTCCAAAAATACCATTGATGTGATGTGTAAAAGTAAGATGTGATATGTAGATTATTAGTAAAAAGGTATGATGTGATAAGTAGGGTATGAAAAGTAAAGGGTAAAAGGGGTTTTTTAAAGGAAAATAAAAGTTTATTTGGGGACAAGGAAAAAACGAAAGAGGAAATTTATTTAGGGACGGGGAAGTAGAAATTACCCTAAATATGACTATAACATAAAGAAAAGTACCAAAATAGGACTTTCAAGTTTTTCCCCGAAATATGGACTTCGCACCGTACTGTGGTAATGTGTCATTATACATGTGCACATTACATATACTTTTTGGTAATACACATGACCATATTTGGTAATGTAAATGCATTTTAAGTCCTATTTCGGAAACAAAAACAATGAAAGTCATATTTTGGTATATTTTCAATGTTTTAGTTCTATTTTGATCGATCTTTCTCCCAAAAAATAATAAGGGAGGCCACAGAACCAAAATCGTGCCCTACATGTTTTAGTCTAATAGAGCACCGGAAAACAGCTTAACGCCCACCGCGTCACATGCAATTTTAACATCGGGAGAATGTTTAACACCACACCCTCATCCGCCATCTTGGCATTATGTCCCTTGCATTAATCCTTTGGCGCTGCTGAGACGTTGGACGGGTGACCATCCCCCCCCCCCCCCAACGGTCCAAGTCATGGGCTTTGGCCAAAATTTTAATAAAAAAATATTTTTATTTTTAATACAATAAATACCCCCTCTTATAATCACAAAAAAACACACACAACATATTCTCATAATATGATCATAAAGAACAACATGTTTGCAATTTGATTTACAATGCACTAACGGCGAATTTGATTGAACATAATTTTTGGCACTCAAATAATCAGTAATTTCTTTGTAATGTAATGTAATGTTAAATATTTTATTTTTGTGTTATTATTCAACTCTTATTTCATTACTTTAATTTTTTTTAAATATAATTTTTTATTTAATGAATTATTGTTATTTAAACTCAGTTAATAAATAAAGTTTTATTTATTTAATTTTACAAAAAGAGAAAATTTTAAAGTCTCATATTGAAACCTCGAGGTTTCACGAACGTTTGGAGTGGGTCTTATATTGTTACATTGAAAAGGAAGAATTTTAAGGCATAGAAGAGGTATTGTACTTTATTGAAATTGCGATTTGCGACGCCGTCCGAACCGATCTTCTTCGGACGTACGTGGGTTTGTGGAATAAAAATGTTGGAAAGGCCGGCACAAGACATTATGAGTATTGGAGTTGGTGTTGGTGGGCCATCCGGCGTTGGGTGGTGACCCGACAAATCCGTCCGTATAAAAAGAAAGGTAAACACAGAACATGAAGCACAAACCGCCAACAAAACATTAATAAACTGGAAAAAGATAGGAGAGTTGGAAACTAAAGAAGAAAAAGAACTGGCCGGATAATGTACGTACAACTAATGAGCATACTAAATATAATTAATTCATGGACACCCCCTGCCCAAGTAATTAAAGCTAAACACCATCATAAGTATATATATGTAGAGAGTAATTAACAAAGATGGAAGGATAGATCAGATAATTGTAGCCACCAAATGATAATCAACCTACTCAGATCAGCTCTCTCATCACGTACGTACTTATCAACTCTGATTCAGAACATTGATCAAAATGTCATTGAAATCACTGGATGTGCAGATGAGAGAGTTGCCTCCCAAGAGTTTCTTCACGCTGTGTCCCAATTTTGCTCTTATGTTCACCTTGAAATCGTCCTCCTCCTCCTTGGGGGGGAAGTTACAAATAACATACCACTCCACCTTGGGTGTATTTGCGGCAACACCTTAAAATAAGGAAGCCTTACCACTAAAAACTTAAAATTCATGGAATCCTTGTCAGACACAGCTTCAAACACTTTTTCAGAATTGATCTCTGAAAATATCCATCCCAAAAATGAGCATTATTATTCTTGTTCCTTTTACCAGTTTCGTATATATGTATTATTCCTTCTAATTAATAACATTATTAAGCCATATATAACACATCTTGATGATCGACGAGAAGGAGATCAGAAATAATAATAGAAAGAAAAAGACGAAGAAGAAGAATATAGAATGATTTTTTTACTGTTGAAGGGGAAGAAAGAAAGAACAAGAAGAAGAAGGCTAGTCTGTGAAATGAAAGGCTAGTTGAAGAACTAACCCTAATGAGTGCTTCCTACTTATAGGAACAGAGAGCCAGCTGCTGCTAGGGCACCGTCACGTCACTCTCAACCCTCTTCCACCGCTTTTTTCTATTGGTCGTTTGATCCCCCACCCACTCACAACATCACACATACTCTCACTCTTACTTCCCACAGTACGTATATACCCCCGTATATCTATGCTAGTACACATGGCATGGCTCCTACAACGTATACTTACATTACACAAATGATGTTTGTGACAAAAAGTGAAATTTTAAATGGAGCATGTTACATGTACCTCAAATTTTGTATCTCATTTATACATGTGTTCTTTCTTCCCAGTTTGACTTTTACCCAATTTTAGTTTTTGGCTTTCACTTCAAATTTTACCCTCCTTAAACAAGATTTTTTGAAATTTTTTTACAATCATTCAAAATATAGAGTTAGAAGATAATTGGTGTAAATACATGATGGTATTAATGTCATTTGTCATCTTTTTTTTCTAATTGGAAGGTAGTTTTAGGACGGAGAAAAAGGGAAAATGGGAAGATAGTTTTAGGACAGAGGGAGTACTATTTTAATGTTTCATATTGACACAAAGTATTGGTGCGTTAACAAAAGTTAGCATTACACCAACATAAAATGTTTGTGCATCTCTGCGGTGTACAAAATGAGGTACAAATTCTTGGGGTAAAAATAACATTATCCATTTTAAATTTTAAATCCATTTTATTTAACAATGGTTAATGAGTATGTATAGTATGTATGTATGTATGTGTGTGTGGAAACTACTTCAAAAATTGAGATGTTTGTATAAACACTTATTTTCTTTATTTTAAAATTAAGATTAATCATATAATTTATCGTTTCTTGATTTGAATGTCATTAATTCATGTGATAAAACTTAATATAAGGATATAAATGAAACAATATAATAGACCAATGTCATATGCAAATTTTAAATTTAAACAATATTAATTCTACATAATTATGTGTTCCCATACACTCCTACTTTAGAGCATTCATTTTATTAAAGGATAATTTACTTAAATATAACTAAAACATAATGACTTTCTCAATATAAGACCATATGTTTTTATTTCTTAGTGTAAGACCATTGGCCATTATCTATTAGTCATTATCCAACTAAATATACAGCATCACTTGGATATTATTCTTCTCACTAGTCATTATTAAGTCTTATTTAAGGAATAAAAAAATTTAAGTTCACATTAAGAAACGACTTATGTTTTAGTCATATTCATTGTTAATTTCACTTTATTAAATTAATGTATGAACATTTTTTGCATACACATTCAATATGCACATTCAAACCCATGAGTTCTTTTCCTTGCTCAATCCATTTTATTTCTCGTTCATGTAATGTTTATGCGCCCTTGCTAGCTACACAAGCCTATTCTTAGGCTAACCAATTGTTTGTTGGTTTTTTTTAAAAAAGAGAAATTAATTAAGTAATACTAAAACATAATAACTTTTTCTAAATAACATTACATGTGTTTTTTTTCCAATGCAGTATTTTTAGTCATTATCCATTAGTTATTATTCAAATAAATATTTGTCATCACGGGACATTATGGACATTATTAAGTGCTATTTAGAGAATAAAACAGTTTAAATAATTATATTTAAGGGAATGACTTAAGTTTTAGTGCTATTTAGTGCAGATATTTCTTAAAAAAATGTTATGCATGTATAGCTTATTAATTTAAGAGGTTAGAGTTCCCTCAAAAAAAATAAAGAGGTTAGAGTGCATAACTATTTTAATAATTTATGGTTAAAATTTTAAAACATTGACTATAACACATTTCAAAGAAACATATTCCAAAGAAACATTATTTTAAAAAAATTCAAAAATCACAAATAAAATCATAAGATATTTAATTTAAGATTTTAATAATTTACATTGACTCTATAATTCATGATAACTAAATTTTATTTCATGGGCATTTGTTTAAATAAATTGTGACATCAAATCAACTTTTATTTTGTTGAGATAGTAATAATGATAATAATATGAAAAAATACATAAATATTTATCCAAGTCAGTTTTGGAAGAAATGGAAAAAATTGGAAGAAATTATGTTTGAAAAAAAGCTAGATGAAGCGATTTAAAAGAAACTGAAAGAAGTTTGAAGAAGATGGAATGAGTTGAAAAATGATGCAATTTAAGAGTTAGAACTGAAACAAAAGTCTAAATGTTATCCCTCCCTATTCCAAAAATAAGTTATCTATTTACTATTCATGCGTGAGTTTTAATTTTATTCAATTTATTTCCTTATTTTTATTACTTATTTGATTAAACAATATCGTCTTATTGCATTTTATTTTATAGTGTTTTTTATGTAATTTCTTAATATGTAAATTTTATTTTTTAAGTTTCCATAATTTTTAAATAATTTGTGTTAAAAGTAACATATACTATTAATTTAAATTGAGATAGAGAGAATAATAAGAATAACTAATTTTAAATTTTGCCGTCTGATTCCAATTCAAAAAGACTTTCACTGTACATTTGGTTGAAGGCGGCATTTTAATTATGTACTCCGTACTATATTAATTAATTGGGGAGTGAATAAGAATTTCAACTTTTAACAAAAGAATCCGAAATCCGGCTCTTCCGTCCCGCCCTTCTGCTAGCTTTCGAGTCTAGATCCTTCCATTTTTTTTTTAAGTCTAGCTCCTTCGATTGGTAGGTACTTCCACTCCGTATATACTCATCTTTTTTCAAAAAAATACTTCCTCCGTCCCAAATTATTTGCCACATTTAGATTCCCGAGGCAAAATATCAAGTTTTTTCAATTTATTTTATTTACATATTGGTATAGAAATAAAAAATAAAATTTATATATAAAAAAACTACATGAAAAGTTCTTCAAAATAAGAGGTGTCAAGAATATTTTATTTTAACAAATAACTAATGAAAACGTCGAAATAAACAAAAGTTCCCGCGACTGCTGAGAAAGCAAATGTGGTGAATATTTAGGGACGGAGGGAGTACAACCGTTGCATTCCGTTTTTTTGGCTCATTTCACGAAACACTTTTTATTTTTTTTAAATGTCTCAAACAATTTTAAATTAATTTTGACTCACAATAAATCAGAAATTAAATGTATTTATAAAGATTTTGCATGGAGTGTAAAAGCATTTTACGTGATGCCCAAAAAAAATTGGGTATGTGAAAGTAGGAGTGGGCAAGAAACTCGAAATCGTTATCCTAATCTGAAATATTCCAATTCCGTCTCTATTATGTCCACTTTATTAGGAACTATGTTAGCTTATTCGCGTTTAAATTACGAACTTCTCATGTGACAAATGTATAATACATGTTTTTTTACCCCAAACGTAATTACAAAATTTATACGTATGAAATCGTAAAAATCATCTTATATCGACTCCAACTATCAAAATTTAGAAGACCAAATTTTGGATCGGGTCAACTTACTTGATTGACTTACTCCCAAAATATAAATCTTTAAAATTTGGTGACTGATATAACAATGGGAAGAAAACGGGAATTCAGATACAATAAGATTAAACCAGACTAGATCTTCAAAAAATCTGCTCAGATTAAATTAGGGGAAGAGAACAGAGCTTTTAAGTTTGTGCTTTACCTTAGATGCCTATGTATTGATCGAATGAAAAATTGAATAGTACTCCCTACCTCCGGCAAAAAAATTTCTTATTTTAACTTTTAAAAAATTTAAGAATAGTATATTTTGGTGTTGACTTTCCGAAAAAAATTTTGATGTGATTGATAAAACATGTTGTGATTAGTAGATTAATAGAGAAAAATTGTGATGTGATAGATAATTTAATAATAAATATAAGTAAAAATGACTTTTTTTTATTTAAAATAGAATATTTTTGCGACGGATAAAAAATGAAAGGGTAAAGGTAAGGGCAAATTATATGGTACATCCGGCTGTACATTCCTTTAGGTACAGTTTGGTATTTTTGTAAATTTTGCAAACTTTTTATCCAATGCCAAAATGAGAATCATTATATATGACAATGAGTACCAGTCGATTTGAGAAGGAGTACCCACACTTATGAGAATTATCATATTCTTATTCAATACAAACATTAATAAATCTGTGTTTTAAATTCTCCATGTTCAGAGAGTATGAATGAGTAAGAACGAATCGAATAGAGAAAGAAGTTGATGATGGTACTGAACTTTTTAATTGTGAAAAAATTGAATAATACTTTATTTCAGAATGAACATTTCTTTATTTGAGAATGAGTCGTGTTCTTTTAAGAATGAACACTACGCTATTTATTATAATTATATTAGGCAAATGTGTAAAAATGAGTACTTCTTTATTTTAAAATGAGTACTACCTTTGCCAGAATAAGTTTTACGTATTTTGAAATGAATGTTTATATTTGTACGAGAATAAGTATTACTTTATTTCAAAATGATTACTACCGGGATATACCTATTTCTAGGTACATCCGGATATACCATATATGTAAATAAAGTAATTAAATAAAGTACATCCTTGAAAGGTTTTATAAGGAGTAATTAAATTTTGATCCGAAAGTAGCACGAAAGTCTAGTGTTCCACAAGTTGGAAAGGAAATACGGAGTACAGTCATAGTTTCTCTTTTCATTTATTCCCCCGCTGTGCGAGACATCCACGCGCCGACACCACAGCGGTTCCTCTTAGCGTGCGCCGCCCGCCGGGAACTGCGGATCGTGCGCCTGTGCCATGACTGGGAGGAGGAGGGGGATGAGCTCGTATTCGCCTCCGCCCGCACCGTCGCCGTATTCGGTTGAGGTCTCAGTGCTTTCCGCAGTTGCTCTCGTTTTCCTCTCTCTAGCTTTGCTCTCTGCTACGGCGGCTACTAGTACTCCCGCCGCCTTCGCATTTCCGCTCACAGAAACGGATCAGCTGCTAGATGCGAATGCGTCTGGATTGAACTCCACCAGCGGTGAACCGCGGAACCCGCCCAAGGAGGACAGCTTTGCCGACATGATCGATCGAGCTCTGGAAAAGGAATTCAATGAGACTGATCAGAGTGAAGGTTGAATTTGTAGATCTAATCTCTTCATCTTGAAGTTGTGAACGCCCGGCTCTGGATTGGAAATTTGCTATTCGTTCAGTATTTTGGATAGGGATTAATTCGGATCATTGTTGTGAATTTACTCATTCCATATTTTGCAATTAGTGGTGCCGAATTTGCAACTATACATGGCTTTCTAAAGTAGGAATGATAAGTGGGGGCTATTATTTCTAAATAACGTGTTTGGCAATTAGCATTTCATTTCAATTCATGCATTCCAATTCCAAAATTTGAAATCTTGAATTTCAAATGACAAGGAGAGGTGCATGGATTTCAAATTAAGCATTGTTTTGAATGTAAAGAATTTGACTCAAATCCAAATTCAAAATGCTTAGATTTCCCAAACATGGAATTTAAGTCAAATCCGGATTTGAAATCCAAATCCATGTTCCCAAACGTACCATTATATAATTTGATTTGAACTCAAAAGATTTAAAATAGAATTTTGCCCTAATTCGTACTTAACATATGGAGGTGTTTCATTTTTCTCTTCATAAATAACCTTTTTGCATGTATTGTCAATAAGTCATAGCTTTGCCCAAATATCAGATTTGATTAGTTACCATAGCTGTAGGTAAAATAATATCATGAACTAATAATGTCTTTTCCTAATAGTGGCCTTGCATTAAATTGGCAGCTAATGATGCAGGCAGCTTCAACAATACCGTCTCAGAGCAGCAGGTGTGTGGATTCTTAAACATCACCCTTTCTGATAATTTACCCCACATTTTCTGGACCACTTAGTTTCTTAGTGCAGCATTGACATGAAGAATTATGTTTTCCCTAATACTGCATTTGGTAAGCTCAAAACACATGTCACCACTTAAGGAGGTTAGATGCTTTAGATATCAATCATACTCCTTTTACTGATTAACTTTGAATTTTTATGCAAAATATTTTCTATTTAGTGATCTCTAGCATACCTTTTGAACTTTCAATGCCCGTGATTGTCATTCGAGAGAGGGGTTCCTTCTCACCTTTGGGGCTGGGCGCATACAAGTTCCATTCTTGTGTTAATTTATAGTTCTGCTTCTCCTTTTGGAGTATATGAGTTTCACTCATGTATTAATTACCAACTATCAAATTTACACAATTAAATGTTTGCCATGTGATAGGCTGGTGAATTTAACTTACACTTGACACATTACTTTTGGAAATTCTTAAATTATTTTGAACTTCTTTATGGATTAAGGGTTATCTAAGCTATCTTGATTGTGCATTTTCTTCACTACTTGCAGGCAGTGCTAGAGACTGTGGCTAGAGTTAAGTCCAAGAAAAATGACACAAAAAAGGAGGAACAGTATGTAACTCTACAATATGATCTTGGCATTGAGTTCCATTCTCATTCATATGTTGATCCTCTTTTTATTTTATTTATATTCCATGCAAATGGATGTTCAGGTCCTTTCAACTTCACCATGTTTTCAACCTTGATAATGACCATGGAGCAGAAGAGACACCTACTTTGATTGATAGGAAGGTAGGTTTTATTTCTGACTTTCTATATCATTTCATGCCCTTTCCTATCGATGAAGAAGAAAATGCACTATCAGAAACCAATGGATATTGCCTATTAGCATTAAGTTTTGAAAGTGTTTAAAACTAATGGTGTTTGCTTTGTGTACTTAGGACAATGTTTTTATCATATCTAATTTCAAGTCAAAATATCCAGTGCTGCAATTAGACTTAAGGTACTGCTTCTGAACTGTTATATCATGTTGATGCACTTGTCAACTTTTTGGTGGCAAAAACACTTAATGTTTTGTATTGTGCATATTTTAAAGGCTGATATCAGATCTGGTAGTCGTCATTGTTGCTGCAACTTGTGGTGGAATTGCTTTTGCTTGTGCTGGACAACCAGTTTGTTAACTTTCACTCATAATATGTATATTTACATCTAATGTCTTGAAGTCAGATACCCGACCTTCAGTAGTTCTAACAGTCCGTAAATTCATAGGTTATAACTGGATACTTACTAGCAGGATCTGTTGTTGGGCCTGGAGGCTTTAATGTTGTTAGTGAGATGGTGCAAGTAAGTAGCTTCATGACATTCTACTTTGTCTTTGCAACATGTACCTACATACTTTTTCTATGTTCTATTGAAGTTCATCTTCATAAAGCTTAAATTTCCATGCTCTTTTCTATTATTTTCTTTTATTCACTCTAATTTGGTGTGTGTAGGTAGAGACTGTTGCTCAGTTTGGTGTAATTTTTCTTCTTTTTGCTTTGGGACTTGAGTTTTCCACTGCTAAGGTTAGTTTACAATGCCAAATTGCCACACAGATTCCTTTTTGTTTAGCCTCATGCCCATATGTATACCCACAACAATTGATTATTAGTCCATGTGGTGATAATATCAGTGCAATATTTTTACAGCTCCGAGTTGTTCGAGCAGTAGCTGTTCTTGGAGGCCTGCTTCAGATTCTCTTGTTCATGTGTCTTTGTGGAATAACTGTTTCAGTATATTCTAAACTTCTTTGTGTTGTTTTTCACTCTCAAAAAATTTTTGGTTCCACATTTTTCTCTCCCTTAGGACTCACTCCCATGAGTTTACATGATTCCACAGTCACAAGATTTATTTATTTTAGTTAAACTAATTTGTTACCATGCGTGGTTGTATCAATTTTTTACTCATAGGATATAGTTCCCCTCGATTTACTTCCGAATATTGCTCCAACATTGCTGCATCTCCTATATGATTCAGAACTTTAGCCTACAGCTTAGGCCTATTCAAACCTTATTATCAGTTATGACCATTGTCTTGACTCTTTATCCACTCCTAGCCTTGTCAACCTTGATTCATCTGGATTAATTCCTAGAAGGCCATGTTAAGAACTTAAGGCCAGTGGTGAAGAAAATGATACACTCCCTATGTCCCATAAAATTCTTTACACTTTCCTCGTTTGGATGTATCATAAAATTCTTTACACTTTATTTCTTATTCTGATAACGAATATTTGGCTACCAACAATTCTCTCTCTTCTTAACAAATTCTAACAACATTTTTTACTTTTCAACAACTTTCTTAAACTCTGTCAAGTCAAAGTGTCTCCAATTTTATGGGACGGAGGGAGTATTATTATTGTGTTAGTACTTAGTATGCCATCTTTCTCCAAAAATTGAGAGGCTCAATTCCAATCCAATTTGAAACTCTTATGATTATTTATTTCTCAATTAGCTATTTGTATTTTTATATCTGAATACATAGAAAACATAGGGGAAATCAAATTTGCTTGCGCATTTTATTTGAATAATTCCCAGTAACTGAAAAATTTATGATAATTAGACAGGATAAACATGCATTATAACTGGAAAATTTATAATCATGCTTTATAATGATTAGACAGGATAAACATGCATTATACGTGCATAGAAATAAAGGAGCTTCTGTTTGTTATATTTTCTGTCTTTGGAACTTTACAAATCTTCCACATCACTACAGATCAGAAGTTTATTATCAAATCATGCATTTATTTGGGAAATAAACTCTGATGTTGAATGTATTTTTTATATTTCTATAATGCTTATCTTTAATGAATTGAAGATTTGAAGTCAAATCCCTTCTCCCATTCCCATCTCCACTATGACCACTAGGCCATTATCACCACTTTCTGTAACAACAAAAGTTTTTTAAAAAGTTAATACATTTAAAACTTGGAAAGCATTAGAATAAACTTACATTGTTTCACACTTTCTCTTGTAAAACAATATTTGGGGAAAAGGCCTCTCATCTTAAAAAAGATTTAACACATGCCACCCATGTGCCAATAGAGTATGTTTTAACATTGCCTGTTGACTAGCAATTTCAGTTGACCCAACTTTTTGGTCATTGTAGTTGTGTGGTGGGAAATCTTCTGAGGGTATTTTTGTCGGTGCTTTTCTCTCGATGTCTTCAACTGCAGTGGTAAGCTCGTTTATCTTTTACTGTCTATATATTCTCGTAATTTAAAATACTTGTTAGGTCATGTTGTATGATGCACGTGTGGATTGTACAATATCAATTCTGAAATGACTAATGAGGCTTGACTATAACTACAACCTACCTTATCACCACATGACATTTTCCATGCAAGTGGGGAAACATGTTGTATGATGGGTTTTGGAATTTCATATAATCAATTCTTCTTAAGGCTGTTTAGAGCATTCACATAAAACTTTGTCATTATGTTTTTAATGAATTTATAGTGTGTAGTATTTAAGAGAATCCATTGAAACTAATTTCATGTTTCTGAACCCAACATGGTTATGATTTAGGTGGTGATGATGATGATATTAAAAACTCTTGTCTAAGCTTTGATAACAATCAATGACTTTTGGCTTTAGGTTCTAAAATTCTTGATGGAAAAGAATAGTACCAACACTATTCATGGCCAAGTAACCATTGGCACTCTTATTCTGCAGGTGCATTGATCTTCTGGTCCTTTTTTGTTGTTTTTCTTAATTTCCTTTCAAATGTAATGTGAGCTTATAATCCAATGCCTCATTTCTAATAATTCTTTTTGGAAATAACTTCACTGTTGAACTCACATACCCCCCCCCATCCAACTACTTTTAAGGACATGGGGTATTGGCATGGGAATTAAGAAAAGTAGAATCATATGGTTGATATTGATATTAAAAAGTAAGAAAAGGTAAGAATGACTGTAAGCCACAAATATTTGCAAATATGGTACTCCCTTCGTCCCAAATTAAATTGCCTGATTTGGTTTACGATGGCTGACTAAAATTTTCAATACAATTTATTTGAGAATTGAGGTGGAACTAAAAAATAAATTTACATATTTAAAAACTAAATCAAAAGATTTATGAAACAAGAGGTGACATGATTATATAATTTCATCAAATGAGTAACAAAAATAGGAAAAGAAAGTGAATAAAGTTTGACCATGTGAATATTAAGCATGCAACTTAATTTGGGAAGGAGGGCGTATGAGACAAATTAAAAGGTAAAAAGGGACAAAATAATGAGATGGAGGGTGAGTTATTTTTCTTCTGTGATCCCAATGACCACTTTTTGAACTTCACCTTTCAGGATTGTGCTGTGGGTCTTCTGTTCGCACTACTTCCAGTACTAGGAGGGACCTCTGGTGTACTGCAGGGACTAATGTCCATGACAAAGTCGTAAGTATTCCAACTGAAACAATTCTGTGAGGAATTACATGCTTTGTCTAACGTTTTTTCTTCTGGAATTGCTTAGAGAGTGAAATGGCATGTCTTGTCTTTTTAACTCACTTTTACTTATTTTGTGGTATTGAGATATTATTGACTAGATACATGTTTTTTTTTAAAATTAACATTTACTTTTTTTTATTTTGTGGTATTGAGAGATTCGGAGTTAGGTTCTTTCGACATATAAATAGTTGCACTGTAATGCTAGATCAGTGTGCAGCAATTGAATAATCCAGAGTAGTAGAGTTGAATAAATTTTTACGAAGATATTTTAATGTTAATGTAGAGGAGTCATCTCTCTCTCTCTCTCTCTCTCTATCTCTCTCTCCCTCCCTCCTAGGATTGCCTACAACGCTCTATTATTGTCAGATAAAGTGTCCAGAAAATGATAATCTCACTTATGGGAGGGTTTATAATTAGGATTGTTGCAGAATCTCTATGTGCCATCGTGCATCTAGCATCAAACACGTAGACCTAGAGCTTGTGATGCTGAGTCAGCACCTAGGTGCACTGCCCTTAATATACCTCAATAAAAAATGCATACGGAGAGAACGTGGAGCGCTTAGAAAGCACTTACACATTGCAGCCAAGGGAATCTAGTCAGTCCAACGGCTAAGGGAAACCAGTTTGTTAAGGTTTCATTTTGACCTAGCCCCTTGTAACTTCTAGGTGGCAATGTAGGGCGACTTAATAACATTAATAAACACTCCCTCTGTCTCAATATATTTCTTCACTTTCTTTTTAGCATATGGACCAAGGGTAAGGATATAAAGTGTTTACAACCTTGCCCTTGCTTTTTAATGGGAAAAGTTAAAGTGGAATTTAATTGGAGGTAAAAGAGTTGATAAAGCACCTAAAATTGCTATAAAGGGAAAGTGGACACGTACAATGAGATGACTCAAAAAGGAATACTAGAAAAATACATTGGGAGTGACGGAGGGAGTACTTAGCAATGAAATATACCTGATTTTTTATCTGCCTAGAAAAAAAAATGAAGTGTGAAATATGGTCTATATAGGAACTTTATAGTTTTATATTTCAATATTTTGTATATTAGGTAAATGCAATTTATTCTCTATTTTTCTGTGCTGTATATCTTTTTTCATCTACGGTCCTCTACTGAAGTTTTATTCTCAACAAAGTTAACATGCTAAGGGAAGACTTTTTGGCTTTTTGCAATATCTTTCTGTTGTATTTTCTTTTCATCATGCAAAATCTATGTCGTACTAATTACTCATCATCAGGCTGTTGACGTTGGTCTCATTTTTGGCCATTCTAACAATATTGTCTCGGACATGTGTCCCATGGTTCCTGAAACTGATGATAAGCCTATCATCGCAGGTGAATTTTACTAATGAAAGTATGCAAATATAGATCCTATTATTCAAATAGAGTTTCTTATACGGAGTACTATATTTGAGTGGATGTTGTTGCTAGTCATTCATTCCTTTTTATTTTATACCACTCATGCTCAGATTTCCTAAATTTCTTCTTCATTGTTCTCCGCAGACCAATGAACTTTATCAACTGGCTGCTGTTGCATTTTGCCTTCTAGTTGCTTGGGTTTGTTTTTCTTATCACTGCTTTAGATCATTTTGGATTTATTTCTTACATTCTTTGCATGTAAGTGGTTAACTTAAAACTCCTTTTGGCGCTTTAGCACAAAATACCTTGCTGACACTCTAATTTTGATCAGTCTTTTATTGCCCCGCAGCTTCTAACAGACTAACACTCACTTGTTCATTGTATTCAAAGTTTGTCTCATAGTCACTGTTGCATTTGCAAGCAGTGGAAGTGTTTTTGTACCACCCTGAAAATAATGTGTGAAAAGCATGTTTAGTTAACCAATCAAAGTACAGTTAGTGCACAAGGTTTTACAAATTGGGATGGTAGTTCAATTACTTCAATATGAAATGTTGTCTTGTCTGAAACTGTTTTGTGATATCTAATAGTTTGTATAACAATTGCAGTGTAGTGACAAGCTGGGTCTCAGTTTGGAATTGGGTTCATTTGCTGCTGGGGTGATGATATCAACTACTGACCTTGCTCAACATACCCTTGAACAAGTCAGAAATTTTTCTTTTCACTTTTGTTTCATGTGCCTTTTGTCTTATCTCGCTGTTCTTATCCTTAGTTTGCTCTTTGATCTTTGTCGTGATAAGTGCTCTCTGTGTTGCTTGAGATGGGATCTCTTGGAAACAGCCTCTCTACTTTTAGTAGGGGTAAGGTCTGCGTACACACACCCTCCCCTGACCTTGCTGTTGTGGGATTCTACTGGGTTGTTGTTGTTGTTGTTGTTGTTGTTGTTCTGTTTCTTGTGACATTAAAGATGTGAAAGTCTCTAGTTTGTACATTTGTCCACTTCCTTTCATAATGTAGTACTCTCTCCGTTTTTTTAAAACACTTCCTCTTTCATTTTTTTCTCCAAAGCACTTCCACTTTCTATTAAAAAACCACTTTTACCCCTACTTATTCTTACCCTACCTATCATATCATACTTTTTCACTAATACTCTATCCATCACATCTTTTACACATCACATCATGGGTAAAATTGGAAAGTCAACCACAAATATACACATTATTTCTCCCAAAAGTCAGTATAGGAACCGTTTTATGAGAGGGAGTAGATATTGGAAAGCATTATAATAAAACACACATGGTCTTATCATCTTATGGCGTCCATCTCAAAAAGAGCCCTACTTTAAAATCTTCATTGTCCTAGTCCTAGAAATAGTGCGGCTTCTAAACAAACTACTCGTAACTTTTATGTCACTTTCCAAAAAAGAGTTTCAAACAAGCTAAGTATTACGGTGTACAAATTCGTGCAAATCAAAGAAATCAATTTAAATTTCTAAGTAAGATTTGTAACTTATACGAGTCTTACCTTACCAAAATTTAAAAATTGCAACTTGTGCAAACAAGTCCTTTTTTCGGATGAAGGGAGTGTTTGATTGGTTCTGTTTGTATTGAGAGCAAAAACAATGAATAAAATTTGTAAGAGTCTTTCCTGGGTCCTATCTGGGTTCATATTAGCAAAAGCATGGATGGTTCGTTTTAGAATCTTCATCATGGGGTCTTACGTAATTGATATTTGAAATTCTTTTAATGAGACAGTAGACACTAATAACCGAGCATACCCACTATGTCCCACCTGGAAGAAGGGATCCAAGAGGGTTAAATGTACTCAGTCCTTATCTCTTGTCCTCCATTACTACCCTGTTGGGATTTGTAAACACTTACCGGAAACAGGCTTGTTATCTTCAAAAGCCATATTAGTTCCTACTTCCAGACCAGGGTTGCATTGTGACATATGTATAAACTAAATATCACTCTCGGCTTTGTTTACTCAGTATCTTTTAAATCTTGTATGAATGCTTTAGGGTTCAGAAGTAGATTATATATCTTTTTCATTTGATTTTTATTGGAGTGGACATCAGTTTGGCAGATGGTATTTATGCAGGTTGAACCCATACGAAACTTCTTTGCTGCTTTGTTTCTTGCTAGCATCGGGATGCTTATACATGTTCATTTTCTCTGGAACCATGTTGATATCTTACTAGCATCAGTTATACTAGTGATCATTGTTAAAACTTCCGTAATCTTTACCGTCGTCAAGGGATTTGCATACAACAACAAAACTTCACTTCTGGTATGATGTTGCTTAATTCAGATTTTAATTCGACATGTATTTTTGTGTGCATTTCTTTTATTACAATTTAAAGGAAATGATGGACCATGCATTCTGTAGGTTGGGATGTCTTTAGCACAAATTGGGGAATTTGCTTTTGTGTTGCTCAGTCGGGCGTCAAATCTTCATCTTGTTGAGGTACCTGTTCTGTGGGTTTATTAATTCTGCATCATGGTAGAGTAGATGACAATGCATCGACCATTACTCTTTTTTGGGTCTTGTAAATGTTGGGGAACCAGAAAAAAGCAAAGGGAAGCTATTTCCTTTTGTTTTCACGTATTTATATTTTAAGTCTTTATGTAATAGGAATAAATAAATGGAGTTCAAATTAATAAAAATAAAAGGAGTTCAAATGCTTTGAAATTATGTATTGATTTTGCTCCTATCTTTTATTTTCAGTAAATATTCCTTCCATTTTCCACCCTATTTTCTTTTGTAACTTTGTTAGCATTTCGGGTTCCAATGGACTTTTGGGTTGAGGTGCACTGATTTTAGTATCTTGGTTGTGATATATCTGGTCCATGCCCATACTTTGTACCTACAAGTCAAAATTTTGTAACATTTGTAACCATTTTCATGTTTAGGGAAAACTGTATCTTTTGCTTCTTGGAACAACAGCTCTTAGTCTGGTACGAAACATTCTGTAATCTTTGCAATGCTTCTTTAATTTGATTCCTTACAGTTATGTTTGGAAAGATGGTTTTGAAGAGGCTATTTTTACTTTTAAGATAATCATTATATATATGGTCTATGGTAATTTGGTAATGAAATGATTTGAGCAATGAGTTTATACTATTTTATTAGATTTTGCTAAGTTAATCACAATGTTCAAATCTTCAGGTAACGACTCCATTGCTTTTCAAGCTTATACCTGGTGTGGTTCACCTCGGGGTTCTACTCAGGTGGTTTACACCCGACAGCCAAATTGAGGTAAACAATGCTACTTTCGCCCCCCGTCCGGATTTAGTTGTCCACTTTTCAAAATGCCTAATATTTAAGAAGTGAAAGTGAAGCATTTAAGTAAATAGATTTATTATTCATTGATGTGAAAGATGCAAATATGTTAGCTAGAAAGTATTTTAGATAATCCTTCATAAGGTCCTTGTTCGGAAATAATGTTTTTGGTTAGCGTTTTAGATACTTTTATAATTGTGCATTTTAACTTTGAGAACATCAAAGCTAAACGTCTCCCATTAGATAGCATTTTTAAATGGCTAAAGCTAAACGCCAAACTGGTCAAATGGGCACAATATAATTACTAAAAATGAAAAATGGACCACTAATACCGAACACAAAAATAGAAAAGTGAATAACTAAATCGAGACGGAGGGAGTACTATATAGCATACACAATACATTTGTTCTACGTGATAATAGAATGCATATTTCTTCCTCTTAATGTCTTACTGAAATACCCTTTCCGAATTTTAGTTGGGGTTGAAAGGGGATAGCCTCCGTGCCGATAGTGTTAAACAAAGAATTGCCTTGATATCAAAGGATCTCTTGATTCACCAAGGATAAAGTAGCCAAAACAACTTATTGATGCCATGGATACATACCCAGTCAAGCTCAGTTGAGAGAGGTCTTCTTGCATGACTCCATCTCAGCGGCTTTCTCCATTACAAAGAATTTCCATAAATGGGTAAATGGCAATGGAGGTTTTCTAACTGACAAAACCACTAACAAAAAGCTCAAGCTTTTGCCTTTAACCAATGTAACTTTTATTTTCGTCTAGTTATTCTTTTTTTCCTTCTTTAAAGTGTAAAATAGTATTTGTTTATTTATTTATTGGAGGGATGTGATGTAATGGGCTAGTGAAATTTCTTCCATCACATTTCGTATGTATGTATGTTTTTTTGGTGTAGATTCCAGTATGGAACAAACATTTCGTGCTCGTCCCTCTTCCCAATTGTATAAAAATTCCCAATTCTCATGTCATTGCTCTCGTTTTAGCTCAACCCACTCCCAAAGTGTTACTCTAAAAAGACATGGCTTATATTTTGTGATTGTGGATTTTGGAATTGAACACTTGCAGCCTGTATTTATAAGGAGGCTCCAACATTTCTTCTTTCATGTATTGAAATTGATGTGATGTCGAAAAAACAAAATTATTCAAAAATTCATTGCTGAATGTGGAAAATTTTAAAAAAAAAATGAAGTTCTACATCGACATTCTCATATACTTAGAGGTGGTGAATTAGGGATGGTGAGAGTATGAGAGAAAGAGTTATATATAAGACATGGTGAAATAGATTTGAGGGGAATGACCGAAAAGAAGGATTGAGGAAGAAATTAGGGCGCAGGAGATTTGTAGTTATGAATCAGGAAGGACTACAGAGTATTACGAGTTGCAAACTTGCAATTGGTCCTTTCGGTACCTATATCATTTTGGGTCTGAACCATAGCAGATCGAAATCCAAAATTTAAAAAATAGTGGACCAAAGACTGATCCTAAATCTCTTTGGTTTCAACTTTGCGATTTGATTCGGTTTGGTCTGGTTCTTTGGTTTGGATCTGAACTTGAACATATCTTAACTTTAACATCTTAACTCACGAGGCCCAAATAAATATATTAGCGAACTATTGAGTATATTGCTATTAATTGGTCTCCATAATTAAAACCATTAAACTCAAAGTCTTGACATTTCAAATAATTCAATTGTTTATCGAAGTTAATACTAAGAGTGCAGAAGCTTAATAAAATATATCAAGGCAAATAACACGGGTGCCTCCTGTGATTAACAGGAAGAGCACCTAAATCCTCTCTATTTGTAAATGTTACTCCCTCCATCCCAATTTAAATCGTCCGTTTTGACTTTTGGGCATATTTAAGGAAAATAAAAAATAGAGTTGATTTTTCAAAATTGACATTACTTTTTAAAAGGGGTAATGATGAATGAGAAGATAATGTGAAAAAGAATGACTTATTTTAAGGGTAGTTTAGGTATTTTATTTTTAATAGTTTATGAAAACAACTAACATGCAATTTATTTTGGGACGGAGAAAAAAGGCAAACATGCAATTTAAAATGGGACGGAGGGAGTAGTTTTTGTAAAGCCCTGCGGTTCCGTGGTTTCTAAATAGTGCACATATATCCTTTAAACTATTTTAAACTTAAAATTACATTTACACCCTTCTCCCTCTCTATTATGATGTTTCACTATTTTATTTTTATTTGTAATGTTCTTTATTATACAAATAATTAAAATAAAATATACGCTTTTCATCTCAAATTAAGATTTTTCATTTATTTATTTTCTAAAAGGAATATTATAAAAAAAGAAATAAAAACCTTGCATGAAGAAAAAGATAAAAACGATACACAAGGTAATCAAAAAGAAAGAAAAAAATAAAGAAAATAGAAAGATGAAATAAAATACAGAGTAATAGAAAAAGATACTCTTCCGTTCCAAAAAAAGATTACGTTTCAATTTTGAGCATCTCAAAACTCACTTCTACCCACATCTTAAAGGTCTAAAATTACCATATTTACCCTTTACTGTGGGTAGAAGTCGTTTTGAAATTTTTTTGGATGTCTGAGACAATATGGAAGTGTTTTAAGGGATACGCAAAAAATGAAACGTAAATTTTTTTGGGATGGAGGAAGTAGTTCTTTACTTTTTCTTTCTTTTTTATTATCTTATGTATCCTTTTTTCTTTTACTTTGTACATACTCCGTATGATTTTATTTCATTTTTTTAATTTTTTTGTAACAGTCTCTAAAAAATTCTTTTTTTAAAAAATATAAATAAAGGAAAAACTTTTGATTTGAGATGAAGATTGTGTATGTTATTGTAATTATTTGTATAAATAATACTTTCATCATTTCAAAAAGGAAAAAAGACCAAAGTAGGACTAAAACATTAAAAAATACGAGTAATACTTTCATAAAGACCAAAGTAGGACTAAAACATTGAAAATATATAAAATTAGGACTTTCGTGTTTTTATTTCTGAAATAGGATTACATTACGAAACATGGTAATGTACATTAGCAAAAAAGTATAGTAATGTGCACATGTACAGTGCCAAAGTGCAAATTTCTTTTTTTGGAAAAAATATCAAAATTATATTTTGGTATCCGATTTAGGGTGATTTCTATTTCGAAAATAATCAATTTTTCTCTTTAAGAAAAAATAGTAAAGAAAACAGAGGGGGTGTTGGTTCACATTTCTAAAATCATAGGGGGCAATGAATTTTTTATTTAATATTTGAATGATATTTTAGTCAAGGAAGACACTTGCATGAGAATTTTAGAGCCACAATAGACAACGATATAAATTTTGAAATTCGACAACGATATAAATTTTGAAATTATTAGAGATAATGGTGTACATTTAACAAATTATAGGGAGTAATTTTCTAAATAGGGAAGTATCAAAACCTTCCATTAAAAAAATTCTTATGTTAAACGCTGATTACGCACGCGAAACGGGTCTCAATTAATAGAGTGATCGGATGACAAATTAGAACAAGGAATCACGGAAAACGTACAGGGATTAGTTCATAATTAAATGTAGTAATTTATGAAATAGTTTAAAAATAAATTGAATATCCCCTTATATAATAATGTTAATATCAATAACATTATTGTTTCTGCGGAGAAACGAACACAGCACAACACTCGATGGCAGAAATGACGACGAGCCCACCCGTTCAGTCCACCCCCAAGCAAACCAGGTTAATTATATTACTGCAATTTAATTGAGTCTCTTTTTTTGCAGTTAATATTATAATTCAATATACTTTTTTTTTATAATTTGTACTCAAAACCTGTTATTGTTCGACTAACAAATCAAAGCATAAAGAGTTTTCAGGGGAGAGTATAAGAGCATGAACAATGGCAAGTTAAAACTAAAATGCCACACGCTGACATGGATTTTTTTTAACCAATCAGAAACAATCCAGTCATACAATGACAAGTGAGTGGAGTGGAACGTTGTGCAGTGGCAAGTCATTGTGTCTGTTCTTTTATAATTTACTTTCTTCATTAAAATTTGTTTTAGTCATATTTTTTATTAGAAAAACAATTTTTACTACCTTTTTAAATTCAATATAAACTATTTGATATCTAAATTCATACTCGTAGTTATTGGATTTAATAATTTTAAAATCATAATTAAAGAAAATAAAAATAAATAATCAAAGAAAAAAATCCAGATTTGCTCTCCAAGAACAAGTTTTTACTATCTTCTTAAATTCAATATGAACTACTTGATATCTAAATTCATACTCGTAATTATTGAATTTAATCTAAAATCATAATTAAAGAATATATATATAAACAATCAAAGAAAAAGATCCAGATTTGCTCTCCAAGAAATTTTTTTACTATCTTTTTAAATTCAATATGAACTATTTGATATCTAAATTCATACTCATTATTGATTATAATAGTTCTAAAATTCTAATTAAAGAAAATAAAAATAAATAATCAAAGAAAAAAATTCCAGATCTGCTCTCCAGGGAAAAAATCCAGATCTACTCACCAATCCTTCTCTTCCTTAGTCGGCGCCACCTATCTTTCTCTTCCAGATCTGCTCTCCAAGGTAATCTATAAAAAAAATTATTCTTCCTTCTCAAAAAAATGAGAAATAATCAGAAAGAGTGCCTCGCGGATGGAACGGGGAGTGGGGTGGAACGCCTAGGAAACGCATCGCGCCACGCTACCACATGCTGATGTGGCAAGGCGTGACAGTATTTTGGAACGCCGCTGTTGGTGCTCTAAGCTCTACACTAGAATATGATGTTGCTTGCAAAATGCTCTCAAAATGTAGGTAGATTTTTTTAAAATAATGCATCATCTAGTTTTTGAATTTGATTGAAATTATTAAAATTAAGCGATCCTTTTCCGAAATTGTTTTGAGAATATTATTATTATTATAAATACTTTTGTTCTGTAAACGTATGTGACAATAATTTTATCAATATTAATTTCAAATTTGGAATATCCACTGTAAAAAATCATTGAATTCTAAGAAAAAATAATTGAATTTGCCGGTGTGGAATGAGAACTTACCCAAATAAATACTCTCTCCATCTCATATCTAGCGACAATATTTGTCCAGTTTGATTTTTTGTAGTTAATTAAGATTAGACTCTGAGTTTTAGTTATATTAAAATTACATATATATTATATAGATAAAACAATATATTGAATTTTTTTACTTGATAAATCTAATAAAATTAATCTTGCATATCAATACTGGACCTTATAAATCGCTCGGTCAAGTCAGGTTTGGAATCGGGTTCGAGTTGAGAACTGTATATTCATGACCAATGTCATCGAGTTTGGTTCGTCCCAAAAGTTATGAGATTTAATATTAGAATATTAAAATTCATATTTGCACTAAAAAATAATAAAATATTCTGGATCAAAGTACATATATTAAATCTCTTAGATTATTTCATTTTGAACATTCACTTAGTTTTTAGATATACTTAACAATAATATGAAAAATATAAAAAATACATATGTACCATATTCGGAAAAATATAAAATATTTATGTGAGATCAATAAAAACTTATTTAAAAATATAAGTGTATACACTAAAAATGAGTGATCAGAAAAAATTAAAACATAACTTTATGTTTAATAAACTATTTTCATGCTATAATACATGGTTTTGAAAAACTTTTACGTTAGCGAGTCGCTCATGTCAGGTTCGGTTGGATTTGACGCAATTTTAGGGGGTTATTTCAGGCTCGGTCATCTTTGGGTTCCGGTAACAAAACCTTTATTCAAATTCTAGTATTTTTCGGTCAGACACGGGTTAAATAAAAGTAGGTCGGGACAATTTTTGCCAAATCCTATTGATATCTAATTTAAATTTTATTTAATTATGATCAATATTTTATCAATTTTGACGGTACGTAATAGTTAAAAGTGAATAAATACTTAAAATTTTCATTTATTACTTACTTTGGTCCTAAATATCTTTTTTGTTTTGACTTTTTTTGTCAAAGAATGACACCCTTTAACTATAAATTGTAAGAAAAATATATTTTATTAATGCTATTGAAAAAAGTATATTTAGTTACGAAGTATAATACTTCGTATAATTTCAATATATATCATTGGAGTAAGTTTTGATACATCAAAATTTATTTATGTTACGTTTAATCTACTATAATAAAAGAATATCATTATGTTTGACTAAAAAATCAAACAAATTTACGACCGATAATTAATTGCTCCATACTCCGATAATTAATGTTGTGCATATATATATGTGTGCAGGATTGTTATGATAGTGGGGGTATCCATAGGGTGCCCAGAATTTGATGTAACCCAAATGGTGGGAAACGAGTATGGGAAGAGATGCGTATGCGTTGAAGTGATTCACATCAAGAGTGCGGATTCCCTGCGGCCACCAAATTGGGGCAAGTGGATATACTTGTCTTGTTCGCCCACCACTTCGGCACCCACCAAGTCACCCTCATCATGGACGCCGCCGTCGCCTACGGTGGCGTCAGGAATATCATTGTCGCCTCCTCCGCCGAACCCACCTCCACCCCTAAAATCACTGCCACTCATTATGAAATCACCGAGGTACATGCTATATCCTATCTCCGTCCTAAAAAGATTTACTAAAGTTCGTTGAAATTAAGGGAGAGATAATTTTGTGTTGACTTTCCAAAAATACCTTTAATGTGATGGGTAAAAGTAAGATGTAATGTGTAGATTATTAGGAACAAGATATGATGTGATAGGTAGGATTTGAAAAAGTAAGGGGTAAAAGTGATTTTTTAATAGAAATAGGTAGGAGATTGTGGGACGTAATTTTTTTTGAAAGGTGTAAATCTTTTTGGAACGGAGGGAGTACTATACTCACTCTCTCCCCCAAAAATGAAAATTTTACAAATGTTTAAATATTAGTTTAATAATATTGCTCCTTGAATTATAGATTACATATAGAATCGACTTCTAACAAAACTAGAAATAGAGATTGAAAACTAATTAATCTAACTAAAATAAACATCTACTATAAATAGCAATATAAATTTGACTAACAATCAAACACTATAATAACCAATACTATTATTATTGTCTAACTAGAGAAAACTAGCTTGGATACTAGTTAGAAACTGAAAACCTTGAGAAGAGGGAGACCGGAGATGGTACTAGGTAGGTAAATTAATGATATGATACTCCCACTATATACTCCATCTGTCCTTAAAAATTAAAATATGGGACATTTTGATTTTCAAGAGATTTTAGAAGAATGTATTTTAGTTCTGAGTTTTCAAAAATGTATGGGTAAAAGTAAAATTTGATAAGTAGATTAATAGTGAATAAATGTGATTTGATAGATAGGTTAAGATGTAATAAGGGTGAAATTGACTTTTTGATATAAATGTGAAATGTTTTTTGTGAAGAATAAAAAAAGACGGAAGGAGGATCAAAAAATAGAATGAATGAATGTACGTATATATATGTATATTCAATTAGTAAAAGTAAAATTTGATAGGTAGATTCATAGTGAATAAATGTGATATGATAATTGGGTTAAGATTTAATAAAAATAAAATTAACTTTTTAATATAAATCTGAAAAGTTTTTTTTTGCGACCGAAAGAAGAAATATTTTCTTTAAAAAAATTTAGAAAGAATGAATGTATATCTAACATATGTGTATATATGTATGTAGAAGGAATTATTGGAGTTGTGGACGAAGTATAACGGAAGTGGCCCGGTCCTCGGTCATCGCCGCACCAAATGCTTATTAGTCCGGCTGCCTCTGTATCTTCTTGATACCCGATTGATGTGTAAGTACCATACTAGCTCCTTTGTACATACATTTTATCGGCGGGTCAGGTCAGGGTTTCGATTTGGATCACTTTGTTGTAATCAATGAATGTATATCTAACATATGTTTCATTTTTCGTGATTTGAAGAGCAGAGGGAGTATAGATATATATATATATATATATCCATATTCTTTTTAAATGCTGATGCAGTGACTATGATAAAAGAGGGAACACTTGAAGCATTTGCGAAGGGCGGCTCTTGGAATAATGTTACCGGCGGGGGGACTTGTTTGTGGGAAAGAGGGGTCGTAAGTCCTTATTTGTCGAATATAATGCTGGCGCCATGGCCAGAACAGGTTTACACCATAGCCATGATAGGGGTGGATTGTTACTACGCCCAATACCTGGCCAAGTCATTTGCCAAGATGAGAGACCAGCCGGTGAATCTGGTGGGGTTCGGGGAGCTGAAAGGGGCTTCCGACGAGGAGGAGAGAGCCCTTTATTCTGAGGGCGTCTTTCCTCTCGCCCAAGCTCAGACTTTGTTCCCGTGTGATTACTATTATTATAATTCCTCCTCCTCCTCTCGCGGCCTGCCGCCGCGGTCGCCTATGGAGAAGCCAAACGCGGCCATAATCTTCGCCGGCCATCTCGGTGCGTCGGCAAGATCATCCTCGTCTCTCCCGTTGCTTCTGTTCCCCGCGTCGACCTTAAGATCCGATTGATCCGGGAGCCACTCCTCGCCATCGAGGTAACTCATTTCGAGTATTTAACTACGGAGTATTTCCCATGCATGCATTATAAATACAAAAATTAATAATCCATATATTTGAAACCAAATAAAATGTTTTTATTATTAGGAAATACTCCATCCGTCCCGTGAAACATGGGAGTTTTGCTTTTTAGGAGGGATTTAAGGGGAGTGTATTTTGGTATTGAATTTCCCAAAATGTCCTTTGATGTAATGGGTAAAAGTATGATTTGATGGATAGATTATTAGTAAAAAGGTATGATGTGATAGTTAGGGTATGAAAAAGTAAGGGGTAAAAGTGACTTTTTTTAATTGGATCCTGGAATCAGAAGATATGTGTATACTTTCCTTCTGTGGGTTTTAATTACCTTCTACTGCTTGCATCTGGCTCTTTCATTTCACCTTGTAAAGCTAGCTTGTGCTATATAGTGTAAATATTCATGCTTTATCATTAATATTTCTATGTGTGTATATATAAATATAATGTAAATATTTATACTAAATAGCACTAAAACTTAAATCATTTTTCGAAACAGTACTTATATTACTTTATTTCCTAAATAACACTTAAAATGTCCAGAAAGAAGAATTATATCTAGTAATGGCAATATATTTACTTTAATAATGACTAATGGATAATGACTAAAAGTGTTACATTGGGAAAAAAACACATATGATGTTAGTTGGAGAAAGTCATTATGCTTAAGTGTTATTTAAGTAATTCCCCTATAAGAAATATTTGCAAATAAAATATTTCAAAACTATATTTCAAACTTAATCCATTGGCATTACATTTATAAGAAAACTTAATGTATTTTTCTGTAATATCACATGAAAGTTAAAAAAAATTGATCATCAAAGTCAAACTGGGATATTAATCTCATGACGAAGGAAGTTTCCAAACTGGCTATTTTAGTGTTGAGTTTCCAATATTGTCATTGGATGTGATGGTTAAGGTAGAATTTGATATATATATATATATATATATACATATATATATATACATATATATATATATATGTATATATTAATAGTGAATATATGTGATGTGATAGGTAGGTTCATAGTTAGGAGTAAAAATGACTTTTTAATAAAAATGAGAAAAAGTTTTACGAATAGATGAAAAAAGAAATGAGAAAAGTTTTCAGAGACGCATAAAGTAAATAAGAAGAGGCAACACAAACTATTTTTTGTCCAACTTGCACACCACAAGTGTACACGAGTCCTTTTTAGTGGCATCACTGGCACACACATTAGCATAGAATGTGAGTGCAAATACTAACTAGATTAACATTTGTATCGGTGCGTACTAACTACTACCTCCGTCCCGTGAAACATGAGACATTTGCTTTTTAGGAGTGATTTAAGGGAGTGTATTTTGGTATTGAATTTCCAAAAATGTCCTTTGATGTGATGGGTAAAAGTATGATTTGATGGATATATTATTAGTAAAAAGGTATGATGTGATAGTTAGGGTATGAAAAAGTAAGGGGTAAAAGTGACTTTTTAATAGAAATGAGAAGTGTTTTGTGGGACAGATAAAAAAAGAAAGGAGAAAGGTTTCATGGGACGGAGGGAGTAGTAAATAAGAAGAGGCAACACAAACTATTTTTTGTCAATGTAAAGCACTGGTGTACAAATTAAGGTACACTTGATGAGTACAAATAGCATTATTCATATACTCTCTCCGTCCCTAAATAGACTTCCCTTTTTGACTTTTTGAGGATTTAAGGGAGGTATATTTTTGTGTTGTCTTTCCAAAAATACCCTTGATGTGATGTGTAAAAGTAATATGTGACATGTAGATTATTAGTAAAAAGGTATGATGTGATAGATAGGGTATGAAAAAGTAAGAGGTAAAAGCGGTTTTTTAAGGAAAAAGAGAAGTTTATTTGAGAACAAAGATAAAACGAAAGGGGAAGTTTATTTGGGGATGAAGGAAGTATAATAATTTAACTTACAACCATGCTAGATTGCTGGGTGTACTTCAAAGATTGTAATCCAAAAGATACTTTAAGGATTTACAATAACATTTTGATGATTTACATTGACAAAAACTGTTACTGTGATCGTAAAATTTTATGCTGAAATTTTTGCATCAATGTAATTTATTAGTCTCACATTTGCATTGATAGTAAATGCAAATCTTAGAGATTTTGGGATATAAGTATCGTAGATTTATTCTTTAACTTATTTCATTGTCCTATCTGTCCTATTTGTCAATATTGTGCATTTATTTATTTATTAACAGGAAAGGCTGATGAATATGTGTTCCAAGATGGATATCTACTCGGTTTCCATGGTTGTCAGATTGCCATATTATACTATGCTTCACGAACTCCCACCCAAGTGGAAGAGTATGTACTCCCTATAATAAAACACTCTTCCAAATTTATTACTTCATCTAATTCTATATTTTTGTTAGTTCAAAATTTAATTGTAGTAATTAAACTTTTATACTTTCTAAATGGTACTTGAATAATGTTTAGTAGCAGGAAAAGGAAGTAACATGCATAGATATAATTAATCATTTTTCAATGGCTATCTCATGTTGTTCACTAGACAACAATCTTTGTTCTGATTCTCAGTGGCCATGGAAAAAGACAAGATTAATTTATTCGATATCGTGTGCGATGCCATTCTTGTTGAGTAAGTATATATGATTGCGCACATTTTCGTTCGTAGTAAAAGAGGTTATTTACTACCCCTGAATGACTTGGCATCCATTGAAACATATGAATAGATGCATCAAATATGGGAAATGGGAGCCAGAGCCGTATGCGATCGGTTCGTCGGGACGAGAAATGGATGCTCCTTTTAGTCCTTTTCGTCATAATTTGGCCTCAAGGCTGCGGTGCACTTTGAATTGGAAGAACCTCTACAGACGTGTGTTTGAGAGTGAACCAGATATGGTGGATCTTATGGAGCGTCTTAGGCTCTTTTTCGTCGAGGAGAAGGGAAGGGAGATGAAAGAAATGATGAAAAAACGCAAAGGGAAAGAAAGAAAATGAGGTGTGTTTCTATTTTTTTTTTCTTTTTTTCATAGGAGGATTTGTTTTTTTCCTTTTCTCATGAAATTTGGAGTGTTCAAAGAATTTCCAGAGTTGTTTTGGCATATAACATTCAATAATACATGCGCTTAGTTATTATTCCGACATTCGCTTGTCATCCAACCAGAGACAATCTTGTTCTTGAGGTGTAGTTTTAGGTGTTTAGTACGGAGTACCAGCGAGACACAAATTAAAAAGAACTAGAACTTCAGTCATTCTAAATTGTATTTAAATTGTTTTATTCCCTAAATAACATTTAATTAAAATGAATAATGAATAATGAATAAAAGTAGTGGATAGGAAAAAAGACACATATGATGCTATTTAGGAATTATGCTTTTGTATTACTTAAGTAAATTCTCTTTAAAATAATCCTCTTAGTTATTATTTCGACATTCTGATAATTTTTATTTATATGTGTATTCTCATTAATTATTTGATAAAATAAAATAATTTTCTTAACAACTTGTTTCATAATTTTTTTTATGTACGGAGTAATTTTAAAATATGGAGTATATATATAGAGGGGATTTTTTCAAAATGTCCTAATAAAGTTTCTCTTATCATTCTACCTTAAGAGGTTTTGTATTTCAAAACCACCCTTTCTTTCATTCCAAAAGTGAAATTACTCTTATTTTTCTTTCGCTGGCTATTATCGATGGGTTAAGGACCAAAATAAGAGTAAAATATTGATTAAACTCTAAAATAGGAGTTGCAAGATAAAATAATCAAAATAAGAGTTGAAGGATAAGATCTCCAAAATATAAGTTAATGGCCAGCCCTTAGCGCACATCACTTTCACAACGTTTGTAATTTTTTGTTCAACATATTATGATAATGAACACAATTCAATAGTAAATTAGATCTGAGTGATTGGCGTCTACTAAATAGGCACACTATATTTTAAATACTTTGTACTACGTATATTTTAATTTTGGTTCAACTCAGATCTCATTTACTACCGGGGTGTCAAAACATTTTTATACAAATTGTGTTCAGGCCAAGAGTTGTTCATCCCAACAAATTAAAATCATGCAAGGTTAGTGTTGCCCGCAAATCAAATCAAAATATATCTATTTCGGTATACGTTATTTCATGTGGTATATGTATATGTGTAATATGTGTTATATATTTTAGTGTAATTGGAAAAACTACGACCAATGAAATCGTAATAATCATCAAAGAAGTTTGGTGGTGCGGAGTGCACGCTCCATTGAGTTTGTTACGATAAAAATCCTGTTACACCAGGGGGTTCCAAGGGGGCAACGCCCCCTTGGCGGAGGTTCGGGGGCAGCGCCCCCGAGCAGGGTACAAGGGGCGGCAGCCCCTGCAGGGTCCAAGGGGATTTTATGTTTGGAATTTTCTTTAAAAGAAAACTCCTTAGGATAGCGTTGTTTTCAAAGGGGGAGTTTTTCGCCGAAGAGTTGCGAGCCTTGGTAAATGGCCGCGAATGATGTTTTCTATTTCTCGCCCAAAGTCTATAAATTCCCGCGAGGCATGGTCGAATTTCGTTCGGATTTTTCATAGCAATTCTCATATTTCGTTCTTGATACTTTCGAGTTTTATCCGATTGAATTTTGGAGTGAACAACCAAAATATTCAATCTGAAAGTATTTATACAACTCTCGATTCATCCAAGTTATCATTAATTTCCCCAACAATATGTATAGAGTAATTATATATACTACGGAGTATGTATTAGATTGATATGATTTCCATATTATTGTTCATTGCCCAAATGTCTAATTTTTATTTATGAGTGAATAATGATTATGTATACCGCAGTACTAACACACAATATGTTCCTAGAATACGGAGTATTTCTTAATTAAAGAATCAAAGGGGTTCCTTTTTTTTAATGTTCAAATTAGACAAAAAGTGAAAGAAAAAACAGCATGGTGGGATGGTTGTGAGGAGAGGGAGCAGAGAGAGATGAGACTAATTAGAGTCATTGGATCCCCATGATAATATTTATTTTCGAAATTTTGCACCACCGACGACATCACCGCTCTATACCATTATCAACAATACTATCATCACAATATGCACTATCGTCGCCATAGTGCCGCATTAACAATTAAACAATGTCAAACAAAGACATAATAATGTCAAACATTCATAATGTTAAATATGGCACCATGTAGCGTCACATATGACAATATGTAATACCATAGATGCTCGTATATAATGCCACACATATGCTCATATATAATGTCATAATGTTAAACAATGACATAATACCAAACCAAATTCTACTACTTTGGTGTGCCAATCAAAGATTTGGTAATAGCTATTCACTCCATAGTTAGGTTGCAGTGATCTTTGACGGTGTTAGAGTTATAACAGACGCCATTTTGGTTGATGGCCCTGCAATCTACTCCGTTCTCACAAGCATAATCTATGTTCTTCTGTAGCTGGGGATCACTCACCCCATCATTGCACACATTAATTAGCTTCTGCACAAAAAGGGGCAAACTGCACATCGTGTTGATTATATCACATATGGCGATGGTGATCTAATGACGAAAAGAAAATCAATGGCCCGTGAATACTTCTATTATTTAAGTAATAAAAATAGTTAACTATTTCTACTCAGATGAGTTTAAGTTTGAACTCCTACTTTGAGGATATAACACATGTTTTACTCCTATTTAGAGGGTTTTCTTATCATCGATAAATTATCGTTATCAGAAATTAGCGGCAGTAAACGCATTTCTACCCTAACAAAGATATTCGTTATTTTCGTTGAGGCAATAGTACGATCTCTTTTTTCTTTCTTTTTTTAGGCGGAATTTATAAAGTAGAAAAAAATATTGAAAATATAACAAGACATATATTTTATATTTTTTTCAAAAAAAGAGTTAGGATATTTTTACAAAGTCGATCATGATCATGTAGTGCACTTACATGGTTAGTAAAATATTAATGAACAGTGGCACTTACCACATCGCGAACTCTTATTTAAAAAATAAAAATTGAACTCTTATTTTGATACTTTTACTCTTATTTAGTACAATTTCTTCTCACCAAAACTGTTTTTTGTCAATGGCATTTTGGCACAATTGAATTAATACTTCTTCCGTTCTTTAAAACATTTCAACTTTTACTTCCGATCCGTTTCATAAAACATTTCGATTTTGTCTAAATGGACACGATTGCTCTTACTTTTCTTAAATCTAACCGAGCGTACCTCAACTACCTTCTATGCCCTACTCGTTTCTTGGTCAAAGTTCTATATCTTCCTTTCCAAAAAGTCAAAACTTGAAAAGATTTCTAGGATGGAGTGAGTATTAATTAATTAATATATTTCTGATCGGTAGCGACAGAACATAACAACAGTTTATTTCCATTACTAAGTCAAAACATAACATTTTATTAATCTGGAGTATAGTGACAGTTTTGTTAGATGTGCACGTACTATGTAAAAAACTTCTTTAAGCCCAACCATAAGTTAGAATTTTTGGTTGAATTATTTTCTTGACATGATATCAAAGCCTTAATGATCAAGATGACACGAATTTAAAGGTCACGAGTTCAGGTCGAGGCAGGATGCATGATTTAATATGCCGAAGTGTTAGGGGGATATTTATTCAAACTGGACCATGTAAGTACATCGGGTCATCCCATGAGAAGACAATGAGACATGAACAAAGTATGGCTTCATGTTAGCTATATATAGTACAACTCCCTCCCTATTATATATAGGTGTCATGTATGGAAGGTCGTAATTAGGTAAAGAGGACAATTGTGTGCATGTGTGGGGAGCTGAGGACAAGTAGTCTCCCATTAGGTAGGTACTCTGGAAAATAAATTGGGTTTAATTGGTTTCTTCTTCACTTTCATATATAGATCACATCCAATTCCCTTGAACATTTAGTTGTTAGATTCAGGTTGAAAAAGCATGTTTTTTCCATACCCCTTTTTCCCAATCTCCGTCCGTCCTTTCTCATAATCATCATACCACATGCATTAATTGCCACACCCACGTCTCATGCACGGTGCACCTATATGCATAGCTGCCTCAATCCGGCTAAAATGCAGCTCCCCTTTGTATGTTAGCTAGCTAGCTTGAATTGGGATTTTAGGGAACGAAGAGTACAATTAAATAAATACGGAGTACTTCATCTTCCATCGTCCTTTGAATAAATGCAACTCATGAGGAGCGTAACTTATGAATATGTATTGCTATAAAGAAACAAATGTCATGGTCCTCGGTTATATATCCACTCAGTAGTTACTTTAAAGAAGATAAATCGAAGTTTAATACTATTGATATAAATTTTTAGCATTTGATTTTTCATGGTTTTCAGTGCAACAGTTTGACCATCAATATCATTATTAGAATAATATATTCGTAGTTATTAGGAAGATTCATGAAACTTTAGGTGAATAATTAAATTTACCAAAAAAAATTCCTACACAAAATTGAAACAAAGTAAAAAAAATAGGGCTATATATTGACACTATTCCAATTGCAGTATCCTACAAGATCTTGAAGAGTGATTTTTGTACTACTCAAGCAAATGGAAAAGCTCAAATATTTTTATTACTATTGTTCAAAAAAACGACAAGGTCATAATGACACCTATTTGGTGTGACATATTATGACTTGTAGAATTTAGGTCATTATGAAGCTCTATTCAAAATATTGATGATTATTAGTCTGATTAATCTTCCTACCCCGATCCAACTCGAACCTACGTCTACTCCCTTCAGTTACATCCTAAAATTTACTCGACTATTGGGCTAATTTTTTTTAAAAAATCGTCAACTAATTAAATTAGGAGAGCTCAATTGAAGCTAAGAAGATGGGTGGATTGAAGTCTACAATAGTGAAAATTAATGAAAGGTCACGGAGTAATTAAGAACTATGAATTTTTTAACAAAATACTCTAACGACTTCATTGAGATGAGTGACATAATATGACACCAAAAACAAATGTCATTATAACATAGGCCCAAACAAATGGTCCGACAATTGTACAATGCATGCTTAAGTTGTAGTTCTAGATGCAAAATTGCAAATGGGATAAATTTAGAGAAAAAAAAACAAAGTAGGACTAAAAGAAAATATATCAAAATATGAATTCCATATTTTTATTTCCAAAATAGGACTTAAAATGCATTTATATTACCAAACATAGTCATTAACATTACCAAAAAATATAGTAATGTGTAGTGTATACATGTAAGTGCCACATTACAACCTCTTTACCACAGTGCGAAATCCTATTTCGTGGAAAAAATATGAAAGTTCTACTTTGGTACTTTTTCTATATTTTAGTCCTATTTATGGTGATTTCTAATAAATCTATTCTTATCCTCAAGATTTTATCTAAAAATTTATCTCAAAGATTTACACTTACATTTTATATCAATGTAAGTATGAAATTGATGACTTATGTTCACATAAAATACTAGTACAAGTTTTGCAATAGCACAAATATTTTATATCAATATATACTATCAAAAATTATCAAAATAATGTTGGAAATACCTCTAACATATTTGTTGCAACTTGCAAATATTCCACATGCTTTTGTTTAATGGCGACTTGGCATATTGTGAATTTCAACCCGAAAACCCGGAAAAAGAAAGTGTAAAAAGAGCACTCGCTCGTTTAAACTTTAAAGCCACAAAGTTGAAAACCAAAGGAACCAAACGACTATTATCATTAGCTTAGGATCCTTCCTAAAGTGTTAGGACCTGCGGAGTACTCCCTAATAAAAAGTGGGTCTATAGTTGCATCTCATTGGTGGCTCAAAGGGGTGCAAGTGTCAACTCCATAAAATACAAATATTCTAGAAAAAATAAAACAGGTCACAAAATCTAAATTTTAGACTGGGCTAATTTTATTTTTTTCATTTTTCGTAACCAGCTCTGTTGCATTTGATACTTACAAAAAACATTTGTCAGAATTCGAACTCAAAATTACTCCATGAACACACCTTGCTCCATACTCCGTATTTAAATGTGATATATGTGGTTCGTACTTAATTTGTAAGAGATTATATATCTATATTATTTTTAAGGTTATGAGCTGGATAGGAGCTCGGTGCTATAGAGGTTGTTTGTAGTATGTTGTGTTTGTTTGAAATCTTTTGCTATTGCTTGTACTTGTTGCTTGTACTTGGCTCTTTACCCGTGTTATACTGTGTTCCCTTCCATATTTTTGTGTAGGTTGAGCCGGGGATCTCTTGGAAACAACCTCCCTACTCCCGAGTAGGGGCAAGGTCTGCGTACACACACCCTCCCTAGACCCTACTGTAGTGGGATTCAACTAGGTTGTTGTTGTTGTTGTTTTAAAGTTAGATCCTCTTGATGTTAATGATATGAAATCGGTTCAATTAGGATACATATGATGCTTTGTTCCTATCCCCCTAAATCCCCAACAAACCTCCCTAATCCGGGTGTTTCTAACACACCTCTACATCCCACCAATTGCATTCCCTGAATTTTGTTGATTTTGGTGTGTATTTTTTAACTCCATAGACATCAAAATTTTGAGGAAGCAATTCGAGGAAATGTGTTAAGTACAGATTGAACTAGGAAGGTGTATAGAGAATGTGGGTAAGAACTATCGAATTTACAAATGGGACATCATAACTCATAAGTGCCCCGATGTCATATTCACTACTAGAATATGTTGATTTTGTGTGGGTCAAAAGCCCTCACAAAAGAGTAATCTGCTCGACGCAAATCGTAGTGTCGGCCAGAAAAGTAATCTTGATGCATTTTAATGCTATAAAAATGTTGTCAAACGTTTAACGTGGAAAGAAAAGTAATAAAATTAAAAAAGATATGGTATTTCAAATTTTTAAACAAAAAAGAAAATTGATAGAAAAGTATATCAATAGTTTTATATAAAAGATACGGAGTAGTATGCATATGATATTTGATAAAATTGTTGATAAAAATATTTAAATTAAAAAGATGTAATTCCTAGCTCATACTTATTCTACCATGTTAGTACCAAGGATATCCCTTTCTTCCTCCTTAAAAAAAAACTTTACCTTTTTCATTTTTGATCTACTAAATTAAACTTTAATTTTTTTAAGCAAGGAAATGAGTGATTTTCTTAATCGTTAATTCACAACTAATCTCTTTCTACTCTAAATATGTTCTAATCATATACTCCGTATTTTTTTAGTTTTCAACTTTTTCCTAAACTCCTTGAAAATAAAATAAAAAAGATTTTTCAGGTATATACGAATGCGGAGAGTATCATTTAGAGGCCGGGAGAATAGACCAAGTAAGATGAGCTTGATAGAAATTAGGTCCGATAAGGATTCGAAGAAATAAGGAAGAACCATAGTCATTATAACTCAATTGTTTTCACTCATTTTTAGCGTCATATTTCGACACTTGTCCAAAATAAAATCACTACAATGTTGATAGTTCCTAACATCCTACATTCATCCTCTCGTTCCACAGTTTTCAATGGAGTGAAGAGGAATTGAAGGTTAGTTTAAGAAAGAAATTATGGGAAAAGTTTTTTATTTTTTACCCAAATTGTTGTAGAAGCTTCAATTTAATCGAATGTCATAATATTACACTCTATTTTGAAAGGTTTAAGAAAAGGAATTATGGCGAAAAATGTTCAATTTTCTACACAAAGTATTATCGAGGCTTCAATTTAAATGAATGTTATTGCGAGTAATATTACACTCCATTTTGATGTCAATATAACAAGAATATACTTTTTCTATTTTAGAGTATTCGTTCAGTTTGAATAACAAAAATATACTTTTTCTATTTTAGAGTATTCATTCACTTACATTTTTTTACGTGAATAATAATGAGGGATAATTATTACTCTTTCTGTCCAAGAATAAACTTCCCACTCTACCTTTTTTTCCGTCCGAAAAAAATCTTCTTACTCTACGTTTTTATACATATTCTTACAAAATTACCCTTCTTCTCCTTCAACATTTCTCCTCCCCATTTCTCCTCCCCACGGTAAATCTAGCCTTCTTCATCACTCTCACGCTCCCCCCNGGCAGGACAGCGGTGGGCGGTAGGGTAGTGTTGATAGCGCTGGTGGGTGGGCAGTGAGGCAGCGGGCGGGCGGCAGTGGGTCAGGGATTGGGTGGCGATGGCGCTGGTGCAGCGGCTCAGGACAGCGGTGGGCGGTGAGGCATCGATTGGGTGGCGATGGCACTGGTGCGGCGGTGGGGCGGCAGTGGGTCAGGGATAGCGGTGTGGTGGTGGGCCGATGAGGCTGGGGCAGAACGGTGGGGCTGTGTAGTGGGGGCAAAAGATAGGAGGGTAATTTGGACAATTTAATGATGTAGTCAACCCTCACTAAAAATGAGAAAATGTCAAACTAGGAAGATTTTTCGCGGACGGAGGGAGTATTATTAGGGGAGAGCAGATAAATAGAGGACAAAAGGAAGAGGATGGGCCCAAAAGAGTAAAGCTGCACAAGAGAAATGAGTGGAATTGGCACTGCATCAAACAGTAGCATGTAGCAGTAGAGCCCTCCTTTTTTTTTCTCCCTATGCATTTCCTCTTTTTAGCATCAAACACCTACTACTAGTTTGCAGTATTGGTTTGGTTTACCATTTTTTTTAAAATTTGGTTTACTCATCCAAAGATTAGATTAAGTTCACTTTGTTGTTGTAATGTGGAAATTGTAAATGGTCTATCAGTAAGAAATTCCAAAAATTCCTCTATTTCCCAATAAAGTCAGTCAATTACAAAATCATAGAAGTATATTTTTCTTGTAAAATGAAATTCAAAGCTTTAAATTTTATAAATGAAATCTAATTTTTTTAAAAAAAAAAATTAGATGATGGGGTCCATATGGTTGGTTCATAAACAGCCTTCTCCATCTGCAAAGAGCCCACATTTTATTGGCCTTTATGACCAATTAAGATCCTCTAATCACAAAAGTCCTTTGGTTTCTTTCATCCCTTCTCATGGTCCCTCTTAGATCTTGTGGTTAATGACTCAAAAGAGTATTAATGAACCTTTGGTGGGGGGTGGGTGGGGGTGGCTAGTGCTGGGTGTGTGCTGCTACTAGATCATGATTCTTGATTCTTCATAAGCCTCTGAAAGGTTCTGAATTTTTGCTCAGATTCTTGGTTTATGGGACCTGCACAAAATCTCACCTTTTTCTTCCTCATGCAAGAAAACACCTTTTCTTTTTCATTTGTTTTTAATTTTTCTACTTTTCTTTTGTTTTTACATTGTTCTTTCCCTTTCTTTTTGAAGTAGGATAATAAATGTTAAAAGAGGAGGGCCTTTTGGTTTGCAGTCTATTTATGGAAGAAAGGGGAACCAATGATTTGTTTTGGTTCCACTGCATTTTCTGCTTTTGGCTTCCCTCAGGAACCTCACTATACAATATACATACAGCTGATATATATATCTATATTTATATATATCATCAAGAAACCAAGAAACACTCCCACATTTCCTCCCCACAATGGGTAAAATCCCATAAATCTGCTTGCAAAGAAGAAGAAAAAAAGGGGGCTAAGGTTTGATTTATCCCTTAACTCCATTGTTATTCTTAAGTACACTTCAAATGCACTATGAATAAATGCAATTATCTTTCATGATTGTTCTTGGAATTACCCATAGTATGGACTTTGGAGTAATCAATACTTCTAAATAAAAAAGAAATTTTAATGAAAAGTGTTTAGTTTGATTCTTGTTCATATAAAATCTCACATTTAAGTTCAAAAGACTAATCTTTTGATACTAATCTCACAATTCTAAATGTTCATTATCATTATTTGCAGTTTTTTTTTGAGATGTTTTGTTAGTTAATAAATTAATTAGCAGACATGGTAGACCACAATCCTATGGTTGGAGATGAGTATTTGCTGCCCATGAACTCCTTATGCCCTGTTTGGATTGACCAGAGAGGGCAAAACCAGAGCAGGGACGAACTTGGAATTTCACTCCCTTCTGTGCTGCTATCTGAAGGAAATCTCACCAGACCTCTTCTCAGTTCTAAAGATTTCTCACCTGGAAATTCCCATCCTGCCCCTGGGAATGTTCAAACGCAGAATGATTTCCCGGCCGCCGGATTCCCATTTTCCGACGAACTCGACTCTGGTTTCCCAGTTGATGTTGCCAGAAAATGGGATTTTTTGCCGTATTCCGATGACCAAACACGGCCTCCTTCGAGATTCGCATATTCGCCGTCGCCGGCGGAAAATTCACATGGGTCATCGAGGTATCTGGGGGCGGTTCAAGAAATGCTGTCTGAGATTGCCAGATATTCGCTAGAGAATGTCAACTCGATGTGCTTCGACCCCACCAGTTATAGCGACGAAATAGGCGGCGCCGGCGGCGGCTCAGCCGTAGGCTTCCCCGATCCCTTTGGCGGAGCGGCCCACGGAGGAATACCTCGGGTCGATGCTGAAACTAAGCGGAAACATCTCCTGGCCCTGTTACAAGCGGTATGATGGCCTCAACTCTCAATTAGTACTACTAATCACTTGTCTAATCAAATTTTTAATTTGTTGTGTCCCACCAAAGACACTGCACTTAATCACAGATCATTTATAACATACACAGACAATAATTGCATGTGAAGATGGAAGATTATCCTTTGTATATGTATAATCATCTCTTATTGTCATCAGTGACACCCGCAATGAGCTATTAACATAATCTTTTTTCTCTCATTAAGGATTCGTGTGGTATACAGAATGGATAGTATTAGAATTGAATTGGAAGTTGAAATTCTATGGAATTGATTTAGATGAATTTGAATTCACCAATTTCAATTCATTTTTGGTACTATCAATTTCAAATCTACATATTTTTGTACTACAACATATTTTTGTACTACCCAACACTAGAATTTGAATTATTGCCTCCAATTCCAAATCCGTAATTTGAATTCCGTGTACCAAATAAGAGATTTTAATTTGGTTGAGATGTGCAGGTGGATGATAGGTACAACCAATGTATGGAGGAATTGCACATGGTGGTCTATGCATTCCATGCTGCAACTGACTTGCCCCACACCATAGCTTCTGCTCCTTCAACCACTCCTCCTCTACACCCCCACCTGGCTCTCCAGACCGTCACCCTCTGGTACAAAAACCTGAGGGACAGAATCGGAACTTCCATTCTCGCAATGGGCAGCCACGGAGGGGCGCCGGAGGAGAAGTTTCTAGAAGCGTCGTCCTCTGCCTCTGCGCTGCAGAGGCAATGGACGACGCTTCAACAACAACAACAACAGAGGAAGAAGGAGCATCATCATCTTCATCACCATCAACAACTATGGAGACCCCAGCGGGGATTGCCCGAAAGATCCGTTGCCGTTTTGAGGGCTTGGATGTTTCAGAACTTCCTTCACCCGTGAGCGCTCTTTTCCCCCCCTTTGGTCCATTTTACCCCTTCGTGTTATTAGTGGGCCTGTCCCGAGGACGCGTCTCGGCACAGGTCCACTAATTTGTATAATGTACTGTTCATTATCTCTTGATCAATGCACTGTGACTTGTTTTAGATACCCAAAGGACACTGAGAAGCACTTGCTTGCTGTAAAGAGTGGACTCACAAGGAGTCAGGTATGTCCAGTTACATTAACTAAATTTTAAAAGTAGGTATGGAACCAGACCGGTTTAGGAATTGATGGTTTTTTATCAGAAATTGTTTCAATCAAACGGTAAGTTTTATAAGAAAGTAAGAATTGTATAAATTTATGCATAAAATGTATTGTAATTTAAACTCTTACAGAGTATTAATTATCGCAAAACAGGTATCGAATTGGTTCATAAATGCGCGGGTTCGGCTGTGGAAGCCAATGATTGAGGAAATGTACGCGGAGATTAACCGGAGGAATCACCATCAAAATGCAGCAGAGCAAATCAATGGGTTTAGAAACCAAATACGGAGTATGTTAGAATGAATGAGTTGTGGGGGAAAATGAATGAAAATAAGAAGAAAGAAGAATAATAAATTCATTTAAAAGAATTGTGGTTCATCAGCCATCTATGTATGTATATGTATTTATTATTGCTGGATTGTTATTATTTATGGTCATGTATATAGTAGTATGTCATATAATGAAGACAACATTTGACCAATATGGTTTTTTACAACTACAGGACAGTGGTCTTTGGGATGAATTTAATTATTGAAATTGACGGTTTAGGTGTGCTTGCGAGTTGCACAATTTCAAAGCGATCTAATAAATTTTGGTGCTTCGAGTAAGATTTTGTAATTCATATGCTATTTTAGGTGTGTGTGTGCAGGACACATCTATTTTTTTATACAAAAAAAAAGAAATGATAAAATAATTTTTAGTTAAATGAAAAAGAAAATTGATTTAATCGGTGACACGTCCATAAAAAGTAGTAACACGGTTGCAAGCAGAGTGGAAGTTACATTTCAATAATAAATACTTTAGTATATCCATTCATAGCCATCAAATTTGAAAGATACACTTCTTGATAGAGCTGGCAAATCAGCTGGTTAGGTCGGATTCGGTCACTTCAAGTTCGAGTTATTTCAAATTTGGGTTGAGAACTGTATACTCATGACTCAATGTCATTGGGTTCGGATCGACCCGACGGGTTATGACCTTCGTTTTTTAAATTTTTAAATTTACATTAACACTTACATTTTATATTAAATAAATTTAAAATATCAAAACAAAATGTATTAAATCTATAAAATTATGTTATTTTAAACTCTGAAGTAATCTTTAGATATATAAATCAAAATAAGAAATTTAAAAATGCTTAAGTTTTGGAAAAAAATAAGATAATTATGTAATATCATTAAAATTTTGTCTGAAAATACAAATTTATTTATTAAAAACGAGTAGGTAAAGTATATATGATTTTGAAAATTTTTTACTTTAACGGGCCGGTCAGATCAAGTTCGGGTTCGATCGAATTTGACCCATTTTTAAGGGGTAATTTCGGGTTTGGTCAAAAGTGAAAATCGTGTTTCTTATTTTAAGGGGAAAAAGAAGTATTTCTAACCTAGCTAATATCCACTATAAGATAATCTGGAACCAACACTTATTATATTCCTTCTCATCAATTCATCATCATCATAATCATTATTATATTAAAAAAATGATAGTCATAGATTGTCTTTTTGGGATATACAGGACTAAAAAATTATGACTAATAATTATTGAGATGACAAACATTAAAAAAAGAAAAAAAGAAAAATCCTTTCTATGATTTCTCCCACCTTGTATTTCCATCCCCATATCTACAATGCACATGTAACCAAACATATGGTCGGCTTGTTCTAACATATTTTCCACATATCTTACACAAAACCATCCCAACCTGTTTTTTTCCTCATCTTCTGTTCTGTCTTTGGCGCCTCTTTCACACCTCTATAGGAATTCTTGTTTTGATGGGTTTCAACTTCAAGCCCATGCTCTCCGGCGAGAAAAGCTCGGGGGAGATGCAAGTTGGGCTTAACGGGCTTCTTGGGCTGACGCTGAACAGTGACGGCTTGTAGAAGCCCAATCCCGTTAAGAAGTACTCCATTGGTGTCAACATCGCGTCAGGTTGCTCTTCGGTTACCATTGACCCGCACGCTTGAACCTGTACACAAAAAATGCGTATATATATATATAGATATTCTCCCTCAGTCTTTGGTCAATGCTTGAAACATGGGAAATGGTATGGAAATGGGTAAACAATCTTGGAGAATATGGATATTAAAAAAAAATCCATATGTGATCAAGTTTTTGATTTTTTACATGTATTTGGATTTCTTAGGGGCTGTTTGTTTCAGCCTCTTAATGGTTCAGATGTCTGAATGGTTCAGCACTTAATGGTTCAGACTGTTTGTTTCAGCCTCTTAATGGTTCAGATGTCTGAATGGTTAAGAGATTTGCCTCTGAATGGTTAAGTATTATACAGAGTCTGAATGGTTAAGACCTCTTATCTGAATTGATCAGATATTTGCCTCTGAATAGTTAAGCAATATACTAGCTCTTAATGGTTCAGACCTCTTACTGGTTCAGCACTTAATGGTTCAGACCTCTTACTGGTTCAGCACTTACCCATTCAGAAGTTGCCAAACAGCCCCTTAGTCTTGATGTGCCAGAAATGTGTACTTTGCTAGGAAATGAAACTTTTAGCATACCTCAACTAAGGCACTGAACCTTCTATCAAGCTTTGAAGCCATGTGAAGAGCCTCAAAATGGAAAGGAGAATTTTCGCCGACAAATATTAATGAGCGACACCGCAGTTTTCGCAGGCCTTCGGTGATGTCCGGTCGCCTGCCAGAGGAAAAAAGGTTTTGATTAATACATCTCATGAATCAAAACTTTTTTGAAGCAAATTAATAAAGTCCCTCATGTGAAGAGGAATATTAAAACTTTTTTTGAAGCAAATTAAATAACCAAGTGAAAATAAACTTAAATGACCAAAAAAAAATTTACATACTCATTGATAGCCTCAAGAAACCGCCAGACATTTGGGCTCTGTCTCTCACCAAGCAACTATGCAATATGGAAATTTGGACATAATGTGCATCAGAAACAAAGTCAAAAAATCCCATCTTTTTTATTAACTTTGTTCATATAAAATGTAGCATATAGGTAAAACTGAAGCACTAACTCTTCTACATGTTCGAACTACATCTGATTCAGGTACTTCTACGCTGCCACGAGCTTCCTGGAATTAATAAATGTCACGAAATTCGCAGGTTTTTCTACTTGTAGCTTACTAATTTTGAGGTATGAAATGGGAATTAAAGCACCTTGCTGAAGTACCGCACGAGCAATAGCTCCTTAACCAAACTACACATGCCACAAAAGTACAACAGATTTGACATAACCTGTCAAAGTTTTTTTCAATAAGTGATTTACTGTGGGAGGATTCAAGAACAAAGATAACTCTTAGTTTCACAATGCAGCAAGTAAATGGGGTGACCAAGAGAATACCTTATTACATAGCCATTCTGTCCATGAGGGTGATTTGCACAGAGGAGAAACAAGAATCAGACCCGTAACACGTTTCGTGTATTTTATCTGTGGAAAGAAAAACCTGGCTCAGCAAACGTATCCTAAGCAGAAATGATGGTATGAGTTTGTCAAAAATATTTTTTTTTCAGAAACAAGACTTGCCGCAAAGAGGGTAAGAATATATGCTCCGGCAGTGATTCCCATACACATCACTGCACCAAGCCTGCATGAGAATTAGGGGAAAAAAGATCAACTTTATTCATGATTAGCTGATGAACAAGGGTTCTGGAAGAAAAATACTCAAGCTTCTATTGTCGAATTAATATTTAGTTTCCTTTCAAAAACATTTCCAAATTAATTATGATTTTAATGGTATGGGGTATAAGATATCTTATAAGTTATAACTACCGGAAGTAATCAAGAACCTCGGCGATCTGGTCAGCTAAATCATCTACAGACAAAACTGGCTCATCAGGGCTAATTTCAGCAGCTCCCAACTGCAAAAACACTTGCCCGAAATACCAGATAAGAACACATGTGAATACATGTATGAGTTCAGCAAAAAGGGCAATTGTTGAAGAACAGTTCTGACCTCATGCCCAGGAGGACTTATGTGGTATATACAGAAATTATGCAGTAGCAAAGAGAATGCTTCTGGACAAAGAAACAATCCTTGGAAACACGACATATCTGTTTAACAACACGCCCAACAAAGAGACGTATTAGACGTGTCAACGAGAAGAAACATAAATTTGTTTACTAAACACACTAAAACGCAAGATTTTGGGAACTCGTTTTTAACCTCCACTTTGGAACTCATAATTTAGAATTTTTACAATCTTTTCATTAAGAAAATGATAAAGGGGTTTAGGTTCCAAAGAGCTCAATCAAGGCCAACTTCCACAAACTGAAATTAATTGGGGTGCCCTTACAATTCAAAGCCAGATCAGGATAGGTAATAAGAGCTGGCTTGTCCTGGTCTCCAAAAACAGTAACAGAGATTGAGCCATTGCCAGTTTTTACAATATACTCCTGAAAAAAAGTCACATGTAAAAGACAAAACATAATCAGTAATATAACTACCATAACCTAACAAAACAGTGTGGTGAAAATAAAGCTTCCATTGGAAGTAAAACCATTCATGTCCCTTTCTTGTTGCTTTTTTATTTTATGTTCATATTCTCTAAGCCAGCTGTATTTGGGTCTAAAGCACACTCTTTTCACATGATCTGAAAAGGGAACAATTTGGGCAAACACAAGAAAAGTATCTTCTGTTTCCAGGTAAGAAAAAACCTGACTAATTATTGCACTTGGTTTATAGCTTTGCGCATGCAATTGGGTCAAGTGGATATTGTGCTTGGATTTTATGATCTGGTAAAGATTCGAGGCTTATAGAAAAGAATTCCAGGAAATAAAATTTTAAAAAGTGTGAAATGATGATTGCTTGGCTTGCGGAGTAAAGCATTTCAAAAATAGTAAAGCAGCTAACACAAGCACATACAATAGCCATACTTCACAAGACAAGTTTCAGAGAACTCTTTACTCCTGGATCAATTATTAGATCAAAAGGTGGATTCTTTTCTTGAAATTTAGTCCATTGAAAGGCCTTTCAGGCCTGTTAATTGAGAAGCAATGAGATTTTCTTTTTTGGGTCAAAAGTTAGGAATCATTTTACTAACACTATGTTTGGTTCAAGGAATTTGAACGGAAAAAAATGAAGTGGAAAGCACTTTTTCTTGTTTAGTTAGAGAGGAAAAGAGGAAGGAAAAGAAAATGAGAAGTCAAAATATACGAAGTGGAGAAAAAATCAAATTCCTCTCATTTTGGTGAGGAAAATGAGAGAAAATTGTTTTCTTTTCTTTTTCTTCCAAATTCCTTGAACCAAACATAGTGTAAGTGTAAAATATTTCTGTTTTCAAAAACAAATGGAAAACATGAAACATTTTTTACTTTTTACATTTTCCACATATAAGAAACACATTTCTTTCTAAAAATTGGTAAACAAAGAATGATTTCCTAATTTGTTTTTTCAGTTTTTCAAAAAACTACTGGGAAAAGAAGTATTTATGTTTTCTAGAATAGAAACTAATTGCTGAAATTTAAAATGGATAACCATGACAAGTATGACCACCTACACATTCCACCAAAGAGGATCTTTACCACAGTTGGTGAACTCCAAATGAACCCCATGACATCCATAAGTGGTCCCGCTAACAATAGCACTATCCCCATCGGTTACTAATCATTGATATCACTAATTAATAACTATATATCCACCATCAACGACTAACCGCCCTCTTTACTAATTAATTACACATTACTGGCATCAACCAAATTAAAAGTTTGTTTGTCAACCAAATTACTACTACCACCACTGATTGCCAGCGCCTCCAATCGTCATAAACGGCACTATCTATAACCATGGGTGGGTCTAAAACAGGAAAAAAACGATGGAAAGAAATCATGGTATAATTTAACGCCGATCGTTGCCATTGTTGTAAACTAGCAGCCGCCAAGCACTGCTACCTCATACATGGTTCATGGTTGCTACACCACGTGCATGTTACTTCATTCTTTTTTTTTTTTAATTCTCTGATTTATTTTTCGTATTAACTTTTTGACTAATAATAACTACGAGTACAAAACTATACGAATTATTAAAAATGGCGTACTCCCTATTACAAGTATTTTTCAATATAAATATTATGCTAGTTCATTTAATTTTTATATTTTAATTAAATTTATGTTTTTTTTCGGAGTATTTGGCACGAATAGTGCGGGCAGTGACATTACCGGAGTATATTGGAATTGGAATATGTGTTGATAAATACTCCGTATGTTCTTGGAATAATAAAAAAGGAAGTCAAAATATTGAAAATTGAATACAATATGAGATATAGGTCCCGTTTGACATTCACGTTAGAGGTTCTGATGATAACCTTTAGCATTTTCAGAATTAATCTACACCATTAAAATTTGAGTAATGCTAATTTTACCCCAAAAATATAAACCTCGCCTTTAACCTCATTCTTACAAACTTTACAAATATTCATACACACCGAACAGTGTCGGATGTCCTTGAATGTCTGCAAGGTTTATAAAGGGGTGGAGTTAAAAGTGAAATTTATATTTTGGAATTAATATAATAATTTTTTTGAAATTTTATCCAAAACGTTCCCTCTAATCTAAAAGTATATTTCTCAAATAAAGCCTTAAAAAATCAAAATAGACGTTTACCACCATTGGATTGGGTGTAAACATCAGAGCTCCACTGTCCGCCGCCGGAGCACCGTCGGTAGCTGGTGTTGACCACCGTTGACCGGTGGTCCACCACCATACTGACACTACACTCCAATGCTTTATTGTCATCATTTAAACTGATATATAAACTTTTCTTTAAAAAAAATAGAAAACCGAAAAATAAAAAGTGAGAATGGAAAAAACAGAGCACCCTGCCCAAATTCGCGTAAAAAGCAACAGACCTAAACTCCAAAGAGTTCCATCTAAACGGATCTCTGCTCAAAGTTTGAAACTGAATCACGCAGAAATTCCATAGACCTCACCAGAAGAAAAAAACAGAAAAAAAAGGAAACGTATTGCCTTTATATGTGAATTGAAGAAGACGCCGGCCGGCCGGCCACACATTCCGGTAAGATCGAATCGGTAAACCGCCATTCCCGATTAACTTAATCGTCCCCATTCAAATCGTTCCTAATCAGCTCTCCGTTATTCGCACCGAATTTCAAATTTCAATGGCGGATATAGCGGATGAAAATTGAAATTGCGCCGACACGAAAATCGAAAAGGAGGGGGACAATGTGTACGGATGAGCAATTCACCAACCACGACGCCCAAACAAATGAATACACACACATATATATACAGTGTATATGTAAGAAAAGCGTTGCCGGAGAAATAAAAAAAAGGAGGGAAGGCCAACCTTTCCGGCGACGGAGACGGTGTCCACATCTACCGACACGGAGTCGCACGAGTCTCCCATTGCCGCCGGCACTCTGAGATACATACGCCGCTCTCAAACTGCGTTGGATTTGGGGACCGTGCTTATATATATAGACATATAGATACGTAGATATGTATATAATCGTGTATATATATGTATACGAATCTCTGTATAGTGTATACTATCTCCGTCTTCTTCTCCCGATTTTCTCTCTCTAAAATATACGGAAATATATTTCATGTACATATCTCATTATATATAGCGTATCGTATGTTACGCAACATTCAGCTCGCCTATCTTTTCTCAATTGTACCCAAAGTAGATTTTTTTTTATTTTATAAATACTTCGTAATACTTTTTTGGTACTTAAAAAATTGTTAGACTATTAGTTTTAAAATATCAATTTTTTATAATACGGAGTATTTAATAATATTAAATTTTATTTATTTTGTGATTTAAGACTAATTAAGAGTCCCACAATTTGATAAAAAAATCAAACTCTAACAATATACTCCGTATAAAAAAAGAGTACTTGTAATAATTAGTACTCCCTTCGTCCCGGAGTATTTATCCAGTTTTGACTTTTGAAACTGTTCATCTAAGCACTTTGACTCATCAAATTCTCTCAATGTATAAGCCTAAATATAGTCATGTGTGATCTTGTTTGATTTGTCTTAACATATAGATTATTAACATATAATTTCTATAATTTTTTAATATACAAATTACAAGATAAAATGGATTAAAGAAGTGTATTGGATAGTGTGTAAAAATGAAAGTAGACAAATACTCTGGGACGGAAGTAGTACTCCGTAATAAAGAGATGCGGCCAAGGTTTGGGTTGACATTATTTTTCCAAAAATGTTACGGCAGAATTACATCAAAGTTTTACTATATTTGTATCTTATCAATCAAATGAGACACGTTTTTGATGTACTCCTAGTATTACTTTTATTTTTACTTACAATTTGGAAATATTTTAAAACAAAAGCTTATGAATATTTGCGGTTTTGTTCGTGATCAGGGGTGGACGCATATTGATGTAGTTGGGGACATATTGCCCCTTTTTGTAATAAAGTAAAAAGAGAATTGAAACTATATATATATATATATTGTTTTCATATTCTGTTATATTAAAATAACATAAACTTCCCTTATTTCACTGTGTTTTTCTATTTTTACTTTTTTATGTATGTAATAATAATGTTATTTTTTAGTAGACTAACAATATTATTGTTAATTATTATTATTAAGAAAAACACTTAATTTTTAACTCACAGTTGAAAAAAATGGAAAAATTTAAAAAATTGAAACGGTTTTGAAAATTTAAATAAAATAGATAAGAATTTAAAATAAATAATTGAAAAGAGTTGAAAATCTGGAAATAAAGTACACTTTGTAAGCAAATTCTTACATGGTCCTAAATTCATGCTCATTTTATATACCTTAGTCCATTAATACCATAAAAGAATTGATTTTTTTTAAAAAGAAAAGACTAATTTATTAGTCCATGAAAAAGATTAGAAGATTCATATTTTACATGTGAATCAACGGAGGAATTGAACAATTCTTTAATTTTCAATACTAGCTCTAGATAAGAACAGAGGTTTGGTCATTTATAAAGCTGACAAATTGGTCGGTCAGGTCGGGTTTGGGTTTAGTCACTTTGGAGTAAGGTCAATTCAGATTCGGGGTGAGAACTATATGTTCATGATCTAGTGTCATCTGGTTTGGATCGACCCAACGGGCTATGATTTTGGTATTTAGAATTTTTAAATTTAACTTAACACTTGCATTTGCATTATATTGAATAAATTTAAAATATCAAAAAATATGTATTCGATCTATTAGACTATTTTATTTTAAATTCAGATATAATTTTTAGATATATAAATCAATATAAATAATTAGATAAATGCACAAGTTTTGGAAAACATAAATTTATACATAAATTAAAAATGACTAGTAAGAAAAAACATATAATCCGTATAATTATAACTTTATTTTTATAATATTATATTTCGTAGTAAAGTTTATGATTTGAAAATTTCTTACATTAGTGGGTCGGTGTGGTCGAATTCAGGTTCGGTCAATTTGACTCATTTCTAGCGGGTCATTTCGGGTTTAGCCATCAAAATCTTTGTTCAAAATCCAATATTTTCGAGTGGTCAAAAACAGGTCGGATCATTTGTTGTGAGGTCTATGACTCATTTATCATCCCCATTTTACTTTATTTTTTGTTCATTTTCTCGCATTTCGTTTTTTGAGAAAACCATTTTTTTACGGAGTAGAAAAGTATAGAGGTCATAATCTTCATTAAAGTCATTATAGAATAATAGTTGGGAGATCGACACTGCACCAAAAAGTTGGGAGATCGATAGTGTTGAAAGTTGGAAAAATGTTACCCTCATATTTTTTGCATGTTTATAATTCAAAAAATCATCAAATTTTACATCGCTCTTCTACCTAAATATTAAAATTATTAGAAAAAAGACTAAAGTAATAGTAAGACGTAGAGAAAATATCAAAATATGAATTTCATAATTTTTATCCCCAAAATATGAATATATTCTCAATATATAGGACTAAAAAATACAATGAGATAATGTCATAGTACAAATTCACATTTTAGGATAAAATTATAAGACTCCTATTTTGAGAATAAATGTTATGTTTTATTCCGGTTTAGGATGACTTTTTTTTTAATTATTTTAGATTATATTGCATCTAAAAGTATAAGTCGGCTGTTGGCAACACATAAAAAATAACTAAATAAAATTAAGTGTCATTTGATTTTTCTGAATAACTTAATAAAGTAACTGTAATAAAACCCAGTGAAATTGTACGTCCTCTTTTTGGGCTTCTACCGTAGTTTTGACACACCACTAGAATTTTAAACTTGTTGCCCTTATTGTCTTTTTGAAATTGTAATTAACCCTCTAAGTATTGGTATGAATTTTTCCTTAACTTTTAATACTCTTTTTGCTTCAAACTTAATTTCATATTTTCCCAATCTCAAAACATTTCATTTTCATTCATTTCTTTTTAAAAAATAAAAATATTTGACTCACAATTTTTTGCTCTCTAACGTTCTCTTAAATAAATTTCAAAGTACACATTTTTTTTTATTTTTCAATATTTTTTAAACTACGAAGTATATAAATTACTCCTTAAAATCTTATCTTTAATTTGAGAAGAAGATAGTAAAATGGAGTTGAAACTTGGAAGAGATCGTCTCAAGAAAGTCATACTAGAGTCTGATTTGCGGTGAATATGAAGGAAATTCTAAGGCTTTTGTGACATTAATTTTAGCATTTCGATTTAAAGTTTTGAAAATATTATTTAAGAATATCTCTTAACATTAGTATTTTTAAAGTTATTTTATGTTAAGAGATAAATTCTTGTTAAAGACTATATATAAGTTATTTTTTGTTAAGAGATAAATTCATAAGTTGAACGGATTGCCAGACATTTAAAATTGCATCGTAACAAAATAAAAGTTATAAGTTATTTTTAAATAAACTCTCACGGTCTTTAAATACTCTTTCCAAAATGCTTAAGCTAAACTCAAATGTTGTTGCCAAATGACATAAAATAATACGGAGTACTCCTGAGGGTTATCACAATATCATTATTTGAATACAATTACACAGAACAATACGAAGTATAATTGAGAATTAAATATTTAAAAATCTCACAAATTTGCAAAGTGACCCAAACTAGAAAACAAAATACTCCCTCCGTCTTATAATGATTTTCCCAGAGCACTATTCCAACTTCACGAAAATTTATATTTATTTGTGTTTTTTCATGGCCTATATGATAAAATAAAATATTCTTGTCACCACTTGTTTTGTTGAACTTTTGATGTAGTTTTTAAATATGTATGTTTTATTTTTTATTTCTATACTAATATTTAAATAAAATAGATTGAAAAAAATTGGGATTTTTCTTCGTTTTGCGAACCGGGAAGATCATTATAGGACGGAGGGAGTAACACATACGGAGTATTCAAACATTTAAAGTATAAAATCTTTTCAATAAAAAAAGAATTGACCCAATTGTCGGTACGGCGGGCCTTACGCTGCGGGTCAATGGGCCCGACTGCGGTAATGTAGAAAGCGAGTTGACCCGGAACACTCACCGGGTCACCGACGCATATCGGGCGAGTTAACGCAACCCAGTGGTATAGTATGAGTTTGGTAAGTGACCGACAGATTGGGGGTGAAAAGACAGTACTAACCTCATAGGCTCTTTAGTTCCTTTTGTTTTCTTTTGCTTCTTTTTTCCCCTTTATGTTCGGTTTCCTTTCCCTTTAGAATGTGGGTCCCACATCTTAATCACCTCTGATTGCTTCATTTGTTTCCCCTCTAATTTTTTGTTTTTTATTAATTTTTTATTATGAACTTTCTTCTAGACCCTAATTTCAAGTAAAATAAACGAGTAGTATATACAGAGTATATTTTTTACGGAGTATTTAGTACGGTAGATTATTTATTTGACCTTTTTGGCCTTTAAAAAAACATTTTTATTTTTTATTTAGTACAGTAGATTATTTATTTGACTTTTTTGGCCTTTAAAAAAACATTGTTCCGTACGGAGTATATATTTTGTATTTGGATTTATCTGGCGGCGGCATATCATTAAGTATTAATATCGGTTAATTTTCTATTTTTTCCCCTAGTGTTTTTATTTTTTTTACAATAAAACTTCAATTTATCATTTCAATGGAAATAATGTTCACAAAAAAAGAGGTGGGACAATATGTCATTTCACAAAGGATCGGAACAATTTTCATTTTTACCTTTCTACCTTAATGAGAGTAATAAGTACTTTCTATATCCTAAACGTTCTTTCTATTTCTCTTTTATTTTCGTCTTAAAACTATTTTCGTACACATTAAAAAAGACGTATAATGACAATATTACTCTCACACTTTACTTTACGCCAACAATTCTCTTTCTCCACATTTACGTCATTCTCACCTTATCTCTTCTCTGGTCTTTTTCTCCTCTCTCTAAATCCTAGATTTTTCTATCTGTCTCTCCATATTGTCTCTCTCAGTCTCTCCTTCTCCGCCTCTCTCAGTCTCTGTAACTTTTTCGCCCTCTATCCGTCTA